TATTTTTGAGACGTCTCAAAAAATAACCTATCTACAGAAGAACCGAACCATGTTGTAGTCCCCAGTTGCTACCATGCAAAGCATCTGAATGCGATAGAAGGGAGAATGGTGAATGATGAAGTCCACTGTACATTTCTATAGCGGCGCTAAGATACTTATGGTGGTACTTACATGTATGATGGTACACATGTGGTTTGCCATCCACGCCCCAGAAAGCCCCAGCCTGTTGTAAGATAAATTCACAAATCAGGCATAGACTCAAAGCATCAGTTATGCAAAACTCTGTAAATCACTTGCTTGGCAATGGCATAGGTGAGTGCCCCAAGTCATAACAAAACAGGAAGAGATTGTTACGAAATAGCCTAGAAATTATGTGAGAGATCTATTTTTCTCTTACCACGTTCATATCGAAGTAGTACGTTTGGATCTGGTGCGCCTTGCTCTTGAGCTTTGCTCTTGCACACTCATTCATGGAGAACGGCGACGGTGATACGAGCGATGACAGACACTTTTGAGACCTGAAATGCACAAATACAAACACAAACTCATGCTTATAGCATCATGTGAAGAGGATCACATCACATTAGATCCAGAAGAAAGATGCCATTTGACCTCTATTTAAAGCAGTGTACCACGTACCCGCTGTAACACACATCGATATCCCATTCGTCCATCAGAACAGGGACTCCTCCCGCCGTGCAAATTGCATCCACCACCAGGAGCGCACCTAGCGGCATCGCAGGAAAAAATGCGGGAGAGCGGGGACAGGAGTTTCGGGTTTAGATCTGGCTTTTGCGCACGGAAGCACGCGGGGTGGCCCGTCCGCCTCAGCTGCAAATAGGAGCCAGGAACCACAGGATAGGGGTCTACTTTCAAAATCCCTAATTTCTCGTAAGCGCTCTGTCGAGGAGTCTTCGCCATGTGACGCGCGAGACTGCTGCTTCACGCGGCATTAGATCGAACGCAGGCTTAGGAATTCAGAGCGACTTTCGTGCTGGCTTCTGAGGCGCCTCAAGATTGGCTCGTCTAGATATTCAGAACGACCGCGACTCCCCCAAACCCCGTTACAGGACGACCCGTTTCAAGCGCATCCCCTCACCATGCTTGTGGCAGAGATCCCCCAATCCTTCCAGCGGCTGCAGCGTGCCCGTGCTCGACTCGCCGTGCACCACAAATACCACGACACGCCCCAACTTCCTCACCACACGCAAAACCATAAGCAGGCCCTTTCCAAGCGCATCCACTCACCGTGCTTGTGGCAGAGCTCCCCCAATCCCTGCAGAGGCTGCAGCGTGCCCGTGCTCGACTCGCCGTGCACCACAAACACCACCTCAATTCCCAAGCCTCCGTTAGAAGCAAATGCGTTACAGACAGACCCGTTTCAAGCGCATCTTCTCACCGTGCTTATGGCAGAGCTCTCCCAACCCTTCAAGCGGTTGCAGCGTGCCCGTGCTCGACTCGCCGTGCACCACAAACACCGCCGCGACTCCCGGGTTCGCCTCGAGCGCGCGCGCGAAGTCGTCGAGAGCAAACACCTCCCCCAGTGGCGCCTGGATCGTTCGCACGTCGCCGCCGTGTCGCCGCGCGAGCAGCGCCATTCGCTCGCCCCACATGCCGTTCACCGCAACCAACACGACGTCGCCAGGAGCCACAACCTGAGGTGATGTGACAATAACGGGAAGCGCCGTTAGCTTATAGTTGACGTGAGTCGAGAGAACGCGAGATTGACCAGATTTGACTCAAGGGATTGACTGCAGCTTCCATGGCGGCATGACCCCATGGAAGCTGCAGTCAATCCCTCCATGGAGGGAAGCCCAAGGGAGGAGCCGTTAGCGAAGTTTACAGTTGACAAGAGATGAGGAATTTTCACAAAAATCTACGTGAATTCGCGAAAAACCGCGCGAAGATGGTTACTCACGGCGTTGACTGCGGCTTCCATGGCGGCGTGACCCGAGCCGCTGACGCCGAGCGTGAAGCGGTTGCGCGTCTGAAACACATATTTGAGCCACTCGCGCACGTCGTCCACCGCAGCGAGCAGCGCGGGGTGCATCTGTACGCGTTACAAGCAGGGGGGTCCAGGGCATTTGAGAGGGGGGTGCATCGTGAAGCGGTTGCGCGTCTGAAAGACGTACTTGAGCCATTCGCGCACGTCGTCCACCGCACCGAGCAGTGCAGGGTGCATCTGTACGCGATACAAGCACGGGGGTTCGGGAGGGGCCGCTGCACTCGATACAAGCTGGCGGGATACAATATAATAGTACAACGATGCGGCGTGGATGAACGAGGAGGGTGGAAGATGGAGGTTGTTACGGGGAATGGGAGAGGGGAGCATTCCAGGATAAAAACGTTTCTCGACAGAATTCAAGCTCACGAACCAAGATATTGAGGTCCTAAGCATGGACCTGTGAGGCCTAACAAGAACCATGCTTACATGGCCAACAAGGGGCGAACCAGCAGCAGCGAGGACACGTGGGTGGGGAGATGATGGGCCAGGGCCTGTGGGGGGTAAGGTTGATGAAGGAGGGAGCAAGAGAGGAGAGGTAGAAGGGTGAGAGGTGAGGGGACGGGGGAAAGTGCAACTAAGCGTCGACTCAACTCTCACTCGTCAGCAGTCACTCATTCACGAGCACTCACTCACTCACTCATTCACAAGCACTCACTCTCTCATGATCACTCACTCAATCATTCATGATCACTCACTCAATCACTCACTCATTCATGAGCACTCACTCACTCACTCATTCATGAGCACTCACTCACGTGAAGAAAAGCAACTCACTCATGAGCAGCAGGTTGGGGAGAGTCAGAGGCGTGGTGGGGATGCTCGGCCTCTCAACCCTCGCCCACTCATGAATCTCGGCCACTCATTCATGAGCACTACCTGACTCTCAACACTCTCGTGGACAAGAAACCGACTCACTCATCAGCAGCAGGTTGGGGAGCGTCAGAGGCGTGGTGGAGATGCTTGGCCTCTCAACCCTTGTCGAAGCGGCCGTTGCGGAAGCAACCAAAGGAGCCAAAGGAGCCATGGCGATTGCAGCGGAAGCTGGGTTCTTGAGGCGTCTTAGGTCTCAAGAAGGAGTGAAGTGCAGCGCGGCACGAGGACCACCCAACACAGGAGGCAGCAGAGCGAGGATAGCGTGAGCTAAATCCACATCTGGAGCGAGTATAACGAGTTCTCAACCAGTCTATTTACAATATTCACAGTCCGGTCGGGTAGCGGTTAGCGTAGGAGGTGCAGCGGGAAACTACCAGCAGTGCACCTTGGAGTCTCGGCTTGAACGACAACAGATCTGCTGGAGAGGAGAGATGCAGAGTGCAACACGAAGTTGTCGAGGAAAGATCCGGATTTGGAAAGGAGAACGGACTTGCTGAGGTGTATACTACTCGAAGAGGCGATGGGGAGGAGAAGGCGAATTTGAAGCCACTCGTCGCGAACGAATGAACGCGATGTTGAGATGGTGAGGTGGTGTAATTGCAACCGTGTAAGCACTTGTGGAGATTACTCTGCTGAGTCAAGCTGACTACGCTGTGGCAATCTTGATTCACTACGGAGAAGCTTGGGATGCGATGAATCTATCCCCCGGCCGAACGGGAACGGAGGCTTGTGTGAGGGGACGGAGACGAGGGTGGCGGAGAATTCTGGTAGGGAGGATTGAGTCAGACGCGGGAGTGCCGACGGCGTTGATGGAGGGCTCTTCTGGAAGGCAGATTTGCTACCACGTCAGTAGCGCCGCAAATACGGTCGAGATTGGCGGCGCGTGAAAAACGTCCTTAGGTGTCAAGGCACGCGAGGGAGGCTGATGGAAGTAGGTGAATCGGTGAATGACGTTCTTTACAATCTTTTCCCGCTCCGGAGTGCCTGATGATGACGTCAGCAAATTATGTACAGTTAGAGAAGTGCTCGAGACGTATGTACGGCGTCAAGAGCCGAGAGCTTCGACGCGCTGGCACTGGGTGGTGCGTCGCGTGCTAGCAATGGGAGGGAAGTAAGTACAGTATGTACACAGCAAAGCACGTGTCAGCAGAGAAATGCGGAGTTTTGCTGCTGGGAGTTGGAAGGGAAGTTGCGGTCGAAGTTATCGAGGTGGTTGTTTTGGACGAGAGACGGATTGCTGCACAGCTCAGTTGTACTTCGTCGACTTGGAAAGGCTTCGCTTTATGTAATTTCGGATTTGAAGCCAGCGATGCCTCGTTCCGCGTCGCGTGTGATGGGAATCACTCGTTCCCGTGCTGTGATTTCAAAGTTCGAATCGCGTCCTCGGAGTCAGCTCAGCACCAGGAAGCTTCTGATTTGACAAATCCTCCGCGCAGTCACCTAGGTTGTCGGCTGGAGCAAAGAATGTGGTCCGCGTTTGATGCACGGAACAGCTCAGCACGATAAAGGACAGCAAGCTCCCGAGACTTGGGCTTCTAGAGCCTGTGTGTATTTTCAAGGTCTGAGCTCCCAAGGTTCGTGTGACGTCTTCAGTTGTAAGTTCCCGAGGTTTGAGCTTTCGAGGTTCAAGTGAGGAGAGAAACAGCCCCCCTAACCTCTTTGACACGGCTGCTTGTCTGGTGGAAGAAGAAATCTGGGAGGATGCAATGTTTCCAATGGGGACGAAATTGACTCGACGCGCGATTCGGACGAGGAACTTGATTCGCGACGGGAACAATGACGTGATTCGTTGAGAGCGGGATTAGCGAACGAAAAGGTAGTCACTGCGAACGGCAGAAATCGCTGGACGTTTCGCATGATTGGTTTCCGTGCTGACACACCCATGCCCTGGCAGGGCAAGCAGCAATGTCACTGAGATGGAAACTTGCGTGGCCAGTGCGCGGGACAGCTGGGCGCAGAAAGATGGACAAAATGGTTACGACTCCGCATTACAGGTAACTCGTTATCATTTAAGAATAACGACAAAATGCTACTCCTACAGAACCATACGTCTTGAGAAAAGCCAGCTTACTGAAGCAGGCTCATATCATGGTGGTTACAAATGCACCAAGTACCGTACTACCTAAGCAGTCGCCTTCTTGGGGGTGAACCCTGCATGCTCAAGTGCATCCTTCAGGGCCTCCAAAAGAAGTGCTACGTTAGCGGGGCGGGCATTGTTCCCCATGAGACCAATTCGCCACACCTGGTTGCCACGACGACAGAAACACAGGAAAATTTAGTGTCAGATCAGCCAGCCATGAGACGTTTTGCAGTTCATTCCAGAAATAAGTGATGTCACTCCTGAAACATAGTGTATATTTTTTTATCACAATGTATCTAGCACAATTCCAACACGTACCTTGCCAACAGTAGGGCCAAGTCCTCCCGCTATTTCCAAGTTGAACTTCGACATCAGATGGCCTGCAATGCAATGGCACATGGGACGGGCAATGGCACATGGGACGGGCAATGGCACATGGGACGGGCAATGGCACATGGGACGGGCAAGCAAAACAGCGTGCCCACGTTTTCTGACTGAAGGAGCAATAATGTGGCTCTTCTAGCCAGGGACCAAGGCACACGCAAGTGTGACAAGAGGATATTTCCCAGGGAAAGTGCCTCGCACTCACCTGTGACTTTAGTCCACTCCACGCCTTCAGGCACCTTCACTGTTGTCACGGTGGGCAGGCGAGAATCGTGGTCCTCGACAAACAGCTCCAGCCCCAGCTGAGAGGGGGGCAGGGGACAGAGGAGGGAAGACTAAGGGAAGTGGGAAAGAGAGGAGGGAAGCAAATAGGGAAAGGAGAAGAATGGTAGCTGGGCAGGCGAGAATCATGGTCCTCCACAAACAGCTCGAGCCCCAGGTGAGAGAAGAGCAGGAGGTACAACAAGGGCGAAAAGACAGTAAGACACATAGACACCCAATGAACAGTCAAACCATACCCTCACATGGTAGTCAAGTCAGGAATCCTTTTCACCTTGAGCCATCCAGAAAAAAAAAAAGCACGAAAGGTCCCTCACCTCTTGCAGCCCTGGCCACAGCAGCCTGGCCTGGCTATTCACACCTTCTCTCACCACGCAGCCACCCAATTCAACCCATCAGGACCCCTCACCTCTTGCAGCCCTGCCCAGAGCAGCTCGGCCTGGCTGCGATGGCGCTGCCACACATTCTCCAAACCCTGTCAGGCCAAACAGTTGAAACAAGCGCCAAGGAGAGGGACAGAGATGGTATGACGAACAGAGACAAAGAGAGGGAGAACAAAAAGGAGAAGGACAGAGATGCTATGAAGGAAAGCGGAGAGTGATGAAAGCTGGAAAAAAGGCATGGTACCTCATCAGCCGTACACCAGCACAGATGGACAGATGGGCAGTCATTAGGTAATGGAATCAATTCACAAATCGGCCAGGCCATGGCCACTCACCTCCTCGGCCAGCATGGCAAGCGCCTCCCTCATGGCGTTGACGTTTGTCACCAGGCCTGAGGCAGCAGGGGGATTTGGGGGCAGGGGAGGAAGGAGCAAAGGAAAGGTGGCACAAAGAGAAAGTGAGGAAAGAGTGCCAGCATGGCAAGTGCTTCCCTCATGGCGTTGACGTTTGTCACCAGGCCTGAGGTAAGAGTGGTGTGGGAGGATATGGAAGGGAGGGGGGAAGGAAGCTGAGCGAGACGAGTGATACAAGGAAGTGAGGAGGGAGTGAAAGCATGGCATGTGATTCCCTCATGGCGTGTCGTCACCAGGTTTGAGGCAGTAGGCTGGGGGTGGTTGGAGGGAGGGGAGGGAGGAGGAAAGGAAAGGCAGCACAAAGAGAATGTGAGGAAAGGATGCCAGCATGGCGAGTGCTTCCCTCATGGCGTTACATTCGTCACCAGGTTTAACATCCATAAGGAGAGGGGAAAGAGGGTGAAGAGATGGAGGGAGAGAAGGCGTCAAGGTGAGGTGAGGAAGGATTTAAGGAGAGGAACAGAGGGTAGTAACGTGAAGTAATACTCGTGAAAGGGAGTGAAAGGCGGGCACCTTGAATGGATGCGGTGGGTTGAGTAGAGACATAATACTTGGATATCTGAACGAGTTCGTTCATTGGCCTAAGGGTGTCTGGATTGCTTACGTGGTGTAATTAGATGTGTGTTATTTGTTGTGTGTAATTAGCTGAGTTGTAATAGCTGTGGAGCCCATGACACACCTGTGTGATGGTACTCGTGCGGTCGGCCGTCCACTCCCCAATACTTCTCAACCCGCACGTCAAGCACAGCACATCATCCCCAGTACTCCCCAATATCAGCTGCCGATCACATGGAATACCTGTGTGGTGGTACTTGCGCGGTTGGCCGTCCACTCCCCAGTATTCCCCAACCTACACGCCAAGCACATCATATCATCCCCAGTACCCCCAGTATCAGCATTCGAGCACAGGGCATACCTGTGTGGTGGTACTTGCGCGGTTGGCCGTCCACTCCCCAGTATTCCCCAACCTGCATGTAAAGGACATCAAATCAGCAGCAGGGTCACATAAGTATTGGTGCATTCGGGTTGCAGGAGCTTTGACGAAAGAGCAAACCGTTGAAAGATGATGGGTCATGAAGCATGGAAACCACGGGTTCGAATCTCACCAGGTTCATATCAAAATAGTAGGACTGGACCTGCACGTGGCAGCACAGCACAAAAAAAAAGGAGGAAAGTAGAGGACACTCATTAATCGACAGACCTTGTCCCAACGAGTTTGTTTTCTAATAAGTGGAACTGAAACTGCTAACAACCAGCAACCAGCAATCAACGAGGAACGACCAACCAAAAGGGCAGAGGGGAATGGGGATGAAAAGAGCATAGGGGTGGCTGGGAGGGCAAAGAGAGGCTGAAAGCTTAGCTCAAGTCTTCCTTGTTCTGCCCCTTCCCCCAACCCTAATCCATCCCTCTCCCCAGCATCCCGTGCCATCCCTCCACACCCTTTCCCATCTCTCCACATCCCTTCCCACTCCCTTTCAGTCACTACCCTTATCCCAGACTCACAGGCGTGGAGCGGTTGGCGAGTTTTGCACGAGCTCTTTCGCTCAGAGACAGGGGCGAGGGGGCGACCGGCGCAGAGAGGCACTTCTGGGAGCCGCTGTAAATGACGTCCACGCCCCACGCGTCCACGTGCAGAGGGATCCCTCCCAGTGTGCACACTGCATCTACAAACAGCAGTGCGCCTGGGAGGGAGCCGGGAGGGTTGGGGATGCATAACAAGGAGGTGAGAAACACTTCAGTGATCGGCTGTAAATGACGTCCACGCCCCACGCGTCCACGTGCAGAGGGATCCCACCCAGCGTGCACACAGCGTCTACAAACAGCAGTGCGCCTGAGATAGGAGAAAGGGTACACGAGAGAGTGCGTGGGGATAAGGGGTAAGGGCAGATGAGTGACCAGACACTTGTGGCAGCCTCTGTAGTTGACGTTCACCCCCTTACACGACCATGTGCAGCGTCTCCTCACAGCAGACCCGTTTCAAGGCCATGCTCTCACCGTGCTTGTGGCACAGCAGACCAGCACGGTGAGAGCATGCAGCGGCTGCTCTCACCGTTTCAAGGGCTCTCAGTCCCTCCAGCGGCTGCCTGCAGCGTCCCCGTGCTCGACTCCCCATGCACCACGAACGCCACTTTTACTCCCAAAATCCCCGTTGCTGGCAAACCTGCTTTTTAAGGCAATGCTTTCGCCATTCTTGTGGCAGAGCTCCCCTAATCCTTCCAGCGGCTGCAGCGTCCCTGTGCTGGACTCCCCGTGCACCACAAACACCACCTTCACTTCCAACATTTCCTTTGCAAGCAAACGTGCTCCAAGGGCATGCATGCTCTCGCCGTGCTCGCCCAGTCCTTCAAGAGGCTGCAGCGTCCCCGTGCTCGACTCGCCGTGCACCACAAACACCACCTTCACTCCCAGCATCCCCTGCTTTAAGGGCATGCTCACCATTCTTGTGGCAAAGCTCTCCCAGTCCTTCCAGGGGCTGCAGCGTGCCCGTGCTGGACTCGCCGTGCACCACAAACACCACCTTCACGCCCGGGTTATCCGCCAGAGCCTTCTCCACGTCAGCAACGGAGAACACCTTCCCCGGTGCCGCCTCCATCTTCCGGACGTCAGCGCCGTACCTAGCCGCCAGGATCGTCATGCGCTCGCCCCAGATGCCGTTCACACCCACCAGCACCACATCGCCAGGCTCCACCACCTGATGTATGGGAAAGAGGTATATACTCATTGATGAAAAGCCCAAAAAAACGAAAACAAAACACCCCAAAAGGTGACGGCACTTCCCGATACACTGTTCTCTACCAAAAGCCCAAATCAGCACATGCTAATCAGGCCCCGAGCCTCCTCCCCTCAAGTGCTCCACCCTCCGCAAGTCCTACGCACTCTGAACCCCCGAGACCCCGCCAGCCCCACCCCCTCGCCCGCCCCCCAGCTGCCCCCAGTTTACCCCCCCTCCCACCCCTCTGAGCCCCCCCCAGACCCCCGAGCCTCCCCGAAGCGCCCAAGATAAGCGTCTGCGACTCACAGACGCGACAGCAGCCTCCATGGCGGCATGGCTGGAGCCGCTGACGGCGATGGTCACCCCCAGGGCCCCCTAGTCCCTCTGAGCTCCCCCATACCCTTCAGCAGCCCCCCCCCCCCAAGAGACTCACAGAGGCGACGGCAGCCTCCATGGCGGCGTGGCCGGAGCCACTGACGGCGATGGTGAACGGGTTCTGCGTCTGGAAGGTGTACTGCAGCCATGACTTCACCTCGTCCATCACTGTGAGGAACTCCGGGTGCATCTGTGACGGGGGGGGTATGAGCAAGACGACAGCGGTCAGGTGATTTTATATTGGTTCTGCGACTGGAAGGTGTACTGCAGCCACGCCTTCACCTCGTCCATGACGGTGAGGAACTCCGGGTGCATCTGTAGCGAGAGGGGGGGGGAAGTGATGACAACGGCAACGTGATTTAGTAGTGGTTCCGCGACTGGAAGGTGTACTGCAGCCACGCCTTCACCTCGTCCATCACCGCGAGGAACTCCGGGTGCATCTGTTACGGCGGGAATGACGGAGAGGAATTCGGAACGTACCCGAATTGACATTGAGAATGCACCAGAACGACATCTCAAGATTGGGCCAGATGACATTTCGAGATGCACTGGTAGCCGATCATGTGAAGAACAGCTGCATCCGTGCAATGACCTCATTCATGACGCGTGAGAGTCAATGGATGCCTCTGCGGCGCGGAAAATTCAGAACTGAAAACATTTCAAAGAGGAATGACATTTGAAGATGTCGCAGAAGGAGACAATACTCACGTGGCCGACGAGAGGCAGCGATGCGGCGGCAAGGACTCGAGGGTGGGGAGTCGCCGGGCCAGGACCTGAAGGTTCAAAACACAGTTACCCCACGCCATGAATACGCACAAACTTATGATACCAATTTTCGGTGAAATGTCATGCAAGAACGTCATCGATGAATTAACGCTGGTGTGGACTAATTTGCATCTTTGATGTCATTCCATCTGCGAACAATCACTCGGAAAATGCTCGCATGGATTCTCCACTGGCTCCAATTTCCGGAGTGCTCATGCTTATAACATGTAAACATGTTTCGAAAAGGCGTACCCATGAGAATCCTATTCGGAAGGCTTAGCGGCGTCGTCGATAGCGTGGGCTTGCTGACTTTAAGCTCCGCCATGGCTGCCAAATCCGCAGTGGTCACAAAGGAATCTGAAGCGGCACTGTTCTGACGTATCTGCGCCTGGGCGACACCGACGTTAAGCGCGGAGAACGAGACCCAGGCAACTGAAAGTACAAAAGGGAGTAGAATTTCCAGGGAACTACACGCAGCGCCACAAAAACGGCGTTGAAATCCGGCTAAACGATGCTTGAATCCTCTCCTGGAGCTGCACCTTACAGAAAATGAATCAGCCATGGCTGAATCTGAATTTGTAAATTCATGGATTGAGCCATTCTCCTAATGCAAAACATCTGAGGAACACCTGTCGGGGAAATTTGTGTGCATTGTGGACCAGTGGTCCCCACAGAAAGATTTTTGCTGCGTGTGCATGATGTGGCGTCCGTCATTTCAAGCCCAAAGGGAGGAACCTTGGAAATTGCGACTTTAGCGAATCCGCCACGTGGCCAACCACGTGGAGCTCATGAAGCGGGTTCATGTCTATTCTCGGAAGATTTGTACCTTCATTATTTTGGAGTGCTGCACTAGTTGGAATTTGTAGTTTCATTGTTTATGTCTATGGACGTCGAGCTGATGTGTACCAAACGATTACCAAATGAGGTTTCATTAGCTTACGCTAAGACATGGGTAGTTGAAACTGAACACAGGCTGAACAGCAAGAACAGCATAAACAGGTAGGACTTATGTACACTAATCGAGTGTCCTGCAGTAGCGCCTGGAAGGCAAGTTTGCAGGAGCAGCCGAGTACTCATCTAGCGCAGGAGATGGTGACGTGGACCCTTTGGCCTCAAGGGCGTCTTGGAGGGACTGACCCTGAAAACAGATGGAGGATTGGCCAGTTGAAAAAAAACTCGGGAAAAATAATACTGCAGCAATTTACGCCAGGTAGTTCAGCTACCGTACCTGATTGGCAGGCTATCCAATATAGCTCCACTGCAATTCAGAGCAGCCATTGCACTCTCCGCCTGCAAACAGACGCTAGAGATGTTAGAAGACTGCAGACAACGCCTGGCTTCTAGAATCTTACAGCTCCACAGGGACAATCCTTGACCCCTTTAGGCAAGAATTACAGCTTACCATCACAAACTCGACAAAGGCAATCCTAGTGGAATGCTGGGAGTCTCCAAGCAACCGAAGACGTGAAACCTGTTGGTGCAAAATTTGAAACTTTAGAAAGAAGGAAAGAAATAGAGAGAAAGAGAAAAATATGGGTGGTGATGACTTGAGGTCCATCGAGGTTTGCATTGCACACATACCTCTCCACAGAGTGACTCAAAGAACAGCTTCACATCAGAATGAGCAACCTGCAAAAACACAACGGCGTCAGTCAAAGGACTCATGGTGTACACCCTGCCCATGGAAAACAATCCGGGCACAGCTCACCTTCTTATCAATGTTCGTGCAATAGATAGTGCGAGCACACATCTCCTTCTCGCCCTGGCTCTGAACATTGCAAGGAAATCCAGAAAATCAATTTCTCTGAGCAAGGGGGCGACAAACTCAGCAAAGGCGGAAGTGGGCTGTTTTGTTTGTACCTTGGGTAGATAATTGGGGTTGACTGGCAGAATGGCAGTCTTAGAAGGTAAGACGCGGAGTGGGTAGTAACCCAGCATGGTTCCTGCCACAGTCAGGGCTTTTTTTGCTCCCTCTGCAACATGAAACCCACATGCAATGCAACGTGGATGAGCGTTATAACATGTTTCGAGGGGTTTAGCACGCCAGCCAAACATACTCGAGCATGACTTACCTTCGTTTGTGAATTCCACAAAAGCGAATCGAAGGATAGAATTGGGGTCTCCACAGATTCGACAATCAACGACCTGTGAGAAGGAGTCACAAGTGTTTTAGTTGAAATGAGAACACTCTTTGATGATGAATGAAGTAAAACAAGCGCCTTATACCTGACCGCAAGACAAGAAAAGTGTAGCAAGCTGTTCTTCTGTAACCTGCATAGGGAAGGGGGTGACAGAAACGTGCAAAGGTACAGGGAACAGTACGTTGGAAGGAATAATGACATACTGCACATAAATCAAGGCTGAAGGCGAATCGAGTCAAGCATGTACCCTGTGAAGAATGGATGGTGTCAATACCTGCTGATCAATGTCAGAGACATAAACGGTCCTCTTGATGGATTCTTCGGTGGAAATTTGCGACGTTCGAGGCTGTCGTCGCCACCGCTCGGCACAAGCAGGAACCTTCTGCGGCTGCAAAGCATGAGAAAAAATGATTTCAGATTAAAGGGCAGGCTGAATGTTCAGAACAATAATGAGACGGTTCAGGAAAATGACAATCACCTTCTTCATGGAATTCCTTTTCGAGGAAGCGTATCTGGACGGAATAGTCCGAACAATAGCAGTTGGCCTGTGCTGCACAGTAGATGGGACATACTCCTCCGCGTTTGGATTGAGGCGCTGTAACATTGCCTCAATGTCCATCATGTTCTGCCGATTGGCGTCCGACTGAAGTTCTGAAGCAGCGTTTTGATACGAATCACCAAGATTGGTGATCGCGCCAGGTATGGCTGGTGGAGTACGGCAGCATAAGCACTCAATGCATGATACTGCTGATAGAGGGATGCGATCTGTTCTGCAGAGTAACCCTGGAAGGACTGCATGAATGATAGCGCGTTTTGATCAGATAATGCCGACGGGTCGACGACCCACACAGTATGAGGGCTGTACATCATCTGAGAAACATCAATCTGCTGCTGAACCAGAATCACGTCGCTCCCAGAATCAGTGTCACTGAGAGTGGCACTTTCGTCACTGCAGACACTTGAAGCCTGATCATGAATCTCTTGAGCCGTCTCTACCTCAGCCATTGTCATCACAAGGTCAGCGGTGAGGAGAGTACTGCTTTGTCCGTGAGAAGGTACTCGCACAAAAACACAAGCTACAATCACCGAGTGATACTTGAAGGTACCGTAGCTGGTCTGGCCAGTTATGAATTTCTATTAGTGCTGCTGTTTGAGGAGTACCGCTGAATGCCATTTAGCGTCGTTTCCCAGCAGTTATCAACTCGCTGTGTGGTTGGAGGCAGGAGCCAGAAAGACGCGCGAAGCGAAATACAGCCGACAGATGCTGTCAGTGCGTCTCCGTCTAGTGCCTTGAAATCCGTCGGCCCGTCGGAATTTCTGTACCTGCAAAATGCTCGATCCGCTATGCTTGATGAAAGAGCAGTTTTCCCGTGACCTTTTTGACGGAGACGCTTCCAGGATTGCATAATCTGTTCAATGGTTCCGTCTATTGACGGAATGATCAGCTCAGGTGATTCTGTCTGGCGGGCAATTGGCGGCCAGAGGTTCAAGGCAGGCAATTGACAAAATGCCCCACGGACACAAGACAGGGTAGGAAGGAAGCTGATTGCCACTCCAAGGTGTCATGGTCTCCCCAGTCAGGGTCAGGCCGAACATCCCTCCACCCTCCCTTCCCCTGTCGTTGATCCATCTGGCTGAACATGCCTCCACCGTCCCCTGTCGCAGCGAAAGGCAACGTACGTACGTCAGGTAAGGTGTGGCCCGTACCAGACGAGTCGTTGGCTCGTACCAGAAGAGTCGTTCGGCTCGCTAGCGGGAGGCAAACCGCCCATGTCTTTCGCTGCAGTTGGGTGTGGCGAAATGTACAGTTCGAGGTTTCGCCCCATCGGGAATGCCGGGGGAGTTGTGCGAAAAGCGAAACCGCAAGGATGAAGCGGCACGGCGCCGTCACCTGTCATGGCTGAAACGAAACCAACAGCGCATGTCTGCTTGTGCTTGTTCGTCGGTCCAAATTCTGGTGGTTTAGGGGGTGTCCAGCGCGTACATTTTGGGGTTTTACGTGCCCATACACGTATGGAGGTTCAAAACGTATCACTGTACCTAAAAACGAATGCCCCGTGAGCAGAGTCCATTCCTCCTGTAATGTCTAGCGCGCGGACACAATTCCCCCCACACATTCTTCAACAGTGCCTGCACCAGCTGGAAACCTAGGTAACTGGTTTCCTCGTGAATGACAGGGCTGGCATTTTCGCTCGGTCGAACTTTCCACGACCGAGCGAGCCGCACACCAAAACAACCTGGCGGGCACTCCAGCCCGCCCATGCGACCTGCATTGAAACACACACAACATTGGGAGGGCACACAATCCCTCCCATGCGCAAACGACAAACATACAAAACACCTGGAGGGCACTCCAGCCCTCCCATGCGCTCCGTCAAATCAACACAAATTCCAAGGAGGGCATTGCATCCCTCCCATGCGCTCCCATCAAACCAACCCAAATCCTAGGAGGGCATTCCATCCCTCCCATGCGCTCCCGTCAGCCAAACTCACTTCGCAAACGGCCAGACATGCATCTATAATACGATGCGTTCTGATTTGGCAACTATCTCTCTCAGCGATGCCCATCATGGCAGCAAGAACAATTCGTATAGTTAATTTAGCGCACCAAGGCCTCGTCGCATGTGTCATCGCCCCTATTGGCAATGTGCTCGCATCTCTACTGCCCGCTCTGGTGAATTCTGTTGCTGCTGCTATGCGGGAAGAAGGAATCCTTCGTGATCGCGCTAGTGTGCGAGCAAGGTGGCAGACGCTGCTGAACGAGTTCTCAGACGACCTGTACATCGCCATGTTTCGTGTCGAGAAACACGTGTTCAATTTCATCGTTCAGGAGTGGCTCATAGCTCGTCCGCGGAAGTCAACGTTGAACTACACACATGAGCTCCGTGTCGCCCTGGGTCTGTCACGCCTTGCGCATGCATGGAGTTATCGCATGTGCGGTTTGCACTTTGGAGTGAGTAGGAGCGCCGCTGTTACCATATGTGACGAGTTTGAGGACTTTGTTCTCAAAATGTTAGGTCCCGATTGGGTCAAGTGGCCTGACTTGGATGACATGCCTGCTATGGCCCGTGAATTCCAGAGGCTTGGCGGAATTCCGGGCGTTGTAGGTGCGCTGGATGGGACATTCATCAAGGTACGCGGATTCGGGGAACACCGCGCCGACTTTCAGAACCGTAAGGGGTTTTATAGCGTCATTCTTCAGCTTATCGTCGATGCTCATGGTGACATCTGGGATTTCGATGTGGGCTGGCCTGGGAGTGTGAATGATGCGCGTGTGTGGAACAATAGTGAAGCTTGTGCTCGCATTGAAGGAGGGGAGCTACATGGCTATTGCCTTGTTGCTGATGCAGCTTACGGACTACGAGACTACACATTCACTCCCTACAAAGTAGACAGGACTACAAACCTACTCACAGACGAAGAGACAACATGGAATAAGCAGCAGAGTCGCGAGCGCATGATCGTCGAGCAAACAAACGGAAGGCTGAAAGGGAAATGGCGGATTCTTGACGGGCGCATGGAGGCCAACATCCGCAAGGTGCCCCGGACCGTGGGGGCATGCGTGGTGTTACACAATCTGGAGAACACGCTGAGCAGCCGCCCTCGCGCCGGTGCCCCTCGCGAAGGACACCGTTGGTGGCTTGAAGGTCCGGCAGCCGAAGCAGTCCACACCACGCCTGATACGGCCGCGTTTACTCCAGCTCTCCGTCGTGATCGGTTGGCCCATGGCCTCCATTCATCCTGGGCTCGGACTCACCCGGCCATGACCCGACCAAAGACCGGGTAAGGCTCTCAAACCTGTCGCATGCACGGTCCACAGCACTGTTTATGGCGCTTGCGATGCTTTCCGCCATGACCGTGGCAATTGCAGCCTCCGGGCCAACACCAATCAAGCCTGCCGTTGACCGACCATTGCTCTGTGTTGGTGATCCCCCTGCAGGAGGCGTCCCCGTCCCACCCGCGGAGGTCGAGGGGGACGCGGTGGGAACGGAAGGTGATGGCGTGGATGGCGAACCAGTGCCAGACGGCGGTGCGGTGGGCTGATTAGTTGTGGTTACTGGAGTCACCACCGCCGTAGTAGGAGTGCGTGGGTTAGGCGTGCGTGAAACAGGCCCGCTTGGCGTAACCGGGGAGTTCACATCCGTAGATGGAGTGCGCGTGTTCCGTCCCGATCCACCAGTCGTTGCAGCACGGATGGTGGCATCCACACTTGGGATGGTGGTGGTAGTAGATGCCAGAACAGCAGGCCTTGCACGAATAGGACCGACGTGCGTCACGGCTGTTGGGGTAGGAACTGGTAGGGGAGTAGGAGTGGTTATCATCGCAGCAGTCACACGGTGGACGGGCTGGACTCCAGGGCGATGGCCACGGATTGTCTCCATCAGTCCGTACCAGGAAGGGAAGTAGCGGATTGCACCGGCGCCAGAGCGAGACAGCCTGTCGCGGAGCTGTTTGTACTGCGCCTCGATCCTCAACATTTTGATTTTGATCGCCCCTCGGCTGAAGCGGAAACGGGGATGGCGCTCAAGCACCAGCGTGTGGAGTGCAGCCCAGTAGTTGGCACCTTGAACTCTGCGCATGAGATCCCAGTCAGGATCCAGGTCGACTCTGGCCTGCACCAGCTGAAGCATCTCTGTGGCCGTCCAGTGCACACGCGGGCTAGTGGGATCGTCCCTCGGATTAGTAACAGCTGGAGAGCGGACGAGCGGGACCCCTGCATCGCCAGAATCATCAACAACGGGCCCACCATCAGGAGAAAGGTCGAGGTCGCCTGCGTTGTGGTCGCTCTGGGCTACCTGCAGATTTCCAGCAGCGGCACTAACAAGGGAGGGGGGGGCGGTAGTGGTTGGAAGGGCAGGTGCAGTGGACTCTTCAGTCCCGATCTGGTTGTTGTTGTGCTCCATAGCGAAGGATGTTGAAAGTTGGCAGTAGATAGTGGATTCAGGACGGATTGTAAACTCAGCAACTAGTGTGATCAAGTTTGTAAGACTGGGGTATTGCAACACGAGGTGCCTCGTTTAAGTAGTGATTTGTTGAGGGAGAAAAACAAGTCGATGCATTTCTGCTTGGGGCACGTTAGCGCGCGACTTAGAACGAGTCGCCGTATGATCGTGGCCATTAAGAGCGAGACCCGCCGTATGTGACGGGCGCTTCGGCAGACATGAGCGTCATTGCGCATGCTTGCCCGTCGAATGCGCTGGGTAGGATTCGAGTTTACTTTGTTTGTGTCGGCGTATTGTGCTGGGTTGGTAATTTTTCACTTGGTGGTGGGCTGGGAATTTGGTCTGCCGTGCAATGTTGTAGGCCAGAGCGCAGGTGGTTTCGGCGAGTGTCGCGCGGCACTGGCGAAATCGTGCCAGCCATACAGGGGGATACTTACTGTAGCGGGCTGGACGCGGTTTTGTACCCTAGTACGCGCGCATGCTGCGTGCAGTTACGTGCGTCACACGACGCGAGGTACGTGCAGCTGGCGTACCGTCTCCTACACAAAATTTGGTCGTGTCCACGCATTCTGTAAATCACAGTGTTACAACTCCAAATGTGGTAACTGTATGGCTTTATGAGCTGTAAATGTACGCGCTGGATACGCCCTTATGGAAGTATGATACCGCCTCTTTCTGACGGCCCGCACACACCGTACTGAGAGACGTCACATGTTACAGAATATGTATGCATATGGTTATGAGCTGTAATGGAAAGTTCGCAGGATAAATAAACAAGGCAGGTGTGACTGAATAAATCAACATACAGCGAAGAGTTAAGGGTTGTGGGCGATGCAGCACAGCTCTAGTAAGGGTTTGAGATTCCTGGTACAAGTAACCAACAAAAAAAGATTATGTTCCTCAAACATTGTATAGAGCAAGAAATTCTACACATCATACCGTATCATTCTACACATACCCTACAGTTTGTACAACCAACAAAGTGAATATTCAATCAGACAGCTGCATGTGAACTGCCACATCCCATCCCAAGTCACTAGTGAAGAAAATGGGACTTTCCAATCAGAGTGTGGTACTCTTCCACGAGTTTGTTTTCCTTCAAGAAGGGTGGCTTCTAGCAGGGTGCGCGGAGATGGTGGGCGTAAGGACGAGCGTGAGCAGCAGGAGCATCACAACCACAGGAACCAGCATTAGCTCCGCAGGTGGCGGAGCCACGTCTGACAAGCAAGCAGGAAGCAGCACCAATACCACAGTCACCACAGCCATAATCGCCATTACGGACTTAACTGATGCCATATGGGACGTTTTAGCCAGCCCTGTGCCTGCTGACCCACTGTTATCGCCTCCCGCGTGCCCTAGATGATCCTCGTCATCCTCGTCACCCACTGCCGCGTTGAACAAGGCCGTAACCCCAGCAGCCTGTCTATTGCTTTCCGGTCTCTGTGCAATAAGATATCGACCTCCTTGTCCCATGTCGACCTCCCTTTCCGCAGCAGCGCAGGCTGCTTCCCTCCCGTACCTGTCCCCGTCCCTCCACCAAGCTTCCGTGTCGTTCGTCGTGTGGCCGCGCTCAGCCGTCGGATACTCGTCCCCTATGCCGTTGAATGGCGTTCCGCGCGTCCCCGCGCCTTGCATTACCCCTCGCGCGGCTCCAAAACGAAGGTCGGACGACGACCCCGTCTCTGCGGCACGGGGTTTGCTGTACCGCGCGCGGCTTCCGGCTGCGGCGGCTCTGTGTCCGCTTCCGGCGGCGTATTCCGAAGCGCGAAACGCGGCGGGGTTATCGTGGCTCCAGCTCTGCCTACCCAGCGTGCTCGCGCGTGCGCTGCCGCCGCGCGGAGCGGCCTGGCTGTAATTTCCGCCTCCGGCGGCAATAGCGCCGCTCTTGGCGCCGGGATGGCTATAACGCTCGTAGCCGTACTCAATTTCGGCTGCGTATACAGCTCCGTCACCGCCGCCAGCGCGGTTCGACCGCGGATCCCGCCGTTCCGCCGCAAGAGACGGAGGGAACCCGCCCTGCTGCTGACGATGCAAATCACGGTGCTGCTGAGTCAAGAAAATGCTACTGCGTGGGCTTCCGTGGCCGCTTCCGCTTCCACGATGACTTCCCCCGTCGCCGCTTCCGATGCTACTACTTGATTGTTCCGCACAGCATTGCGAGCTGAAAACGAGGCGGTCGGCGGAATCTTCCGCATGAACGCTTCCGTCGGCGCTATTGCGGTCGAGAGTCGCGGCGGAAACGCTGTCCGGGGAGCGGCTGGTGAATTCTTCGGCTCGATCGCGAGGGTTATATGGCGACATAGTTTGCGGCGCAAGGCATACGTCGTCTTGATCTCGATGTCGATACATTGTGCTGGAATCTAAAATAAGTATGGAAAGATGATTTTTTTGTTGCGGATGAATCAACTTGTGTGCGATCTAGTAGGAGTTGGTCGTTCAAATGTGTGTGACCAGGAGAAGAATTATTGAAACGCTTCGCTGTTAGCGAGATCTACAGAGAGTCACGTGGCGTGTGCTGCGTGTTAGACAGCACAGTTCCATACGCGATTACAGCATTTTCCCGATGGACCAAGGAGCGTCAGCAGAGGGAAATGCTGCTGGTTGGGCACGCAGAACCCCGTTCGTTCTTGGATGGCGACGCAGCCTCACCTCACCTCTCTCCGTCAGCCACACCTACGCGGCAGTGCTGCTCCACATGGCCGTTGGCCACTCCATACCTCCTGTCATCCCCGTGCCTCCTCACGAGCTTCGACCTGTCACAGCCGCGGAAATGCCATCCATGTGCTGGTGGGGAATGGTGAAGGTTGGGGAGACTGTTGGCACGGCATGGGCGGTGATTTGGGCTCCTCCTGGCTCGCCAGAACGCTCATGGTTCGGTTCGGTCAGCGTCAGGGGCTAGTTCGTTTGGTTGGGGTGGCTGGCGGTTGCTGCTGTGTGCAGCCCGTCATCATTTTTGTGACAGACTCCCAGCCCAGCCAGCAACTCGATTCGTTGTGGACGCCAGCGCAGCTCGTCAATCGTCGCGCGGGACACATGTGGTCAGACGTCATTGTCCACGGACGTTCATTTCCGCGAATGTCATCACAGGCGGGAGTACATTGCCAAGTCTGGCGCTAAAACAATCTTGAAACAACGAAAACAGAACATGATTTGTTGTCAAGAGCAGATTATACATACTACGAGTGCACGTAAAACTCCTTAATTTGTACAAATTAAGGAGTTTTACGTGCACTCGAAGTGCCCCGCAGTGTCAACAGTGACGCTTACCTCAGCTTTGTGTGCACGAGAGGGACAAAGAATGCTGGATGCCAGATGTCTTGCTTCGGCTTCTTGTGCAAATCCACCGCTGTTGTCCAACATGGAGATACGGATCGTGCCACGTTTATTTGTGGTGAAGCCGCGGCCAATATTGCTGAATGGTTTTCTTCAGCAAGCCCTCCTGATGTATGGGGGCAATCAAGATTAAGTGGCTTGACAGCTTCTGGAGAACGGGAAACGTGATTTCAGTTTGTAATTACTGCACTTAACATTTGTTCAGTTTACGTGCATTATATCTTCAACATTTCCAGTTGCGACTGTGAATGTATATGCATTGTTAGTGCAGACTCGTTCAGTTAAAAAAAAAAAAAATTGCTACGTCCTGATCGAAATCCGCGGTTCCCCAAAATTGTTGTTGGAAATGAGATGTGATATCTTCAGGTTTGTGAACGGAAGGGATTAGAAGCGGCTTTTCCTTCCATCCTCTCCTTGGCAAGACGTTTCGAGTGAACCTTACATCGGGCAGGCTACGTACACGTTTTCTTTGTCACAGTAGCATACTGGAACATGTTGTATCTACTCATGAGACAAAAAGTCAGGGCATTTTGTTTCCGAACTGGAACAACTTAACCGGGGAAACAATAACCAAAACCCACGCATATAGCGTGACAATGCAGAAGGCATGAACGAAAATACATTATGGCAAATAAAGTCCATTACTGATAATGCCTAATTGTTTTCTTTTAACCGCTAGCTTTCAATACGAACTTGGTTGTTTATTAGGTTTTTTTCTTGTTATAAATCTCATATGTGTAGCCTGCAAACGTTGGATGTCGTTTTTTGCTGCTGTAGATTGGCACATGACAAGATATTGGCCTTATTTGATGACCCTACATAACATTTGAGACTTATTTATACCCCTTTTTTTATTTCAGCGACATACAATATTGATAAAGGCGCAATAAACTTCCTTGGTCTAATTAGGATGTCGAACACCCAATCATATGATCCGTTAGACCGATGCAATCTCTTACTGAAAGAGGCATCTAATTTGGTTATATTCCGACCATGGTGATGATATTTCTTGTAGTGGGCAATAGTGATTTGATAAGGGTGGGCAAAAAATAATGGCCTGTAGGAATTTTTGCCATAGTTAAAGGTAGATATACAAGGAAGAAAAACAAACTCATTATGGTCCGACTGGTCGCGCCAAGAGCCAACCAAACTGGTCTGTGTTGTTGCTAGCCAATCCATGCGCTGTTTTGTATGCTAGCTTAGAGCGTCAAGTAATGTTGCATTACTGATTGTGTTCTGCGCAGCGTATGGACATAAGCTGTTGAATTCCCAGTGTGAATATAGTCGGGTTTGCTGTTAAACGATCAACAAATGTGCACGTTTGGTCTGGCTGGCTGGCTTGGGTTGCACAACAAACCTCTCACCTCTCTGGGTTTCGACTTGGTGGAGGGAGGAAAATGGTTTGATTGAAAGCAGGCAGAGACCTCCCGCCAGCTGTCCCAAGCATCCGCTCCGCACAAATCATCCTCCGTCGCCGCTGCACTGCTTGGAGCTTGCGCGGATGATTTCCTGACCTGATCCGATCTTTGCTTTACTCCACCCTTGCCAAAGCTGCTTGAAAAAAATACCCTCCCCGCGGCTCTTCGAGCTTGCCGCGGGAGGGCCGCGGGTCATATGATGGACCTGAAGAGGAGCCGGTTTGGAGACTTTTGAGGAGGCTTGACACGTAAACCGTATCGAACCGTCTTTCTTATTATATAAATCATTTTGCACCCACAGTAAATTCCCCGAGCCTGGGGTTCGCCACTCTGTCCATACCCAAGGGCCACGAGCACCTGGCTTTTCTGAAATGGAAAGTGCTTCATGGTGGTTTCTTCCTGACCACGCAAAAGACGCTGCACCGCAATTCCCTAGAATCTTGCCCTCGATTCAGTCAGTGCTCGGACGGGAGAAACCTCTGCTCAGCCTGCATCCCGCCCGAATCCCCATCACCTCATTGACAGAGGTGACATGAACGTTACTCGTTACCTTTTTCGACCGTTCTCAACACCGAGTTTTTCCCGTTGGGAAACACAACAAGCTTCCGAAGCCTTTTTCAGAAACAGCTAGTTTTTCTGGACACTACTAGTTTGTTTCGGCCGTATCTCGATCTTTCCTATCTTCGTCAGCTCTTCTCCTCGCCTAAAAAAAAATCAATTTAGTGAATTGGTTTTGAACGACTCTAATGTCAAACATTCTTTGATTCAGTTCACAATTGCCGGCTCGTTCCGTCAGAAGAGCGACCGACATTTTTTTTTATGGACTCCAGTGGAGACCAGAGATGGAAGAGGTCAGTGTTCGACCTCTTGCGCTTTACGTCAAACCCCTCCTTGCTTCTTCCTGCCGCTGTCGATCTGCACGCATCGCCTAATCCGTCTACGTTCACGTCCCCATCCGACGTCTCGTCCATGCATGTCATGGGTCCTTCGTGGCGTCTTCATAAATCGACCGGGTCTTCCGCTTCTCACCTCGTCCCCTACTCCGATCATATCCACTCCAGCGCCGACAATAACCCGATTCAGCGAAGGTCATCGGGGAGCTCGTTGTCTCCTTCTTCAGACCCTTTAAGGAGAACGTCACGACAAAATTCCTACGAGCGCCGGCGATCTGGCGACCAACCGTTCCCACCAGATAATCGATACTCTTCCTCCTCATCCTCCTCAATATCCGGCGGCCAAAATCGCGGAAGTCAGCAGCAGCGCCGTCATCCCGGCATGTCGTATCAAAGCAACCCAATCCGGTCACACGGGGACCCTGTCGAGGCTCATCTCGCTCACGCCGTTTCGGAGCTTGCTGCGACAAGAGTTCCACCCGCGGAAGAGCTGCTGGGGTTTTCCGAGCAAGATATTCAAGATTATAATCAATCTGATGGTCAAACAAGGACGCGAAGCGAATTAATCGGAGGGGCGAACCCTCCAGCTGCTCGGATGATGTCTCGTCGTGCGATCCTGGTGGTGACGGTCTTCCTGTTTCTGCTTATAGTGCTGCCAGCACTTCTCCCGAGCATTTCCCCTCCGCCTTCGGCGCTGCTGGTCATTCCCGTGATGCTCATGTTCATGCTTGTCTACCTAGCCCTGGCTCCTCACCATCTTCCTGGGAGGAACCATGTTTACACATAGCCCTCCCTATCTTGGCTCTTAGGCTCTAGCTTTAGTGCTCTTTCTCAGCTTCTGTTGCTAAGTACGGTTAGCGCTTCCTTGCAGGCATCGTTGCAGAAGATCCAAGACCTCTGACATTAATGCACAAGATTTAATGAAGCCCGAGTGATTTAGGTCAGATGCCACATGACTACAACCGTACACAATACCTCAGTACTGTACTAAGGGCATAAGATTTCCTGCCATGGATCTCACAACACTGTTTTCATGCAGGACTTCCACAGGAGAGCTAGTACACTTGCAACCACTTGTTACAGGGCATTTCTGAAAAGCAACACATGCAACCCACATGGACATTGCCTACAATATGTTGGCATGGCACATCATGGTACATCATGTACTCAAACTAGCACCATGTTTCAAGCACCCTGACCACAATGACCTCCACCTAGACCCCATATTTGGCCCAACAAGACCATGTGTCCAACAGGAAAGTCAACGACCCACCATAAGCTTTCTGGCCTGGGCAGGAACCACCACAAGGTGTTTGCTCATCCTCCAACCCATGAAGCAGATATATGATTACATGCTGACAGTGTATGGCTCAGGCAGCTGGGAAGAGAGAGCTGTCCAGCTGTGTCTGCTGCATGCCCGCACTCCCACTGCCTCCACCACCGGAGGATCGGAAATCCCGAGGGAGGGCTGAGAGAAGGCGACGAGTGGCCTCCGCCCTGGAAGGGAAGGGAGGGCGTATGGGAAAAGAGATGGAGAGAGAGGAGTGAGTGAGTTGAAGGGATACCGGACGGACGTGGAGGGGAGGACGGACGTGGAGGGGAGGACGGACGTGGAGGGGAGGTGGATGATGGGGAGGTAGCTGAACAGCCAGGATGTAAACCTGACAGGCAAGTGGAACCAGGTGCGGTGAGTTACACATTTTGAAATTACTTCTGAAGTGTACCTGCAAGCAAGCGAGATGTCGTCTCGATCCACCAACCCCAGCACCCGAAGACGCACTACAGGTGCCATGTCATCATCATTGTTGCTGACGTCATCGCCATCCGAACCACTCTCCCCATCCGTGCTATCATCCTCCTCTCTCTCACTCCCGCTGCTCCCCCCTCCACTTCCCCATCCATTATTTCCTCTTCGGTATTCCCTCTCACTCTCACTCCCGCTCCCACGCTCACTCTCACTCCCACTCCCACTCCCACTCCCACTCCCACTCCCACTCCCACTCCCACTGCTGCTGCTGCTGTAACCACCACTCCCCCCCTCACTATCACTCCCACTGGTGCTGCCACTTCCAGAAGCATCGCCCCCCACCCTCTCCCTCCTCACAACCATCTCCTCTCGCAGCACAACAGGAAGCTGCCGAAGCCCGCGAGCCGTCATTCGGTCGCGCGCCGCCCGCAGCGTGGTATCCGGAAAAGTCACCTCGATGGCCTCAGACGGCCGGCTCCGGGCGGCAATGCCAGACGAGTTAGAGGACGAAGGGTTGCCATTGGCATCCGGCAAAAGATTTGATTCTGAAGGGAAAGCTTCGGAATCAGGATGCTGGTGACAGATGGCAATGACAGGAAGAGACTCCACGTCAGCAGCAGCTCCCCCAGCGGAAAGCTGCCTCTCCGCCTCCTCCTGCACATCCACCAGCGTCAGCAGCCCATGCAGATACCCCCCATCCTGCAGCACCAAGCAGCACCATTGCCTGTGCGCCACCATAGACGCCACAGCATCCCGCACCATGGCCCGTACTCCCACTGCTGCAAAGGAGGTATTCATTGCTACTGCCACTGGCAGCTCCTCTAAAAGCTGCTCCTCTAAGAACACCCCGTCACGCACGTCCAGAGACACGCCGTCGTCGCGCGAGACGACAACAAGGGGAGGCGGCGGGGGGAGGGGTGCGAACGACGGAGACGAGGGTGGAGCAGGAGGAGGAGAGCTGGGTTGGGAAGGCGTCATGAAGCCTGGCTGGGGGTTGGTGGGGGAAGGGATTCGAAGAGGAGGGAGGTCTGCGGTTGGGAGGTCGAGAGAAGGAGAGGAGAAACCAGCAGATGGGGTCTCTTGTGAGAGCCCGTAGTTGCTTCCCTCTGGGCCCTCAGATCTAGAGTCTGTTTGTACTTCAGCTGCAGCCATTGCTGCTGCTTCTTGCGTTTGAATAGAGGTAGCACCCACTTCAGTGGATCCTACTTCTGATGGACTATCACCTGCTCCTGCTGCTCCTTTAGCAGGTGCGATTCCTGTCACACTGCTTACTGCTGCTGCGGCTACTGCTGCTGCTGCTGCAGCTGCTGTTGCTGATGCGTCTGCAGACCCCGAAGCTGCATCCACCACCACTGAAACTGCTGCTGCTGCCGCCACCGCTGCTGCTGCTGCCACTCCTGCTGCGGCCGCATCAGCCTGAGCCTCCTCAGCTTCTGTACCTTGACCACTAACAGACAGGGGAGAGGAGGTTGCAGGAGGAGGAAGGGGAGGAGAGGGTAGGGGGTCGGGTACCAAACCACTTGCCCTTTCCAGAACAATCACAGTCGCGTTTGACTCCGCCATGGCTGCTGCTGAACCACCTGAGAAACCACCTGAGGAAACTCCTCCGGATCCACCTGCCACATCGAGTATAACAGCTGGCACGAGCGGATTGGCAGGAGGAGCAGGAGGAGTAGCGGGAGCAAGGGCGGAATCACCATCTGTTGTGGCAAGAGCAGCGTTATCAGCTTCGGCTGCTTCCGCCGCTGCTTCCACGGCAGCTTCGGCAGCAGTCGCCGCAGCTTCGGCGGCCACGCCTGCAGCTTCGGCAGCCACTTCCGCAGCTAGATCTAGCTCCGGCATGAACGCCGAAGCCTCGGGATTATCATACGCCTTCTCCTGTGCACTGGATGCTGCTGCTGCTGCCGCTGCCGCTGCAGTTGCCGCTGCTGCAGCTGCTGTTGCAGCCGCGGCTGCTGCACTTGCAACCTTGGGTCCAGAGGAAGGGGTTCTGGAGAGGGTAGCACGTTTAGGAGAGGAAGGAGGGGAGGAGGAGGGCGAGGCGAAAGGGGAGGAGTGTGCAGAGGAGATGGGTGACTCGTAGGCAGAAGAGCTGGATGCAGCGTAAGGGCCAGAAACCGGACCAGAAGTAGGCGGACCATACGCAGCAGAACCAGGAGGTGCTGTGTACCCCTGGGGAGAAGAAAAAGATGCTGCCGCTGCCGCCGCCGCAGCAGCAGCGGTAGAGGCAGCAGTAGCAGGTGGGGTTTTGTTAGTATCTTCAGCCCCCTTCCCTCCACCACCCTCACCAGCACCACCACCATCCCATTCTCTCCCTCCTGCCTCCTCCCCTCTAGCCTCCCTTCTCATCCCCTCCCCACCTCCTCCTCCACCCACCCAAGACCCTGGCCCAGAATAAATATCCCCCGTATAGAGTGCCCCAGGATAAGGACCGGGAAACTGAGACGGCGCGTAGGAAGGAAGAGGAGCAGAAGGGGCCTGAGAAGCCATGTAGGGAGGACGAGTAGCAGCAGCAGTAGCAGCAGCAGCAGAGTCAGGAGCAGCATCAGTAACAGGAGCACCAGGAGCATAGGAGCCTGCCCCAGAGTAAAGCAGTGGCGAGGGGGGTACGGGCGACGGGGGAAGAACCGGCACGAGGGACGGGGAGAGAGGGCTGGGATAATACGAAGTCGGATATGGGTAGGAGGAGGAGGATGAGGAAGGGGAGGAAGAGGAGTAAGGAGGGGAGGAAGGGAATGAGGAGGAGGAGGAGGAGGAGGAGGAGGAGGGAGCAAAGACGGTGACGCCGCCCGGTTGGGGTCTTCGAGGCTTTCTGGCAGCAGTGGAGGCGAGCCAGGAGGAGATGCCGACTGCTGCCATGAGGGGTAGAATGATGCGGTAGTCCCGTGTGAGCTCAAAGAGCAGGAGGACGGAGGTTAAGGGAACTTGGCATACTCCTGCCAGGGTAGCCGCCATTCCCACCTGATGGCAGTTGGGGAGGAGAGGGGGGAATAGGGAGGGGCGCAGTAGCCATTAGGGGCAGAATAATGTGGTAGTTGCGAGTGAGCTCAAAGAGCAGGAGCACGGAGGTTAAGGGAACTTGGCATACTCCTGCTAGCGTCGCTGCCATTCCCACCTGATGAGGGTGGGGTTGAAGTTGAGGGGAGGGAGACAGGGAAACGAGGTTGGGAGGGTTGGATTGCGGAGAGAGTGAAAAAGCGAGCAAGGTTGGACAGCCATAGAAAGAGCTAAGCCTACTAAGGCATAGGCCTGGGGGAAGAGTACGAGGAGAGAGGGAGGAGAAAGAGCGGGTGAGGAGATAGTGAGCAAGGAAAGAGGGCAAGACTTACCATAGCATACGCCTGGGGAGCACTTTTGTGTCGACTCAAAAGTCAACGTGAGGAGATAGTGAGCAAGGAAAGAGGGCAGGACTTATCATAGCATAGGCCTGGGGAGCAGCCACTTGGATCCTCGTGAGGGTGAGATCCGGGTCAATGAACGCCAGCACGAGGCATTGAGGGATCTTACTTGAGGCGAGATAGCCATGAAGGAGACGCTGTAGCCAAGAAGGAGACCCTTACTTACCATAGCATAGGCCTGGGGAGCAGCCACTTGAATCCACGTGAGGGTCAAATCCAGGCCTACCGGGTCAATGAATGCCAGCACGTCGCTGGCCAGCCGCCTCAGAAGAATGAAGAGAGGGCGAGCAGAGAGAGCGAGCAGGGAAAGAGACCCTTACTTACCATAGCATAGGCCTGGGGAGCAGCCACTTGGATCCACGTGAGGGTGAGATCCGGGTCAATGAACGCCAGCACGTCACTGGCCAGCCGCCCGTATGCCGCCCCGAGCGCCGCCCCGATGAAGAGCGAGGGCGCGTAGAAGCCACCCACGAGGCGAGAGCCGCGACAGAAGGCCGTGGCGAGCACCTTGACTACCACTAGCTGCAGCAGGAACCCCGGCTGGTGATGGGAGAAGCGGGGATTGGGGTGGGGGACAGACGGCAGAAGAGGGGAGATGAGGGAGACTGAGGCACCGGAAGCTGCATATGAGTTGTCTGAGCCACGACAGAAGGCCGTGGCGAGCACCTTGACTACCACCAGTTGCAGCAGGAACCCCGGCTGGTGATGGGGAAATGGAGACCACAAGAGAGGAAGTGAGGGACATGAGGGAGCGGAGGGAGATGAGCGACAGAATGCCATGGCAAGGACCTTGACTACCACTAGCTGGAGGAGAAACCCCGGCTGGTGATGTGAAGGGGGAAGGGGGAGGAAGATAGACGACAAGAGGGGGGGATGTCAAGGAATGAGCACCAGACTACAAGAGGGGGGGATGTCAAGGAATGAGCACCAGACGACAAGAGGGGGGGATGTCAAGGAATGAGCACCAGACGCTGCCCTTGCCGCCTTTTGAGCCGCGACAGAATGCCATGGCAAGGACTTTGACTGCCACCAGCTGGAGGAGAAACCCGGGCTGGTGATGGGGAAGGGAGAAGGGGGAGTGAGAGATGGAGGGGACAGAGGCACCAAAAGCTGTGTATGAGTCGTGTGAACATTGACAGAAGGCCGTGGCGAGGACCTTGACTACCACTAGCTGGAGCAGGAACCCCGGCTGGTGATGGGGAAGGGAGACAGAAGGGGGGGAGGGAAGATGACACAAGAGGAGGAGATGAAGAGGCGAGCATCAGAAGCCCCTCCTGTGCCGCCCCATCAAAGGTGACGGTGCTTAGAAGTTGTACGTACCACAGGTGAGGCAAGCAAGAGAGCCAGAGCATGTGCGTGCCCAAAAGGAGACACTTACCGCAGGCGAGGCGACCAGTGGATGCGACGTGCTGAGGTCATTCACGTTCTGGAAGCCCCAGTAGAGCACCTCGGGATACACCAGTGAGATCACCCCGATCCCCAGCCCTCAGAGCAAAGCAGAGCAAATCAAAGCATGCAGCATGGCACCAAGCCACACAACACTTACTGCAGGGGAGGCCACGAGGGGGTGTGACGTGATGAGGTCGTTCACGTTCTGGAAGCCCCAATAGAGCACCTCGGGATACACCAGCGAGATCACCCCGATGCCCAGCCCTCCGATCGCCGGCAGCAGCACAGGCGGCACGTTCGTATTTGCCTCCAACCCATCAAACATCGACGAGAAAAACGCCGCCGAGCGGGTAAGCGAGATAGACACCCCGCCACAGCACAACCCTAGCAGCAGATACAGCGGCAGCTCCGCCGGCGATCGGAGCTCGTATAAGGGCACGTGGATGGATGGGTCTGCGCCCAAACCAGCTTGGGAAACCACCGCAGCGAGAACGGAAGACAGGAGGATCATAGCCGTGGTGAGGCTCGCAGGGGATCCTTGCGTGGACGACCGAAGAACGGATTCCAAAGCAAAGAAACACCCGGCAACCGCAGCATTGAACCCCGATGCAATACCAGCGGCGGAACCCGCTGCCACGAGTGCGATCGTGCGCTCGCGGCTCCCCCGGACGATGCTCCCTGTGGCTTTCCCGATGCTGGACCCGATTTCCACGCTCGGGCCTTCCGGACCAAGGCTGTTGCCCGTGCCGAGCGTGACCGCTGCCGCCAGGGCTTTCAGGACCGGCCGAGCCACGGCCCGAGCCTTGCGGTTAAGCTCGGAGAGGTCGTCCGGGGTGAGGAACGGCAGGGAGAGGACTGGTTGTTTAAGAGTCTTCTTCTGCTGCTCTGTTCCCTCCTCCTCTTGCTGCTGACCACGGCCCTGCTGCTTCTGCAGCTGCTGCTGTTGGCGCTGCTGCTGCTGCGTGCGGGTGGGAGCGGTATCCTTGAGTCCCGATCGGAGCGAATTGAGGATACCAACGGCAATGCCGCCCGCCAGAGGCACCAGGAAGAGGTGCCACACGTCGCCCACCGGTTGGTCCCTCAGCCACGCGGAACCCTCCTCGTGAGGCACGTTCTGGAAGAGTGTATCTCGGATAATGTGCACCTGGGGGTGGCAGGGAGCAGTTAGGAGTGGTGGGGAGCGGTTGGGAGAGGTTTTGAGTGGTTGAGAACGGCTGAGAGCCGTGGGGCAACACGGCAGATGGAAAGAGATGACTCAAAGCCAGCCACGCCGAGCCCTCCTCGTGAGGCACGTTCTGGAAGAGCGTGCCTCTGTTGATGTGCACCTGGGGGTGGAGACAGGTCAGAGTAGACGAGATTAACAGATCTGTGAGACCTCTGGAAAGTTGAAGACTTAAGGGAGGGAGTGCCGCACAAGTTGAGAGGTCTCAAAAGTTTTCAAGGTGAGATAAACCGGACTCACCGTATCGTTAAATAGCACCACGGACGAACCAGTCAGCACGCCCACGAGGCACGACACAACGCCCAAGGTACTCTCTCATTGCCCACAGGGGTTGCGTTTAAGCTAGCATGACTCACCGTATCGTTAAATAAGACCACGGACGAACCAGTCAGCACGCCCACGAGGCACGAAACGACGAGAATGAGCGACTCGGGCGGCAGAGACAGCGCCATGTTGTCTTTCACCGCTCTCAACGCCTTCACACTCCACTGCGCCACCTGCCTGCGCACGTGAGCCTGGGAGGGGGGAATCCAGGGTCCTGACACTGCCTTGCTTTTCTCTTGCCCGTGCCCCTTGCTCTTCTCATGCCCATGCCCATGCCCATGCCCGTGCTTGTGATTGTGGTGATGGTGGTGGTGATGGTGATGGTGTTTTTGCTCCTGGCCGCGGCTGCTGACGTGTCGCTGCTGCTCCTGATTTGGTGAAGCTGGCACTGCCAGGTCAACACTCTGCTGTTGCTGCTGCTCCTGCTGCCGCTGTTGCGCCTGCAGCCGCGACTGCAAATCCGATTGCTGCCACAGCGCCTGCTGCTGCTGCTGCTCCTGCTGCTGCTGTTGCTGCTGATGCTGTTGTTGCTGCTGCCATAACTGCTCCTGCTGCTGCTGCTGCCACCCCCAAAGCTGCTCTCGTTGACGTTGAAAATCATTCTCCTGATCGTTCGTTTGCTGCTGCTGCCGCCATTGCTGCTCCTGCTGTTGCTGCTGCCGCCACTGCTGTTCCTGCTGTTGCTGCTCCGGTTGCTGTCTCTGCAGCGGCTGCTGCTGCTGCTGTTGTTGCCATTGCAGTTGCTCCGGTTGCGGCGGCGGCTGCTGTTGTGAATCCGGATACGAGTACCAGTTTTGCGGCTGCGGCTGTTGTTGATACTGTAACGATTGATGAAACGCGTGTTGATGTAACTCCTGGTATTGCCCATAGCTGCTCAACCCATCCCCACCACCGACACCGCCGCCCATACCGCCGCCAATCCCGCCGCCATTGCCGCTGCTATCATACACACTCCCAGACCCAGATCCGATCCCGTACCCCGCGCTTCCCCCCAGCTCCCCCCGCTCCGCGTCCGCGCGCTTCCCCTGCGCCTCCCCGCCGATGTCCCCCCGCCACCGCTGCCCCTCCCGCCGATGCCTCTGCACCGCCTCCTCCTCCTCCCAGTCGTCCTCAATATCGGGCAGAAAATAAAAATATTCTTCCTCGTCGTCAGCCGGTTGCCGTCGCGACCGCCGGCTAGCCGCCGGGAGTCCTGAGCGAAGGGCGCGAGCTTCCACTTTGCCGGCGCCGGTTGTTCCGCCGGCCGTCTTGCCGGACGACGTCCGCGGACGGGTAGAGAGCGGAGATGTGAGCGCGGGGGACGCGGGGAGAGAGGAAGGGGAGGAGAGGGAGTGGGGGGAGGGGCAGGAAGAAGCGGAGGAGAGAGACGAGGATCTGGGGAGGAAGGAGGGGGAGGGGCAGGAAGAAGCGGAGGAGAGAGACGAGGATCTGGGGAGGAAGGAGGGGGAGCGGGAAAGGAAGGGGGATGAGGGCGGGGAAGAGGCGGAAGGATGTCGCGGGGAGGCAGGGAGTAGGGGGGGCAGGCGCGAGCTCGGCAGCGAAGAATTTCCCGCCTTGCGGTTGGCGGAAGAAGCGGAGGAGCAGGCGGAGGAGGCGCGGCGGAAAGTCGGAGGTCCGGGGGAGTGCGGGGAACCGGGAGGGCGGGCGGAGGGAGAGTGGGCGGAGGGGGAGCGGGCGGAGCGCAGAGGCGTAACGACGTTCTTGTAGAAGAAGGAGGATATGTACAGGGGCGGGGCGGAGAGACAGGGGCGCAGTTTCTTGCGCCCGCTGCCACGTGGATCGCCCTCATTGGCCGCCCCCGTTGCTGTTGTGGTCCGCGGCGGGATGGGAAGGGCGGAAGAAGCGTGACTGACGTGGCAGCGGAGCAACGAGGGGAGCGGCGACGAGGCCTGAAGAATCCACGCGCAAAAGCGGTGAGAGCGGGAGGAGAGAGGGGGAAGGAAGGAAAGGAGGAAAGGGGAGAGGGAGGGGGAAATGAGGAGACAGCGGGACAGCTTACGGCACAGCTTCAGCGGCGAAACGGGGAACGGGACGGGGAAAGAGGTTTGATTTGAGTACTTTAACAAATCTCTCGCACGAAACGGGGAACGGTATGGGGTAGTAAGAGACAGAAGAAGGAACAAGATGGAAAGGAGGCACGACTGCAGTTCCGAAAGAGGTGACTTTTGAGTCGACTCAAAAGACACCTCGTTACAATGTCACACGACACATTTTGAGTCGACTCAAAAGACAGAAGAAGGAACAAGATGGAAAGGAGGCACGACTGCAGTTCCGAAAGAGTAAGTCGAGCAAGCGGGATGAGTGAGTCGATATGAACAGAGGAGGACGGTACGGTGACGAGGCGCGTAGGAAGACACGCTCCAGTTGATTGCATCAATACGACTTGAAGCAATTCAGTGACTTTTGAGTCGACTCAAAAGCCACCTCGAGTGGGAAGACACGCTCCAGTTGATTGCCTCGGTACGACTTGGAGCAATTCAGCACGTGTGGCCGCGGCGGGGCTTGGATCTCAGTGTGTGATAAGTCGAGTGTTGAGTCGACTCAATACTCGACTTATCACGCAATTCAGCACGTGTGGCCGCGGCGGGGGTTAGATCTCAGTTGCTTCGCTACACACGTCTACAGTGCTTGCCGCGTCTCCTAACGAGAGGAAAACGCTGAAATTTACGCACGCCGCGAGTCCTAACGAGGGAGTACTCTTTAAGTACTCGCAGATAATAAAGGCTTAAAGTGAAACGTACTGAAGTGGCGTATCGCGACACCCACGGGATACTTGTCGAAATAGTTCGTAGAAGACAAGTGGTAAGCTATTAAGGGGCACCTGATAAGCGCCTGGGGAGAGCAGCTGCGGTCGCGCGGCCTCCCTTTGCGCGCCGTAGTAGTGTCCGAGCTTCGGCCCCACGGGGCTTAGCTTTCCCATAGATCGTATCGTACGGTCCAGGTCCTTTTCCGCAAACTGCAGGCTAAATGCTCTGCGTTTCGTGAAACAACTACTTTCCTAGATGTCCTGGCCTTCAGTTGCCTGATTCTCGGATTAAAAAGACAGCCGACGTTTGGTAGTGGTTAAACGGGGAGCAATAATTATGCGGCGGCGCGCACCCCCTGCGACACTAGTATCGACGACTGAGCTATGTAGGAAGTTCAAAGTTTGATTGAACTGAGGGCATATGACGTGCCCAAGGTTCCTTAGATTCAGTGAGAAAACACTAATTTAGACGAAGCGGCATGGCAACAGGGCGATTAGGCGGGAGCTGCCATGTGCCAGAGCCATTGTCCTGGCACTTGATACATGGACATCCCTGCTATTGCTGTTCCTGGGTTGACATTTGACAATCACATCCCTTGATTCCAGTTCGCTCACGCAGGAGATCGCACCAATCAAGGCAGCACCAGCAGCCAACGAAGCAGTTGCTGCTCCTCGCAATTACCCTCGTCGGTTCCTCCTCAGCGAGCCGTCTGTCCCACTTCCCCCCCATCGCTGTTGTGCGCAGCTTTCCCCAACCTCTTTGTTCTCCGCGCGCACTACTTGACCTCCAACTGGTGCGCCAGGTCTGAGGCAGAATTTGGTTTCTCCTGATTGGAGAATCGGGGGAGGTCGCTAACCTGTACAGTACTATGCAACGGGTATGCTCGCGGAGAGGACTGTTACTCTGGATGAGTATGTTGCGGATCGACGGGGCTGCGGACATTCTAGTCATTCAGCTTCGGAAACATCCAACGGTTCAACGTTCTTGACTCGACCAGCCATGGTCAAGATTTCCCCCCAACGATTCGGGTAACGAGGGGGAAGGTGTGAGCGGAAGTGGGTGGGGAAAGATTGTGCGAGAAGAAGGGGGAAGGGGGAGGGGTGGGGGGGGGGGGGGGGGAAGGGGGTTGGAGAGAAGACGTAGCGCACTGACGTGTTACGGGGCAGTTTGGCGGGGAAGTCTGTGGGTGCCAGGTTGGGGAAGCCGACGTGAAATCTGAAGCATTTCCCGATTGGCACACGTAATCAGACTCCGACAGTTTGGGGCAGTCATGTTCAAGAACGCGGGCAGAATATGCTCTTCGGCCAGCGTGACCACTGCGTGGGATGACGTGGTTTGGGTGATTCAGCACCGTGGTGATTCGCTGGTTTCTCCCAATGAGTGGTGCAGGCTTCGACGAAAAATGATTGGACAGGGTCGACTGAGGTTACGAAGCGCTCCTGCTCCGGTTGGCTCCACGATTCGGGATCAGAAAAGGTCGGACTGTGAGAAGGTTGGGATTGGCCAGGGGCAGAGTCGAGATTGGAACAGAAGCGATTCACCCTGGCGACAGCAATCAGCTATTTCGTAAAGCTTCGTCAGGCTAACCAGAAACTGCGGGTGGCCAATGAAAAGCATACACCATCATCATTCTACACTTCTACCTTGATATATCAGTAAAGCGAGTCATCTTTCAAAGGAGCAGCACAGTTCTGCCTAGCGTGTTCCCTACGCTTTCTATGAGCATTTTTTTAGACTTGTCTCCCTTTTTTCTTCGCGTGGCTTTCACACAATCAATAGCGTCGCAAATCTGAATCCTAGGACTTTGCTTCGATTCGTAGCGCGGAATCTCTGAACGCTCGATCGCCATGGGGCCACCTTATTTACTCCTTTGGCGTCAGAATCTGAGGCATATATTTTCATTCCAGCGCCTTTTCATGAGTCGACTGTATGCAGCCACGTGGCATTTTCCTGCGCGTCCACCTCTGCACAAACCTGGCCATGTCATGGAAGAAAGGAATCGCTGGATTTATGCAGCAGCACTCCACCTGTCGTCACAGCTTCCCGCATCCTCCACGTCAGCAACGCAGTCCATCTCAGCACGCACCAGCAGCAGCAGCAGCAGAACCCATTGGTCGTCTGCCACGTTGGCAAGCCTAGCAACAGCCTCCGCAGCAGCAGCGGCAGCAGTAGCATCAGCTCCAACCCTAGAACCAGGATACGTTTACTGTGAATCTGGCCCTCCAGAACCTTCAAATTCCAACCCTGCTACATCCGAGCCTGCACCACAGGTTACACCAGGAGCTACAGACTCAGGGGATGTAGCATCAGAATCAATCAAATCAAATCTGGGAGAATCTGGGGGAGATCCGGCGGCCGGGGGAGCAGAAGCTCTAGAGCTGGCGGTGCGAGCGGCGAGGAGGGGGTTGTTGGTGAGACTGTATCGAATGAGACAGAAACGGGAGGCGGAGGAGGAGAAGAGGAGGACGGAGGAAGGGGGTGAGGGTGGCAGTGTGGGTGCAGAGACGTATATACTACCAACCCCAGTTGTCACCTGCAAGGGCCATCAGGTATGCATGCATAAATGTCAGCAGAAAAAATAATATTGAATATGGCTGTAAACGGTGATTTGGCGTCCGAATGCAGTTATGAACGGTGATTCGGCATTGTAACGTGGTTGTGAACGGTAATCCGACATTTCATGGTACATGTGGTTTCCCATGTATGCGCTTCTTCATCCTTCTGGGCTCTTCTCTTCTGACCTGATCCGCAATTGAAAGCATTCCTTTAATAATAGACTGTTCACCTACCTGCCTGTCCTCCTTCACCCGCCAGTGTCTGCCATCTCTCCGCTCTGCTCACCCACCTCATCGCCCACCTGGGCTGCCTGCGTCTCCCAGCCTGCTGCCATCTCTCCGCTCTGCTCACGCACCTCATCGCCCACCTGGGCTGCCACCCGGCTGCTGCTCCCCACCTCATTGCTTCACTGCCATCCCTTGCTGTGTTACCCATCACCCATCACCCATCACCCATCACCCACCAGGTCTCTGTGCGCCTGCGTCTGCCTGCCTCGTGCGACCTGTCCGCTCTGCTCACCCACCTCATCGCCCACCTGGGCTGCCACCCGGCCATCACTCCCGCACTCAACTCGTCCCTGCCTGGGAGTGCAGTGCAGAAGAGGGCATCGACAGTGGATGATGCGGGGGACATGGTGGGAGCAGGCGGCATGGCCGTGTATGCATGGGACAGGTGAGGGGGAGAGGCACAAGGGAGAGGAGAAGGGAACATGAGTCACGTTTGTTCACCTGGGCTGCCACCCGGCTATCACTCCCGCGCTCAACTCGTCCCTGCCTGGGAGTGCAGTGCAGAAGAGGGCATCGACAGTGGATGATGCGGGGGACATGGTGAGAGCAGGCGGCATGGCGGTGTAAGCATGGGACAGGTGAGGGAACATGGGTCTCATTATTTTTTAAGTTCATCCGTTTTTTGGGAGATTTTAACATGTGGTTATGCCTTGAGCGCTGCCTCTGTCTATTCGCCATATTTTTCCCAGTCTCTCATCATCTCTACACTCATACCGTTCCTCACTGCATACTGTGCACTGCACAACCTCGCTTCCCCCGTTTCTTGCATGTTCCTCTATAAACTGCTCGGCTCTTTACGTTCCGTTTTTCTGGTTACCTGGTCTCTTTTTCTCATAGCTCAGCAGCTGGTGCTGCTGCTGCCACTCCTCCCCTGCTAGCACCTACCCATACCGCCCCTAAATAATCCACTCTGCCCGCCCCCATTCCGCCTGCTATTCCCCCGTTCCTTGAGAATTCTAAAAAAACAGGCTCCTTGAGAATTTTAAAAAAACAGGTTCTTTGAGAATTCTCAAAAAACAGATTCCCCCACTCGCACCTACCCATACCGCCCCTATCCAATCCTATCCGCCCCCATTCCGCCTGCTATTCCCCTGTTCCCCCATCGTCCTTTTCCCCTTTTCCACTCCCCCTTACCACCTGAACTCTCTGCCCTGTGACTCTGCTGCTGGTGCAGATGCCCCGTTCCCCTTGCCGTTTCCCCCTTCCCCCTCTGATCTGACCTCTCAGTCCCATGGCTCTCCAGGTGGTGCTCGTGCCCCTGCTTCCCCACGCACACCTGCCCATACGCCCCCATCCATTCTCCCCCCTTCCCCGCCCACTGACCATCCCGTGGCTTCCTTCCCCCGTTTCCCTCTGACCTCTCTCCCAGCCCTGTGGCTCGCCAGATGGTGCTCATGCCCCTGCTCCCCCACGCACACCTGCCTGTACCGGCCCCACACAATCTGTTCTGCCTTCCGCTCTCTTCTTTTCCCCCATTCCCCTGCGACCTCTCTCTCAGCCCTGTGGCTCGCCAGATGGTGCTCATGCCCCTGCTCCCCCACGCACACCTTCCAGCACAAGCACACGCGGGCACAGACACCAAGAAGGAATCTGTGCAGGGTGAAAGGGAGACAGGGATTCAGGTGGAATCGCAGGTGGATCCTCAGGTGGATTCAACAGAGCCGGTGGTGGTGGCCGGTGGGGGCGCTGTGAAGGTGCTGCTGTTTGAGCCGCTTGTGGGACTTGGCACTCCGGTGAGTTGCACCCCTTTGGACCGCATTGTGTTAGAATCTAGAATAGAACGAGAATGAAGAAAGGAGGGGTTTCACTAGCAAGCAGTTGAGTACATATAGAAAACCCTAGATTGGGCTGTACTCGCTATAGAGTACCCCACTGCAGGCTAGACAAATACAACATTCTGACACATTGTACCAAGGCCCACCAATGAGTTGCACCGCTTTGGACCGCATTGTACCCCCAACTCTCACACTCCTTGGAATGTCTTCTGCTTTCATTACCCATCAGCTGCTTGCTGTCCTGTCTCCTCCCTTCAGCTGCTTCCTTTCATTACCCATCAGCTGCTTGCTGTCCTGTCTCCTCCCTTCAGCTGCTTCCTTTCATTACCCATCAGCTGCTTGCTGTCCTGTCTCCTCCCTTCAGCTGCTTCCTTTCATTACCCATCAGCTGCTTGCTGTCCTGTCTCCTCCCTTCAGCTGCTTCCTTTCATTACCCATCAGCTGCTTGCTGTCCTGTCTCCTCCCTTCAGCTGCTTCCTTTCATTACCCATCAGCTGCTTGCTGTCCTGTCTCCTCCCTTCAGCTGCTTCCTTTCATTACCCATCAGCTGCTTGCTGTCCTGTCCTCCCTTCTTCCCCTCCCTTTCCTGTTTCTCCCAGAAGTTTCCTGTTTTTTTTTTCAGGACCATTCACATCCTGCTTGTCGTCACCTCTTTCCGTGCTTCCCGTCCCCTTTCAACCTTTTTCTCTTCCTCCTGCTCTTCCTCCTCCTCCAACCAGGAAATCGAGTTTCTCAAGCCAGGCGCATTCACACCCACAGAGCTAGACATTATAGTCAGCACGGTCCAATCAGCAATTGACAGCTCATCACCCTTCAGGCCTCAGCAGCAGGCTGGGCCAGGTGGCAGCAGCAGCCGCAGCAGTAGTGGCGTTGGTAGTGCCGTTGGTAGTGGTCTTACCAACAGGAGTGGCTCACTGTTGCCGTCTCCTGACAGATCTCCTGACAGGGTCCCTGACAGAAGCACAAGCGGCAAGAGCTACAGTAGCAGGGGTCCCATTGGCAGTGGTGGTAACAGTGGTACTAGTTATGGTGGGGGAGATGGGCACACAGGCATGTCCCAGGCGATTGCTGAGAAGCTTCAGCGCATGGGAGTGATGGTGTATGCTCCTGGGGGAGAGGAGGGAGAGGGTGGGAGGGGAGAAGGGGAGTGGGAGGAGGGGGAGGAAGAGGAGGGAGAGGGGGGGGAGGGGGGGGAGGAGGGCAAGGGGGATGAGAGGATGTGGATGGATTGGGGCAATCTGGTTGGATATGAGGAGCAGAAACGGTAAGAAAGAAACCATGTCGTATGTGCAGTATTCAGGTTCCAGATGGTCTCCCCCTTCCCTCCCCTCCGCTCCTCCCTCCTTAACAACCCAACCCTCCCACCTGATTTCAGCTGCTGCCTGTTCCCATGCGCTCTCCCACACTCGCATCCTCTTGCCCCAGACCGTTGCCCCCACCAGGGGCCTATTTTTGAGTCGACTAAAAAAATCATGCAATCTTGCCCTGTACCGTTGCCCCGGTAGGGAAGGTAGAGGGCCACATGGTGCTGCTTGCTCTACATGGTGGCACGTGTATGCCAGCATTGCCACGGCCACACGCACCCACTTTCCCCATGCACTCTTCCGCATTCCCATCCTCTTGTCCCGGACTGTTGCCCCAGTAGGGGAGATAGAGGCCACGGTGCTGCTCGCGTGAAAAAAGGAGTGTTTTGAGACGTCTTAAAACACTCCTTTTTTCACGTGGCTTCATTCCCATCCTCTTGCCCCGGACTGTTGCCCCGGTAGGGGAGATAGAGGCCACGGTGCTGCTCGCGCTGCTACGCCCTGAAGTGTATGACATCATTGCGTGTGATGAGACGATTTTCTAGTCGACTCAAAAACCGCCCTGAAGTGTATGAGATCATTGCCAGTGCCACTCGCACACACTTGCCCATGTGCCCCTTTTCCCGCTCCCCTGTTCCCCACTGGTTTTCCCCCACCCCTCTCCCCTCACCAGTGAGATAGAGGACACTGTGCTGCTGGCTTTGCTCCGCCCTGACGTCTATGACAGCATTGCCAGGGCCACACGCACCCACTTTGAGTCCAACGCCCGCGCGCCGTACTGTTTGACGGGCCGCCAGGTGAGACCGTAAGAAGAGTGGGAGGTTTGGGGAGCTGCGTGGCGTTCAGGTTGCCTGTGGTGCTACTAGCAGCATTGCCAGGGCCACACGCACCCACTTTGAGTCCAACCGCCCGCGCGCCGTACTGTTCGACGGGCCGCCAGGTGAGACCGTAAGAAGAGTGGGAGGTTTGGGGAGCTGCGTGGCGTTCAGGCTGCCTGTGGTGCTACTAGCAGCATTGCCAGGGCCACACGCACCCACTTTGAGTCCAACCGCCCGCGCGCCGTACTGTTCGACGGGCCGCCAGGTGAGACCGTAAGAAGAGTGGGAGGTTTGGGGAGCTGCGTGGCGTTCAGGTTGCCTGTGGTGCTACTAGCAGCATTGCCAGGGCCACACGCACCCACTTTGAGTCCAACCGCCCGCGCGCCGTACTGTTCGACGGGCCGCCAGGTGAGACCGTAAGAAGAGTGGGAGGTTTGGGGAGCTGCGTGGCGTTCAGGTTGCCTGTGGTGCTACTAGCAGCATTGCCAGGCCCACACGCACCCACTTTGAGTCCAACCGCCCGCGCGCCGTACTGTTCGACGGGCCGCCAGGTGAGACCGTAAGAAGAGTGGGAGGTTTGGGGAGCTGCGTGGCGTTCAGGCTGCCTGTGGTGCTACTAGCAGCATTGCCAGGGCCACACGCACCCACTTTGAGTCCAACCGCCCGCGCGCCGTACTGTTCGACGGGCCGCCAGGTGAGACCGTAAGAAGAGTGGGAGGTTTGGGGAGCTGCGTGGCGTTCAGGTTGCCTGTGGTGCTACTAGCAGCATTGCCAGGCCCACACGCACCCACTTTGAGTCCAACCGCCCGCGCGCCGTGCTGTTCGACGGGCCACCAGGTGAGACCGTAAGAAGAGTGGGCGGTTTGGGGAGCTGCGTGGCGTTCAGGTTGCCTGTGGTGCTACTAGCAGCATTGCCAGGCCCACACGCACCCACTTTGAGTCCAACCGCCCGCGCGCCGTTCTCTTTGACGGGCCACCAGGTGAGTATGTGAGCGCTTGATGATGTTCGGGGGTTGTGCAGCCTGTGCTGCCTGTGCGGCCTGTGCTGCCTTTGGCGCTGTACCTTGTAACGCCGCACACACATGAGCCACGTGCACACACCGGCCATGAGTCCGACCGGCCGCACTCCGTACTTTTCGACAGCCCGCCGCGCCGCCCAGGTGAGGCTGTCTGGGGCGTTCAGTTTCAACGCCCTGTACCTTTCTGCTCAATAGTCTTTCGGATAAGACTTCTCGGCTGCAAGGCTTTTACGGCTTCACTGCATCTCTTTCTACTCTCCTTTTGCCAGTTCTTCTCTCCCCTCCTGTTTCTCTTGTTTCCCTCGGTTCCGCACACCCTTCACTTCTATCAGGCACTGGGAAGACGTCATGTGCAAGAGCCATGGCCAAAACAAGGTGACTCTGGAATCTACCCAAAAGACATCTTCGTTTTCATCCATCCGTCCTGTTCTTCCTTCCATCTGTGCCTCGCACACTTCACCCCTATCAGGCACTGGGAAGACGTCATGTGCAAGAGCCATGGCCAGACGAGCAGTGAGTGCCATGCCCTGCCATTCAATGCCATGCCATGCCATGCCATTCCATTCAATGCCATGCCATGCCATTCCATTCAATGCCATGCCATGCCATTCCATGCTCTGCCATGCTTTTCCTTGCCATACCAGGCACTGGGAAGACGTCATGTGCAAGAGCCATGTCCAAACGAGCGGTTGAGTGCGATGCCATCGTCTGCCATGCTATGCCATCTGTCATGCCACCTTCCATGCCATGCCACACCATGCCCTGCCATGCATTGGTGTACGTGCCACTAGAATCTGTAGCATCTAATTACTATGGATAGAGCAAGCACCAGCTATCAGAGCGTGTCCCTAGTGTACGTACCTCTCGAGTCTGTAGCGTCCAAGTACTATGGGGAGAGAGAGTGAGCGCCAGGTGCTACCCTTGGAAGTACTTTGGCACTCACTTCCCCTCCCCCTCCACCCGCCATCCCATCTGCCATCTCCTCTTTTCCACCCCCATCAGAGCGTGCCCCTGGTGTACGTACCTCTTGAGTCTGTAGCATCCAAGTACTATGGTGAGAGAGAGTGAGCGCAAGGGAGCAGCCTTGTAGCCCCATGTAGCGCTCATGACCCCTCCCCAACCCAAACCCCTTCCCCCCATCAGAGCGTGCCCCTGGTGTACGTGCCTCTTGAGTCTGTAGCATCCAAGTACTATGGTGAGAGTGAGCGCCAGCTGTCGACCGTGTTTGCGCTGGCCAATCAGCTGCACCCAGGTGGCGCCATCGTGTTCCTCGATGAGGTGGGTGAGTTTTGGGGGGGGGGTGTTGAGTGGGGGAAGGGCAGAAGAGGAGAGAAAAGGTGGCTGGTAAGAAAGTTTGGCTAATCATATCACTCGATGAAGGAGAGGGGGCAGCAGAGGAGGAGGAGGCGGAAGGGGAGGTGAAGGAAGGAGAAATTCAGTCAAGCGCAAGGATGGATATGCAGGTGTTGCCACGGGAGAGGAGAGCAAATCGAAGAGGTTACGGCATCTGCCTGGTGGAGATGGGGTGGATGACATGGTGACCGGGACTATTCGACTCTGACGATGCCACCAGGGACAACGATCCAATTGAGTGTAACGCGCAGCGCAGCACTTGCCTGCACGGCCCGGGTTCAGACAATGGCTGCGCTGCATGTTACACTCGATTGGATCGTTGTCCCTGGTGGCATCCTCAACCAAACCTCGACACTGCATGACTTCATCACTTGATCATGCACGTGCCAGGTGGATGCTCTGGCAACAGCGAGAGACAACGACATGCATGAAGCCAGCCACACATGCAATAATGTGCCTCATTCCAACCCCGACTCTATCCCATTACATTACTTTATCACTTGATCATGCACGTGGCAGGTGGATGCACTGGCAACAGCGAGGGACAGTGACATGCATGAAGCGACGCGGCGGGTCCTCTCAGTGCTGCTCAGAGAGGTGTGCTTCTTGGGGTGACTCAAGTTACATATGCGGTTTTCCAGGGGTGATCTCAAATGTTTCGCATCGTATTTAACGCAGGGGTACACATTCGAGTGTATTGGAGGAAAGGTTTCTTCACATTCGAGAAGTTGCTTCGCTGCACTCTATTGCTGCTCTCCTTGAAGCCTCTGATTGTACCGTAATCACCCCCTCCAGCTGTATTTCAAAGTTACCGGTAGAAGTAACAAAATGAAGTGTCACTAGGTTTCTTCTCACTTTCCTGTACATCTCCTGGCGCTTTTCCTTTGCGTGTGTCTGCTTACGACGTTTGTTTTGTTTTGCCCAGCAACTTTTCTTGTCTTGCACACCTGCCTGGCCTTTCCCCTTCCCTCCCGTGTCTCCCTCCCATTTCTTTCTCAGATTGCAGAACGGGGGGGGAAAAGGAAAGGCATGTGCGCAAGAGGGCACTGACGGTGGTGTGTATGTGAATACCTCACCGATCAGCCTCAATTGCTTTGCTGACGTCATGAAGCTCATTCAAGACGTGGGCTGGCAGGCTACCTCTTTTGAACAGATGCGTTCCAACCCACGTCTTAGATAAGCTTCATGACGTCAGCAAAACATTTGACCGGTTGATTGGTGAGGTTCTTCACATACACACCACCGTCGTTGCCCTCTTGCGCACCTGCCTTTCCCTAACCCTCCCATTCTGCAATCTGAGGGAGACATGGGAAAGAGACATGAGAGGGAAGGGGAAAATCAGCAGCAACTTTACCTCTTTGTGTTGTTGGAGAAGATGCGTATTATCTCTCGCCTGTTGCACACCCCTTTCTCCGTTCCCCTTGTTGCGTGCAGATGGATGGGTTTGAGCGGGACCGGGGCATTGTGGTCATTGCCTTAGTGCCTGACCCTCTAGCACGTGCATCTTGCTGCTTACCTTCCTTGACTTGCTGGCCCACTCTTCCCCCCTGCTGCACCCCCCCCAACCACGGCGTGCATGTGTGCAGATGGATGGGTTTGAGCGGGACCGGGGCATTGTGGTCATAGCTGCAACTAACAGAAAGGAGGACCTGGATCCGGCTCTCATCAGGTGGTGATTCTTTTCACGTTGCACGACTAGTTGGGCGCCTCGCCTCGAAAATAAAAAGAGGAACTTTTTAGACGCCTCACATGGAAACAAAAAAAAAAAAAAAAAAAAAAATGCGGCTCTCGTCAGTCGTTTCACGTCTCTTTGAAGCTTCCTCCATGATGCACACACTCGCGCTCTCATCACGGTTCCACTGTCCCACCATTATATATCGCCACATAAGCATCCCTTATGACCCAACCGTGCCTCACTTTTGCCCCCACACCCATGTGTGGCAGTCGTTTTAATGCAGCCATTACATTCTCCCTCCTGGATGCACACACACGCACACGGCCTGATCACAAGTTTACTGCCATAAGCTATTTCCCCTTCATGCCTCCCTTATGCCCTACCCATGTGTTGCAGTCGTTTTGATGCAGCCATTACATTCTCCCTCCCAGATGCACACACTCGTGCGCTGATCATCGCTCAATACGCATGCCACCTCACACCAGCGGACACAGAAATCCTTGCACGGGCATGCTACAAGTGAGTGTGCAGTTTTCCTTCTTTACATGCCCTGAAAAAAGTAAAACTCGCTTTTGCACTCACACTCCGCGCGCTGATTATCACTCCGTACTCGCACGACCTCGCACCAGGGGACAGAGAGATCCTTGCACAGGCATGCGTCGAGTGAGTGTGCAGTTTTCCTTCTTGATGCACCTACTCACACACTCAAGGGCACGCATCATCGCTCAGTATGCGCACCACCTCGCACCAGGGGAAAGAGAGATCCTTGCACCACCTCACACAGGCATGCGACCAGTAAGTTCACGATTTCCCTTTTTGACGCACCTCCAGAATACTTTTCAGATGCTCACAAATAGGCTCTGAGCATTGTTTTATTTTTTTACGCACCTCCAGAAAGTTTCCAGATGCTCAAACCCACCACCTCACACACACCCAAGGACAGGGAAGCCCTTGCACTGCAAACAACAAATGGGTAGTTGGCTGATAAGATGCCTTGGGAGCCGTTCATGAGCAGAGGAGAGCGAACTTCTGACAGGACTGGGTGACACGCCGTCGTGTGTTACCTACCTGCAAAGCTGATGTTTTTGGTGCCTGAAATGCGCCGTCTCATGTTGCTGCGTTGTGTGTAACTTCCTTTCAGCTCCGTTTTTCTTATGCATTGTGTTGCACTCCTCTATCTTATGATTTCTTTGCGGGCTCACAGCATGTCAGGGAGAGATATCCGCGATGTGTGCGAGCAGACAGAGCGACATTGGGCTTCCAAGGTGAGAAAGCACTGTACTGTTAATCTTATGTGTGCATGTTCTTTTATCCCACACATGGTTGTTGAGTTGTCACACTTATTTTCTAACGTTGAATCCATGCATTCGTCCTTTTTCCGCTTGCAGCTGATTAGGAAAAGGAGCGAGCATTCTAACGATCAGCAGAGGCTGCCCGATGTACCCTTATACCTGAAGTCGGCTTCTCAAAGACGAAAATCGATGTTGTGATGGCAGAGCAAACAAAATCCGCAGCACAAGGTTTCCCCGCTGTTGGGGAGGCGAGGAGCAGGGCTAATTTTATCAGTGTAAATCACCCTGATACCCTGATTATCAGTGTGGTTTTTGGTAGTCACACTGATGGCCTAGGGTACTTTTTTGTGGAGCTAGGATTCTCCTGATATGCCAGGGTTTACATTTAAGGCACACTGATGCCTCGGGGTTACCGTTCTTCATAACGAGTTTTACCCTGAAGCGAGTACCATACCCCCTCCCCCCACTTCCCCCACCCCCCCTCTCCCGTAACCCGGGATTTCCCAATCTGTCGAAACCAGAATCTCAACCTCGACAATACATGTGCTGGCACGAAGTGGGCCACCATTGGCCAGAAACACAGTAGCATTGTAGACAACACCACTGACTCAACGAAAATATCAATTGATGATGACTACAACATTTATTGTATGAAAACTGGTGCACTGATGCCACAGGGTTGGATTTCACCAGGGTTTGCTAAACTGGTACACTGATGCCACAGGGTTGGATTTAAAAAAACCAAATACGGATGAATCAGGGTTTGAACAAGGTGTCACACCGATGATCATGTTCTTTAACAGGTGCAACACTAATCACAAAGGTTGCTCAAAACCAAAAATTAGTCTCGCCGAGGAGCCTCATGATTGTATGATGTTCCCATGTTTTTCAGCTGGCATATGCCTGTAGACACAAAACATCGCTACTATTAAATATTAAGTGCCAGAATCATACTGTTGAGAAGTGTTTGGTATACGGTATGATTAGGGTACATTCCGCTGTGGAATGTGTCCCAATCGATGTGTCCCAATCGCAATTTTGCCGAGTCGCGCTCAAATTTCTCGATTCTGCATGTCCCAATCGATCGATGTATTATGACTCTGCTCATATGCGCGACAATTATATGCGACCCACCGTGATTGGTCAGAGTCCATTCTGACACACTTCTGGTGGAGTGCGCGTCCCTGTCAATAATTATGGTTGTGTCGTCTCGACCAATCACAACGCTGAGTATGCGTTGACGGGGATAGAGGGTCACGCAAAATGTCGTCCAGATACATGCTGCATGAGATGACATTTGGCACCGCGTGCGATTGATGGGGTTTGTTGCAATTAGCTGGCGATTGTTGCGTGAATCACGCCACCCAATGATAAATACATTAGGCGACAACCACGGGCGGCACGGCATTCCGACACCTGGCAGCATATGCTGTACGTACGCGTCTCAATCGATTGGGACACATCGATTGGGACATATTCTACAGCGGAATGCACCCTTAGTCACAGCTAGAAAGGGGACTTCTAAATGATGAGACGAGTCAGACATAATATTGTTTTATATCAGCGCCATGAGATATCATTCTGTGCTTTTTGATAAACGCTGCGAGCCGTAGCGGAGCTAAAGTGGCATGCATTTATGGCCTCCAAGGATCACTTGCAATTTACAGCTTTACAACCAGATCGTTCAAGGACTGGTGGCGCGCCGTGGACGATTCTTGTCCACGCAATCCCTTTACAAAAAGACACACTGATTTCAGTACGGGATACGCCGTGCTATGCACAGAATCGCTAGCTGGCTGTAATATCTGACTCCATGTGCCACGGATTGGCTGGCACTCGCTGAACCTTATGGATCTTGTGGTCGGATGAATCCCTTTCTGAACAGATTTTCCGAGACCCCTTGCTTCTGTAAAAATTGCATTGCGTGCATATCCTTCAATTTCGAAACACCGAGGACTGACCTGCTTCTATTGGCATCTTAGCGGGCTAGGTTGGAGGTGGATTTTCTGCAGCTTGCAAATTTAGAGCGCAGCAGCCGAAAGGAAGATCGTGTTTGCCCAAAAACCTGAATTACAGTTACAACATGACTTAAAAGGTGTTCAAAGTACTGCACCAGCTCGACGTCGAGGAACGTCGGTGAATTTCGACCGTCGGATAAAAAGTTCCAACCGTCAGGCTTCACCGACGTACCTCGACGTCGAGTTTTTGCAGCACTTTGTACACGCCATTAAGGTTGACTGGATAGGGTCAGCCGAATCTACCCTTCCTTGACGTGAGGGTGTTTACCCTGTTAGTTGGCTCTTGATCGACGTTTGGATGTGTGATCTGCTGCACAGCCCACACAGTCGTTCTCCGCATTCACTGTGTACTGTACCGTACCACAGGTTCGTTCACGAGAGTTTCATTTGGTGGACTCTCTTGGTCACTCACTGGCCCAGGCCCATGGCCTGGGGGTGGATGCAAGATGAAGGGGGGGGGGGGGCGAGAGGAGGCAGGCGAGGTGAGGCGACGGGGTGAGGGCTTGAAGTGGGTCACTCAGGACGTGTGATTGGTGGTGAATTGGAGGAAGCGGGAGGGTGAGAGGAGGGGGAGGGGGGGGGAATGGAAGGTGGAGAAACGCCGGAGATTGGTGGGAGGCTGAGTGCTTGGGGCGAATGGCAGGCAGGCAGGGGCGAGGGAGGGATGAGGAGATGAGAGAGATTCCTGCTGGCGCGAACACCGCTGCACCTGCCCCACCCACCCAACCAACCACATCATATCCCTCTCCCTCACTCCCGTTCTACCTCCCTCCCGTTCTGTTTGATTCTGTGGACGGAAAATAAAAGTTCAGAGACCACTGTTGGGTCGTGATTCGTGAATGGTGCGAGAGGCTCTGGATTATCTCACCCTGAAGTTGAAGTCTCTCTTCGCGCTAGCGCTCATTACTAGTACTACTCCCACCTTTTCACGTTGCGTCCTAGCTAGTACGGGCGATCGTCGTGTTTGAACTCCTTCCACTCCTGTTCCACGGAGAGAATATCAGCGATATGAGCGTGTGCGAGTCGTCGTCGGAAGCCGGCTTCCCCGGCATGACTCACGGGATCCCGTCGTACCTAACGCCGGGACACTATCCTTATGCAAGTGCGTGTTCCGGAAATGGATCCCCACATACTTACCATGCTATGATTTCATGTGAAGTATGTTGCTTCCGAGACAGTTCGATTTTCGGTTGCGTGTTCTGTGCGACACTGGGCGCATCACGCGTGATCCACCGTGACGCGATCGTATTCTGCTTTGCCTCGTACCTGACACGGCGATTTTTTCTTCCTTGCTTCCTTTCTTCCTTTCTTTCTGCCCTTCCCTTCCGCAGGCTACAGCGGTCAGGCGTCGTATCACTTCGGCGCGCCGTTTCCCCCCATGTACGGCGCGCCCATGCACATGCAGCTTCCGCCGCACATGACCTCGCACGCGTCCGCGCACGCAGCGGCGCACGGAGCAGCGCACCCAGCGGCGCATCCAAGCTACGGGTTCCCCCTTCCGCCGACCGCTCGACATCATTCAACTCGCCATGCCGCCGCAGCATCAGGACCCACGAAGAGACTCCGCCGCACCGGCCGATCCGATCGCGCCAGCATGGGTCACATCCCGACGCCTTTTTTCAACGGCGACAGTGCGGTAGATGTCGAGATCGACGGTGGTGATGAGCCGGCGGGAGGCGATAACGCGGGTTTCGCCGGCAGCGGTAGCGGCGGCGATCCTTTGTTCGACGAGCTATCTTGGGGATTCCCTGAGCTTGAGTTCAAACCAAAGCTTGACTCCGCGGCGGTGGCGACTACAGATGTGCGAAACGCCGACTTGCGATTATCTTTGGAACCGACTGCGATTTCTGATCACGCGCCGCACATGACCCACGATGGCGCGTACTACTCGGAATACTACCCGCATCCGGCGGCGGACTATCCTCCAATGGCGAGCCCCTATCACGGGGCTTACTACCAACCTCATCCATCTCATCATCCTCTCTACAGTCATCACCTCTACAAACAGCGGCACGCGGAAGCCGCAGCGATGGCGAGGCAAGCGCGAGTAGCGGCGACAAGGGAGGCGCTCGCTGGGAGAATCGGCGCGCAACCTATCGCAGGGCGAAGCTCGCAATCGGTCGCAGGACGAAACGTGAAGTTGCCGGGTGTCGCACAGGCGAAGGCGACGGGGAAGAGAAAGGGGGGAGACAGAATCGCGGACCCGAAGACGCTCGGCGGAAGTTTGGAATTCGAGGATCATTTCGATTTCGCCGCCGCCGTCGCGGCGAACGAGCCGTGTGCTGTCGTCCCGTCGCGCGCTGATCGCGCCGCTTCTCCCGCTGACCTACTCGTGCCATCGTCCCCGTCCGTGCCGTTGCTACCCGCCGCTTCCGCCGAAACTGCTTCTGCATTTCCAGCTTCCTCGCGCCATCCGTCGCTCTCCCTCGCTGCGGACCGCGACGGCCCGTGTGGTGTCGGCATTCATCCTCTCCCTAGAGACCGCGAGGATGCGACTCCCGCGGTTTTATTCCCGCCGCCGGTTCCGCGTATGGCTGCTGCGGTTTCATCCCCCGTCGTGCCTTCCGCTGCTGCGAGTATTCCCGCGACAGTCGATCCGAAGCGGAGAAGGTGCGAGTGTGTGTTTTTGTCTAGTCCAAACATTTTGATGCTTCGGCCAGTATCCTGTAGACAGTTTAGTACCCAAACCGCTTGTCCTATTTTTCCTCTTCGCATTCCTAAACCGTAAGAATGTCCTTTTCCTCCACCTATCGTGCTCCCGGTTCCTAAGGTCCCCCCATGTTTCCTACCTAGTAGCATATTTAGAAACTGTCGACAAATTTCTAGGGTTTCCTTGCCGCGTGACTGTGGATATGGTTGGGGGATGTGACTGTGCGATGATTGGTCCATCTGATTGCTCGCGTTACAGGTTGCTCCGCAACAGAGTCAGCGCTCAACAAGCTAGAGAGAAGAAGAAGTACTACATTAATGTAAGCACTTGCTACATTAGAGATATGAGTTTGTAACCCTCATTTGGCTCTCCTTGTTTTCCATCCAAACATGGTGAATGCTGGGCCCTACTTTTCTTGTGGAGTGAATGGTGGTAGCTAACGATTTCTTATGTCCGCCACACTCGCAGGGGTTGGAAGGGAGAGAAGCAGCACTGATTGCGGAGAACGAGGCGTTAGAGGCTACGATTGCTGCGCTTACTAAGGTGGGTATTTCAATATGGTGATGCAAGTGTAAATATCTTCGGTTTGACACCCTTCGATTTCCATTAATCACCTGAGGGTTGAGTTTGGAATAACAGTGCAATTGATAACTCATTTTCTGCCTGTGCTCTGTACTACTGCAGGAGAATGCTGAGCTGAGGTCAAGGCTGAGACGCAGAGTGGTCTATCAATGAATGGATTTCATGAAATTGTGAGATGTGGAGCTCAAATACTTCACCGCACTAAACCTTGAAGGACCACCCTGACAGGCTAGTCATTTTTTGTGCCCTGGGCACCTGTAGTGGTAGGTACGGTAGTACAGCATGATTGTACAATTATCCAGTAATAACATCAAATTCTGAATGCCTAACTTACTCAGTAATAGTATGGGCTGCTTCTAACGCGTCTCACGTATGCATCGCAATGTCACTCCCCCTCCTCACCTTACTACACTGCATACCCAGATTCCGTCAGCGATGCCTCGCACTTCCCGCCAGCTACCCCGCATAAGACTCCTCAGTTTTTCGTCTCCGTCATCCTAAACAGTTAACGTCAACTCTCGCAATTCAGCCAGCCGGCATGGCGGCAACAGGCGTCGCCGCCACTCGTTTCGCGGTCGCGTACCCTTGCAATGCATTACCAGTGGACTCGTTAAGAACTTCCTCACGAATTCATCTCACACCTCCTCTAATCACCTCGCGCGCTCTCTCGCTAGGACCGCAAGCCAGCGGGTTCGACGGCATGGCGACTCCAGCCTCGCTGCTAAGTAGCAAAGCCGCCTTCTCCGGCGGATTTCCCGCCGGTATTTGCGGCAGAGCGGCGCCGAGGCTGTCAGGCGGCCGGCGGAGCATCATCCGCGCATCCGGGGGGGAACCGGGAGGCGCGGGGAAGAGCGCAGAAGGGGCGGAGGAGCGCGCGGGGCCAACGGCGGAGACCTCCCCGCTGGTGCGCTTCGCGTGGTATGCGTCAGAGGCGTTCGGGAAGGCGGTGGCGGCGGTGCGCGGGGGGGAGGCGGAAGGCGGAAGGGGGAAGGGCGCGACGGCGGAAGGGGAGCCTGCGGTGGTTGAGCGCGACGCGGCGATTAAAGCGCTCAGGGAGGACTATGACAAGTCATACTTCGTGACAGGTGATTGGTGGGATGGCACGTGGCAGACTGTAAGAGATTATCCCCATCCTCTTTCCTCCTGTCCCCCCCTCGCCCCCTTTCTTGCTCGCCTTTCCCCGTCTCCAACCCAGCCCACACACGTGGTGCCAATCTTTGTCTAGTCACTAAGGTCACCTCTATTTGCCACTATTTTCCTTCCAGGCGAGATGACCATGTGGTTGTACGAACCAGAATGCGAGTTCGCTGACCCGTTCGTGTCGTTCAACGGTCGAGATCGCTTTAAGCAGAACGTGTCCAACCTTGGGTCGTTCATGGAGGAAGTTTCCTTGAAGATTCTCGACTGGCAGGAGTCAGAGGTATTGAAATCCGATCACACTGCCTATATGCTCCGTCTGATAACACTATTTTTCTTAAGTATCACTTTTGTATCGCATTAACTTATCTCATTCAAGCCAATGTAACCGCAGGGTACAGTTACCACCAAGTGGAGATTCAGCTGTGTACTGGGCCTGCCATGGCGCCCCATTCTTGCTGGTAAGCCCTCTCTCCTTCCCATCATGGTGGCAATGAGTGGCGCTGCACATTCACATTCTTTGTGTGTCTGTCTGCCCATCCCTGTCATCTGCAATCTGCTCACTATCCTCTCCACGTGTCTATCCCGCCCTCCTTCCTCTTCCTCTATACACAGCATCCGGGTCGACAGACCATTTCTTCAGTGAATCAACAGGAAAAATATACAAGTAAGCAAGAAACACGCAACCGGCATATTTCTGTACCACTGTACTTTCCAACGTGGCAAATGCCTTGCTGACTTGCCATTGCCTTAGCGGCGTGCAGTCACCATCACACAGCTTCTCCTTCTCACCCAACATGTCCATCCTAGTCTCTCCATCTCCACCTCTCCTCTCACCAGGCATGTAGAGCTCTGGGACATTTTTCCTGCAGACCGCATCAAGTAGCTGCTCAATTCAATCCCTAACATCCAAAATATTATATTGAGTCGACTCAGATTATTCCATACCTCTCCCCTCCTCTCCCTTCCATTCCCTCCCACCAGGCACGTGGAGCGGTGGGATATTTCCCCTGCAGACGGTGTCAAGCAGTTGCTCAAGCCAAACCCTAAACTCAAAAAGCGCTAGTTCGCATGGCAGGCCAAGTTCTCCCTCCTCTTACTCAACCGGGAACAATCCTTCCCCCCTCTGCAACCACTGAAGACAAGAGTGCAGCAGTGTAGCGGAGTGCACCTGCTGTGTTGTGTTGAGCAGTTAGAAAGAGAGTTCAATCATTTGAGTTACGGGGTATCATTATTGCTGGTAGTAGCTTATTTGTGTACTGTATATTGGTTTACTGAAGCTGTGTGTGCGTGAGCAATGCTCCCACATGAAAGTAACGCAGAACAGCTATGGAAAAACTACAAAAATACACCACATATGAGCAATTCTGGCCATTCTGGGCTACAGAAAGATGAGACCCACATTGGCTAGGAAAAAAACAACTAAGGACCCCCTAGGCCTATCATGCGATCACTTAAAATCATGTCAGGCCGAGCTGGGACCCATGGTCATAGCCATAAGTTTTCATTTTGTTGTGACTGTAACATAATGTAAGAGTCTTGACTTTACTGCGCACTCTCGAGTGCGCATCAAAACTTATGGTTCTGCTCCCCACTCAGGTGAGCTTCATGATGCCGGGGAAAGACGGGCGAATGGCTGCCAGGGGCTCACCGTAGCCCACAGGGACTGATGGTGGGAGATGGGGAAAAAGGGACAAGAAGAAGAGAATAATGGAGGAGGGAGGTTGGAAAATGAGGCGTCCTAGAAGGTATCACACCCCCCTCAGGTGAGCTTCATGATGCCGGGGAAAGACAGGCGAATGGCCGCCAGGGGCTCACCGTACCCCACAGGGACTGTTGGTGGGGGAGGAGGGTGGAGCAAACCGGAAACTGGATGATGAGAAGAGGGGGAGAGAGAAAATGGAGAATGACATAACAGTAGAATGGCGGGCAGAGTATGTGTTTGAGGTGACTCAATGGGCACGAGAAGGAAAGACGAGAAAATCGATAAGAACTGAAAGTCGCTTTCATGGACCACTATACGATAATGTTTGAGGCGGCTCAACCTGCTCAGCTTGCATCAACAAGTACGCCTCCCCACCCCACTCCTGCTCCCCTTCCTGCATTTTCTCAACCTTAATCCACTGGCACAGGGCACACAAAACGCACCTTTTATCTTCCACCAGGAAGTCAACCACTGTGCCCGCATGCTCCGTCTGCACAACTGACCTCTAAGTTGACTAAAATTTGCATCCCTCCTCTAACCTTCCCCTTACCCCTGCCCTCTCTTCCCGCCCCAACCATTAACACGGGCACCCAGAACGTACCTCCATCTTCCACCAGGAAGTCAACCACTGTGCCTGCATGCTCCGTCTGCACAGAAAGAAAACAGCATGGGGACATTCATAGTTGAAAATTCTAATAAAACGCAGCAACAAAATATCAAAGGTGAAGCAACAGCAGGGAAAGCGAGCACCAGAGAAAGGAGCAGGGAAGACATGAAAGGCTATGATCACAAGAAGAAAAACAGTTCGAACCAGATCCTTGCCAAGGAGAAATTCTTGCCCCTTTGTGACCAGGAGGGAGCGCTGGCATGGACGCATCAGCAGATGTACCCCTTTGAACCCCCTTGCACCCCCGTGCACCCCCTTGCACTCCCCTGCAGCCCTGTGCACCCCCTTACACTCCCTTGCAGCCCTCTGCACTGCCTAACTGCATGCCTCACAGCACTGATTCACCCCTATCCCACTCTCCCACATACCTCGATCGCCAGGTTGGTGCCGAGCTGCTCCAGGAAGCACATGGCCTGCCCCTTCTTCACCACGGCTCCCTGTTGACGGGAGAGGGGAGAGGGGTGAAGGGTGGGGTGAGGGGAAGAGGGGGGAAGTGTGAAGGGAGGGGTGAGAGGGGAGGCTCATGGTGAGGGGGAAGGATACAGGATTGCTCGCAGCTGTTCCAGGAAGCACATGGCCTGCCACTTCTTCACCACAGCTCCCTGTTGTTACGAGTGGAATGAGGGGACGGAGTGGGGGGAGTGGCGGCAGGGGGAAGGGGGTTGAGGGGAAGGAGTGAGGGGATTAAGGAGAGTAGTGGGTGAGGACGAGATAGGGTCTGCGTGCTATACCAAGCGCAACGTGCCTCATTTTATACGAGTGACAGAAAAAAGAAGGTACACCACATTCTAGAGTGGAGAGTACCACTGTCAAGAACTAACCACCACACTGCACCGCACTGTACCTCGAGCACAATTGGCCGGCCGTGCTTGCCCTTGTACAGCTTGCCACGTCGCATGATGCCCACCTGACAGGGGTAGTGAGAAGGGCGGGCGGAGTGGGGGAGAAGGAGGGTTGGACGGGTACAGGGAAGGGTGCGAAGGAGGACGAGGGTGTGTAGAAGAGAAGCAGGGTGGGTGGGGGGAAGGGTGGGGGGAGGGTGCCGCAAAGGATAGTGGGATGCGACGGGTGGGTGGGTAGTGGGTGGGTAGTGGGTGGGGTGTGAGGGCGAAAGAGGATCACTCGCAGAAAGGAGCTACCGCGACGAGGTGACATAGACAAGCCCCTCGTCCTTGGGCTTCTCGGGCTCAGCCGCCACCTCCGCCACGGGCTCCGCGGCAGCAGCGGCAGCAGAGGCAGGGCAGTAGTCTAGACAATGTGATGGGGAGAAGGTTCACTGCACCAGCTCTTACCCGCGGCGACGTCACATAGACAAGGCCTTCATCCTTGGGCTTCTCAGGCTCCGCAGCCACCTCCGCCACGGGCTCCGCGGCAGCGGCGGGGGGGAGGGACTCCGCCATGGGGAAGGCGGGCACTGGTGCGGCGTACACCACCGGGGCGGCGGCGGCTGCGGCGGAGGCTTCAGCTGCAGCCACGGCATGGCCAATGCTGCCGTCCACGTCGCGCTTGACGTGCAGCGAGAAGGCGCCGACCTAACACGTGGGTGGAGGAGGGGGAGGGGAGTCAAAGGGGGTACTGCGAGAACTGCAAGCCACGGCATTCCCGATGCTGCCGTCCACGTCGCGCTTGACGTGCAGCGAGAAGGCGCCGACCTGAGGTGTGGGTTCGGGGATAGTGAAGGAGAGGGAGGGGAGTCAAGCGATGGATTGCGAGAACAGCTGCAACTGCAGCCACGGCATTCCCGATGCTGTCGCCCACGTCCCTCTTAACGTGCAGGGAGAAGGAGCCGACCTGCCAGTCGTGTGAGTGGGAGGAGAGGGAGGGGAGTCAAGGGGGTTACTGCGAGAACAGCTGCTGCCACGGCATTCCCGGTGCTGCCGTCCACTTCCCTCTTGACGTGCAACGCCGTCCCTCTTCACATCAAGTAGGGCGTGCAGGGGGAAGCGTCAAGCCATTTCTATCACACAAGAAAGTGAGTGCGAAGTGTTGCCAGCGAATCCTCTCGTTTCCGTACCTTGACTTTCTGTCCCTGTACTCCCATACCTGGGTGACTGCGACGTTGTCCCCTAACTCATGTGCTTGCTTCGGTACTCCCGTATCTGACTATTTGCTTCGGTTTTCGCTTCCCTGAGTGTTTGTCGGTCCTTCCCTACCTCAAGAGCTTGCTTCGGTGGTACCGTACCTGAGAGCTTGCTTCGGTGGTACTGTACCTGAGCGCTTGCTTCGGTGGTACCGTACCTTGACCTTAAGCTCGGCGATGTGAGTCTCGTCGCAAAGTTCCATCAGCAGCGACTGCACCTGCGGGCGAAAGGGCAGGCCATGGGGCATGGGCACGGGGGAATAAACATGATGGAATGAGTCTCGTTGCACGCACCGAGTCTTCTTGCACAGCTCCATCAGCAGCGACTGCTCCTGCGGGAGGAAGGGCAGGCCATGGGGCATGGGCATGGGGGAATGAACATGATGGAGTGAGTCTCGTTGCAGGCACCGAGTCTCCTTGCACAGCTCCATCAGCAGCGACTGCGCAGCACCTCACGGGGATAGACGCGATCGGGGTGAAGAGAGAAGTGGATGCGACGGTATGCAATGCGAATGCGATGCAACGGAAGGGGAGAGAGGGGGACTAACGCGAGGAGACAGGCAAGGAGAATGGAATGGTGCGGAGGAACGACGGAGACACGACGGGAAAGAAGTCAAGAAACGAGAGTGTCGTGGCGGAATGAGGAGAGGAGAGGGAGAGTGACGCGAGGTAACAAGGAGAGGATAGTAACGCGACCGAAGGAGGAGTGGGAGGGAACATACCTCGTCCACTGTCGGTGCGGCCACAGCTGCACCATTGCTCAGCTCCTCAGCCTCAACTGGCACCTCCTTCACGGCTCCTGAGTAAATCAAGATCAGAAACAAAAAAACCAGTAAGTGAGGCTAGACAGGAGTGAAGGCTGTATACACGCACCTATTTATTTGTTTTCATATATAAAAAAAAAAAAAAAAAAAAAAAAACAAACAAAACCAAACAGCCTTTCAAAATACAGGCAAACAGTCACAATGTAGTACTGGCAAAATGAAGAGCGAAGAGCGGCGGGTCAAACGGTCGATTCCCGTCGGTTTGAATGCGCTTGAGAGGTTGTGAATGCGATCGAGGGGTTGTTGATGCGGTCGAGTGGTTGTTTATGCGGTCGAGCGGTTGTGAATGCGGTCGAGCGGTTGTACGTGCGCTTACCGTCCTCGACAGCAGCAGCGCGGCAGCGGAGGAGGTGGGTGCGACCCGCGCGAGAAGCGGCGGAGAGGGGAGCGGGGAGAGGCGCGGGGACGACGGAGCGGGCGAAGCTGGTGGAGGCGGAAGCAGCGGAAGCTGCTCTGCCGGCAGTGAGCGCTGCTGTGGGGACGGCTGAGAGGGACAGCATGATGGGGTGTTCGAAGACGGAAGGATGGGATACGGATGATTGGTTATTTTGCTCGACTCAAAAATCTGCTCTGCTGGCAGTGAGCGCTGCTGTGGGAACGGCTGAGAGGGGCAGGATGAAGGAGAGTGGGAACTGGAGAGATAGGATACGGATGGTCAAACGGAATGGTACGATTGAAAGAACAAGGGGTGTTTTTAAAACCGGGAAATGCGCTGTGAGAGTGCTTGCGAGAGCTGGACGAGAATGGAATCACACCACGACAGAACGCAAATGTAAGCTTCTACGCGTTGGTGGGCTGCTCTACCCAAGGCGGACTTTAGCGTTTGTCTTGAACACATAAGCGAAACTTGGAACGGAAGTATTATTGATGCACATACTGCGAGGTTTGTGTGTAGTGTACCTGTTCCAGCTGCGATGGTCGCCATTGTGATTATATTGGTGGTGGAGGTTGTCGGAAGATGATGCTGCAGCTGCGATCAGGCTCTCTTAGCACCGATGACCTAAGCCGAGTGCTTATGAGATCGTAGGCTGCTGCTGGTCAGGAGGAACTTTATTCCGACTGAAGATGACCAGCTGAGGCAGGCCTTCTGTTTCTGTGGAGAGCTTGGTTGGATGGTGGAGGTTTCAGCAGGATCACTTATCCTCCAAGCACAGCAGATTGCAGTGATGGAAGAGAGTCACCCTACCCAACCGTTTAAAAACGAATTATGATTGGCTTTAGATTCCTGCAAAACTGACTGAACCGTAGCCACACTGTGCATTCGGGAAACGGCTTGTGCATGGTTCCAAGTCAAGTGTCACTGCAGCAGCACTGGCTGGCTTTCTGGGATAAAGGGGATCCCAAGAATTTGACGCAGACGATGACGGACGGACAGGTAAAGGCCGTCATGTTGATCTCCTCGGCAAGTTCAGGGCCAATGTGAAAGTCCGTTTCATTTTCAACCTGCCGTTTTGTTCGCTCGGAGACTGTCGACGTTAGCGGATGGAATTCTTCCGCAAATGCGTCTCGCCAGCAGGGATGATCATCCGCCGTGTCATGGTGTTGTGTGAGTGGTTCGAGGGCCAAGGTCGATCCACTAGCCATCTGATGTCAGATCCCGAACCGTTTGATGAGTCCTTGCGTGGCTGTGACAGTCAGTCGCATCCCTTATGAACTGAATGAGATACCCTCTATAATAATATTAGCTTCAATATATATTGTTTATGTTATGTATTATTCTATACGATACAGAACTCATGCTGGACTGTTCTTCGAATAAAATCTGGGCAAATTCCTAAGTGGCTGCTTGCCAGGTCAGATGGCAGCTTTCCTACGTCAGAAATCGTGCCTGCGAAATTTCCCACATCGGCACATCGTCGACCACGTCATTCAGCCATATCGACGGTTGTGAAACATTTGTGGTCCCAGATTCTGAAGTTGTCGACCGCCTAGAATATCCTGGAGCGCCTCGCTAATTCGGTAACAGGCGAATGCCGGCAGCAATTCTCTCGGTCTACTTTTTACGAAAGCGAAAGAAATACGAAATCGTGAATCTCGCACGGGTCGAATGGTGTGGAGCGGAAGGAGGAGCAGGATTTGAATTCAGCCCCCAGCCATTCCTATTTAGTTCCTAGCGCCCAGCCCAATTGTTAAATTCAGTATTTTATGGAGCATCTGTAAGAAGACGAGCAGCTCCTCCTACTTGGACAATTTCTGCCTCCTTACGCTGTCTCCTGACAGCTTTCCTCCTCTTGCCACTGCTCCTGGACATCGTTTTTGTGCGTTTGGACGAAAAGCATGGCTTCTGCGTCTGCTGTCAGCGTGTCGTGCGGCATCAGGCTCAACCCGTCAACTTTCCAGGTCAACACTCCACAATGGATTACGATTATAATATCTTATCCCAAATTTCAGTTCCAAGTTCAACCAAGCTTCATTTGTGTAATCTTTGCTGTTGTTGTCTTATTGTTACTATTCGCAATTTCGCGTTCCGCAGAAGCCTTTGGTGGTCTTGGCGTCAAAGACGGCATTCATCCCGTCGCCGCTGCCTTTTACCGCGTACGCTTCTTGTTCCAAGAACGTCAGTTCCCGCGTCGCGACACGATGCTCGGCTTCCATTCATGCCGCTATGGCTGGTAGGCCTGTCAAATCCACTTTAATTACCAGACGACAAGATTCTACAACGCATATACCTTTCCTCAACCCGTTGCTCGTCAAAGCAGCAAGCGCTCGTAGAATACAGCTTGTCTTTTTGTTCGTTTCCCAATTTTGCTTAATGTCATCAATTCTCTAATGTTATTATTATTTTTCATTGCAGTGTCTCCGTCGGAGCTGGACGTGATCTCGAGGAGCAGCGAGATTGTTCCCGATTCAATCGTCGGCGGCCAATTTGAGAGGTGAAACAATGTTGCCAAGTCAATTTGCAGTATTTTACGTTCACCTTCTGTCTTATACCTTCACAATGTGTAACCCTTTGCCGTTTTGTTGCAATTATGTCGTTGTAAACAACCTTTTCAGCTTCAAACCCACTGCGGCGACCGTGTCGTCGTCTCTCATCCTCGGAGTTTCGTCCTTGGGGGAAGCTAAGTTCGACGTGAGTGTGCGCGTGCTCGTATGAGGGTGTGTTCGTCTGTGATTGTGCTTGATTGGGATTGCCTTTCTTTCCTGATGTGCTTTTATAAAAGTGTGATTCTATTTGGAACATATAGCCTGTGCTCACTATCCGCCAACTGTATATCTGCCATTTTTACGGTCTGTCTCTGGCCGTCCTTTCAAGCACCTAATGACCGTCCTTACTGACGGTCCCCCTTACTCCCGCGCGCGCGTGCAGGGAGCGATCAAGAGCGCGTTGGCGTACGGCAAGTGCATGATAGCCGCGGAGGAAAACAAGTTCTCCTGCTTCCTCGATAAGGTCAGCCTCGCTATGGGGAAAAAGCCTCGCTACCATGGGGAATCGCTACTGAGATTATGCCAGTATTGGCTAGCGTGAATCCTAACCTCGAAGCGTGCATCACTGCCTTGATGTCAGCTGATCATGACAAGGTTATACAATGAACGACTGTGAGTTTTGCGACGTCAAAACTTGGTCAATCTGGCAAAGATAGAACCATTGCTCCAAGGAACTTTACACATGTACTTTGTTTCTTGCAATGACTAAAACGCGTATATGGTGTACGCATGCGTGCAGGCGCTGGTGAACGTGGGGAGGGAGCTGAGCCTCGAGGTGTCCGGGCGTGTGTCCACCGAGGTGGATCCTAGGCTGGCGCACAACACGGCCGCCATGGTTGAAAGGGTGAGTGAGAGGCAAGTGCTGGCACTGGCATGCTCAAGAGAGCCACGTGTTGGTGTCCGGGCGTGTGTCCACCGAGGAGAACCCTAGGCTCGCGCACAACTTGTGGACGGAAGTTGTCCAGCCGTGTTGAACACGGCTGCCATGGACGTGTTGGTGAACCTAGTGCTGTTCAAGCTACCCGTCACGTGGGAGGGCATCGAGGCAGTTGAGAGCAGAACTGGTTCAAACCAAAACACCCCCTTTTCCCCCCTTCCTCTTTTTTGTAACCAGGTGCGCAACCTGGCAGAGCTGTACAAGGAGGTGATTGTGGGTGTGAACCGAGTGCTGTTCAAACTGCGCACCCGGCCGCTCCCTGTTTCATCCCACCCCCTCTTCCCCATCCCCCCCTGGTTACCAGGTGCGCAACCTCGCGGAGCTCTACAAGGAGGTGGACGTGGGTGTGAACCGAGTGCTGTTCAAGCTGCCCGCCACGTGGGAGGGGATTGAGGCGGCGAGGCAGCTGGAAGCAGAGGGCATCAAGACGCACGTCACTGGCGTCGCCAGGTGAGGGGCGATTGAGGAGGGAGGTGGTGGGGAAAACCGAGAGTATTGGATGTTTTTTGAGACGTCTCAAAAGTGAGGGGCGATTGGGGGGGTCAGGGGTGGGGAAAACCGAAGAGTATTGGATGTTTTCCAAGACATGCAAGGAAACCGGCCATGCAGAGGGCATAAAGAGGGGGGGTGGGTGGAAGCGCCATGTCGTCTTTTCAGCCGGTTCCCTCTCGTTCCTCTCGTCTCATCTCGGTCTTAAAAGTAAGTCTAAACAAACCTCCTCTGCTTCCCCCTTGCCATTTCTCCAGCTTCGCCCAGGCGTCAGCATGTGCGCAGGCCAACGTGGCAGTCATTCAAATCCCCGTCGGCCGAATCAAGGTACAATTTGCACACGTGCAGAACTTATCATGACCTGTCGTGACCTTCCGTGACATGTCATGCTTCCCTTCGCTTCCTGTGCGGATAGCCTGAACCGAGATTACAGGCGTTCTCCTGTGAAAAGTTGCCCTTTGGCTTATCCTGGAAGGAGCGATGTTATGAAAATTCTTGACATTCTCAGTTCTGTCGCTCCCCACTCGTTCCTGCCAGGACTGGGCACCCACGCACTCAGGCGACAAGGAAGTGGAAGCTGCAGCAGCCAAGGGCGAGGACAGATCATGCAACACCACAATGGGGAACACCCCATCACTCTATCCTTTCCTCCTACTCCTCTTCCCTCCCCCTGCCAGGACTGGGCGCGCACGCACTCAGGCGACAAGGAAGTGGAAGCTGCAGCAGCCAAGGGCGAGGACCCAGGCGTCAGCCTGGTAAGGCGCTCATGCTCTTGCTAATAACAGCTTGCTGTTGATGATGATGTTTTAGCATTCAAAAAAATCACCCGCGGCAGCCAAGGGCGAGGACCCTGGCGTCAGCCTGGTACGGCGCGCATTCTCTTGCTGATGCCATTGATCCAGTCCCAACCTTGGGCAATGAATCTGCTGGTGGGGGATCGGCCTTGTGGTTTAGCCTCAGTAATTGGCCCCAATCCCTGTCATGCTCACCATTGCCCATCTCGTCTTCTCATCTTCTCTCCTCTTTTCTCGTCTTCTCATCTTCTCTCCTCTTTTCTCGTCTTCTCATCTTCTCTCCTCTTTTCTCGTCTTCTCATCTTCTCTCCTCTTTTCTCGTCTTCTCATCTTCTCTCCTCTTTTCTCGTCTTCTCATCTTCTCTCCTCTTTTCTCGTCTTCTCATCTTCTCTCCTCTTTTCTCGTCCTCTCATCTTCTCTCGTCTTTTCTCATCTTCTCGCATCCCCCACCAGGTGCGCCGTGCGTGTGCGTTTATCGCCCGCAACAACTTCCCCACCAAGGTCATGGCGTCCAACATCCGTAGCAAGGAGGACGCACTCAGCCTCCATGGGTATGTCTTGACTCGCACACACACACACACGCACAAACACACAAACAACATTCACTTGCGCACACATACCGGCACCAGGCTAATGCCACCCGGCATCCAGCATCCGCAGCAAGCAGGTCACCCTCAGCCTGCTCGGGTAGTGTCTTTGACTCACAGATAGACACGTATACACTCTAGCGACATGTACTGACGCATGGCACGCATAACGGCTTCCCCACCAAGGTTATGGCATCCAACATCCGCAGCAAGACACACACACACACACACCACAGCACAGCACAGCACAGCACTGATTACCTGGTGGTACCCCTCAAGGTGACGGAGGCTTCGAAAGACACTCCCGCCTATTATGTGCGCACTACCGTACCTTAAAATGCGTCCTTTTCCCTGTTCGATTTTATTGTGCAGCACTGACTACCTGGTGGTACCCCTCAAGGTGATGGAGGCTCTGAAAGACACTCCCGCTTCCCCTGACCTCAAACCTGCAGCACTCAGTTCAGCAGCTGACAAGGTACGAGGCTCAATCATTACTTGTTCTTGCATGTGCTTTGGTAACTGTGTCAAGTTCCGTACACTCCAGCACCTGTTTTCCATCCCATTCTAATCTTTCAGTGAGAATCTCTCAAGTTTGTGTGTTTTTCTAACATTCTCATAAAAAATAGAACTTGCTTCTCCATTTGTTTTGGCTAACTCATTGCAGGTTAAGCCTTGGGATATGGCGAGGTTCATGGCCAATATTGGGCCCTGTGCCAGGCAGCTGCTTCAGGCCGAGATTGATTCTGCTGTATCTCAGGCGGAGAAGGTTGACAAGCACTTCAAGAAGATCTGGCCGCCTCCGAACGTGTGAATGACCAAAATATATGAATAAATGTTGTTTATAGTTATGGGCATAATGCCTCTCCTTTTTTTGTGTGTTGTGCTGATGTGTATGAAAGGAAGTTGTTGTGCTTACGTTCTTGCAGAAATCTGGGTGTAAGAATACCATGGTAACTGTCTGTGGGATGTAGGAACGTAGTAAATTGTGAAACTTGAAATTCCATACGCACTTCCGAAGTGTACAACTGTTCATTTGCACATGAACTCTTCATCCCTTTTCCACCAACTGTTGGCTGGTCATCCTCGAGATCACCATTTCTCGTCTGCCTTGGGGGAAAAGCAGTGTTGGGAACAGCGCCAGCTTCATTGCTACGCCTTCGGAACAGCAGCATTGCGCACTGAATCAAAATCCCCAAGCCTGCTCAGCCATCTCCATTCCAATTGAAATTCATTAGCACTCAATTGTAGGCCGCCGTTACCATTTATGGCCGCCATTGCCGCTGCGTCTTTTAAAACTCCCGCAGCCGTCAGACTCTCGTTCGCACTCGGCAGGACATCCCTTCACAACGTTCAAAAGAGCTTCGATTCTGCTTGCAAAAGTTTTTCGTGCAGATACCAGTACGAGAACCAGAGCGACTGCCTCCCAATCGCGAGGCTGTCGCTGCAGCGAGCTTCAGTTTGCAACCGAGCAGGTGCGACTGCGTGGAAACGCTTTCGAAACCCATTTGTGTGAAAAGGATCTGCCGTGCGACATTGCAATGTATTGACCGTTGAGATCCCCCAGAGTTTACCTGGACTTTGTTGCGATTTATTTATTTATTATCACGAGCTCTCCTTCGCCTGTCAGATGACCGGTTCCTGTCAAATTGACAGCGTATCCTCGCCATTGTTTTTAATCAGTGTGGTCCGACGTGCATACTCATCCTTTTGCTCCTATTTCAGGCAGTGAAACCAAGCTCACCGCGATCTCGTCTCGAGCCGAATATTGAGTCAAATTAAGATTGATATGAAACGTAGCAATTATTTTTCAAATTCTTAGTCCAGCTCTCGCTCCTTGCATTCTTTTCCCTATCCACTCCTCAGGTGCATTCCGTTCTCGCTCTCTCACGCCCATTGCTGCAGCCGCCGGCCACTCTTCAGCATTCAGCAGCCAAGGGAATAAGGAGGGAAAGGAGGAAAAGAAGAGCAACGGAGCGTGGGACAGTCAGGTTGAGGGGGTGAGAAAGGGGGACGGGGAGGGAGAGGGAAAGGGAGAGGTCGACGGAGAAGAGGAGGAGGAGGAGATGGGCGAGAGCGTGGCAGCAGCGCGTGTGCGTGTGAGGCACGAGCTGTACGCGCCCATTGAACCGTATCGGTCCGGCACCCTTGCTGTGTCTGACGTGCACACTGTATACTGGGAAGAGAGCGGCAATCCCAAAGGCCAGGTATGAAGACTTGTTTTAGTTGCCTCTTTGTTTTCCCATAGAGCCGTATCGGTCCGGCACACTGGCTGTGTCTGACGTGCATACGGTCTACTGGGAAGAGAGCGGCAATCCCAAAGGCCAGGTATGAATGAAGCCCTGCCGTGAATCACAAGAGAGCGTGGCAGCAGCGCGAGTGCGGGTGAGGCACGAGCTGTACGCACCCATCGAGCCGTATCGGTCCGGCACGCTGGCTGTGTCTGACGTGCACACTGTATACTGGGAAGAGAGCGGCAACCCCAAAGGCCAGGTATGAGATACATGCTGAATCACCTCGTGAAATATTTTCTGAAGCGCCATAGCAGAGACGTATAAGTCTGGCGCCCCTTGCTGTGTCTGACGTGCACACGGTCTACTGGGAAGAGAGCGGCAATCCCAAAGGCCAGGTATGAAGACTTGTTTTAATTGCCTCTTTGTTTTCCCATAGAGCCGTATCGGTCCGGCACACTGGCTGTGTCTGACGTGCACACTGTATACTGGGAAGAGAGCGGCAATCCCAAAGGCCAGGTATGAGTGAAGCCCTGCCGTGAATCACAAGAGAGCGTGGCAGCAGCGCGAGTGCGGGTGAGGCACGAGCTGTATGCGCCCATAGAGCCGTATCGGTCCGGCACGCTGGCTGTGTCTGACGTGCACACTGTATACTGGGAAGAGAGCGGCAATCCCAAAGGCCAGGTATGAAACCCTGGCAAGGGAAAAGGGAGCGTGACAGCAGTGTGTGTTCGCGAGTGTGGGTGAGGCACGAGCTGTATGCACCCATTGAACCGTATCGGTCCGGCACGCTTGCTGTGTCGGACATGCACACGGTCTACTGGGAGGAGAGCGGCAACCCCAAAGGCCAGGTACAAAAAGAGGTTATACGAGGAAGTTTAAGCGGGCTGTAAATCTGCTCAGCTCATCATGCTGTCTGTGACCTCCCTCCCCAGTCCCTCATTTATCGTTTTTACTTTCTTACCGCCTCTATCCATATTTTTTTCTATCAACCCTATCGCAGCCTGTGATCTTCCTGCACGGAGGCCCAGGGGGCGGCACCTCCCCGGCCAACAGGCGGTTCTTTGACCCGACGTTCTTCCGCATCATCCTCCTGGACCAACGGGGGGCGGGCAGGAGCACTCCCCACGCTTGCTTGGAGGAGAATACCACGTGGCACCTCGTGGAGGATATTGAGACGCTGAGGAAACACCTGGGTGTTGATAAGTGGCTGGTGAGTGGGGTGATAAGTGGCTGGTGAGTGGGGTGATAAGTGGCTGGTGAGTGGGGTGATAAGTGGCTGGTGAGTGGGGTGATAAGTGGCTGGTGAGTAGGAACATCAGGTTGAAATCGTTGGGACACCGCATGCGTGCCTGGAAAGTAATACCACGTGGCACATGCTGGAGGATGTTGAGACCCTGAGGAAACACCTGGGGGTCGATAAGTGGCAGTGAGTGAGTGGGGTGTTGGGCAGAGCGAAGTGCTCAGTGCATGATATATAAATAGGCTGCTCAGCTCAGATTCATCCGCCTGTTATTCCTCTGTGTGTGTGTGTGCGTGTGCACGCGCGTGTGTGCATGTGTGTGGGCATGCGTGTGTGCGCGTGCATGTGTGTGGGCATGCGTGTGTGCGCGTGCATGTGTGTGGGCATGCGTGTGGGCATGTGCATGTGTGTGGGCATGCGTGTGTGCGCGTGCATGTGTGTGGGCATGCGTGTGTGCGCGTGCATGTGTGTGGGCATGCGTGTGGGCATGTGCATGTGTGTGGGCATGCGTGTGTGCGCGTGCATGTGTGTGGGCATGCGTGTGGGCATGCGTGTGTGCGCGTGCATGCGTGTGCGCATGTGCATGACAGGTGTTTGGAGGGTCATGGGGCTCCACTCTCTCGCTCGTGTATGCAGCCACTCATCCAGACAGGGTATGTGCTTGGTTCACAAAAGCACGAAATCTGTTGTCGACCATCAGTGCAAAAAAAAAGAAAAAGAAAAAGAAAAAAAGCCACTCTTCACCTACATTCCAACTCCCATGAACCCTCACACTCTTCCCCTTTCATTTCTCTAGGGGGCGTCTTCAAGGAACCTTCCCGTTCCCGCTGAGAAGTTTCCCATCATCTTTACTAGTTCCATGTCTGCCTTTCCCCCACTCTTCCCCTCTCACTTCTCCAGGTCGCAGGCTTGATTCTGCGGGGAATCTTTTTGTTGAGGAGGAAGGAGGTGGAGTGGTTCTATCAGAAGGGGGCTGATTCCATCTTCCCTGATGGTGAGACCAAGACGGGAGGTAAGGGAGAGTTGGCAGTGAGAGGGTGCTAGCCAGGCCTGGTTCTCGGGAGATTTTTTCTGCTGAGGAGGAAGGAGGTGGAGTGGTTCTATCAGAAGGGGGCTGATTCCATCTTCCCTGATGGTGAGACCAAGACGGGAGGTAAGGGAGAGTTGGCAGTGAGAGGGTGCTAGCCAGGCCTGGTTCTCGGGAGATTTTTTCTGCTGAGAAGGAAGGAGGTGGAGTGGTTCTATCAGAAGGGGGCTGATTCCATCTTCCCTGATGGTGAGACCAAGACGGGATGTAAGGGAGAGTTGGCAGTGAGAGGGTGCTAGCCAGGCCTGGTTCTCGGGAGATTTTTTTCTGCTGAGAAGGAAGGAGGTGGAGTGGTTCTATCAGAAGGGGGCTGATTCCATCTTCCGTGATGGTGAGACAAAGGCGGACGTTGTTTGAAAGGAGGTGGATGGGCGGTGAGGGGATGCCAGTCAGGATGTGAGAAGGAAGGATGAGAGTGGTTCTATCAGAAGGGAGCTGATTCCATTTTTCCCGACTGTGAGAGGTCGTTGAGGGGATGTGGGTGGGTGGCGAGGGATGTGGCTAGGTAGTGATTGAATGTGGGTGACTTTTGAGGCGCCTCAAAACTCAAAAGTTTTGAGGCGCCTCAAAAGGGGATGTGGGTGGTGAGGGATATGGCTAGGTAGTGATTGAATGTGGGTGGCGAGGAAAGGCAGGCGGTATGGTTAAGGTGGTCGGTGCGAGGATGCTACTGGGGCTTTGTTCTCCGGGGAATTTTCCTGCTGAGAAGGAAGGCGGTGGAGTGGCTCTACCAAAAAGGGAGCTGATTCCATCTTTCCCGACAGTGAGATAAAAGGCGCGGGTTGAGGGGAGGTGGGTGGTGGGGAGAGGTAGGCAGTATGTTTAAGGTGGGCGGTGAGAGGGTGCTACCCTGGCTTGATTCTGCGGGGAATATTTTGCTGAGAAGGAATGAGGTGGAGTGGTTCTACAAGAAAGGAGCTGATGGTGAGCAGATGACGAGGGGATATTGGTGGTGGATGAATGGAGGTGGGTGGTGAGATTTCCATGACCTTTGTTTATTTTGAGTCGACTCAAAAGTCAGCTCGGGTGGTGAGATTTCCATGACCTTTGTTTATTCTTCTAATGACTTGCTGTCGCTGGAAAGGTACAGGCTGTTTACCTTCCCCCTTCCCCCTCCGCCCCCCCATACAAACACCCCCACTTCCCCCTTCCCCCTCCGCCCCCCCATACAATGACACCCCCACTTCCCCCTTCCCCCTCCGCCCCCCCATACAGTGACACCCCCACTTCCCCCTTCCCCCTCCGCCCCCCCATACAGTGACACCCCCACTTCCCCCTTCCCCCTCCGCCCCCCCATACAGTGACACCCCCACTTCCCCCTTCCCCCTCCGCCCCCCCCATACAGTGACACCCCCACTTCCCCCTTCCCCCTCCGCCCCCCCATACAATGACACCCCCACTTCCCCCTTCCCCCTCCGCCCCCCCATACAATGACACCCCCACTTCCCCCTTCCCCCTCCGTCCCCCCATACAATGACACCCCCACTTCCCCCTTCCCCCTCCGTCCCCCCATACAATGACACCCCCACTTCCCCCTTCCCCCTCCGCCCCCCCATACAATGACACCCCCACTTTTAGCGTTTGACAAATATCAGAACTGCAGTTCATTCCCAAGGAGGATTTTGAGGTGCCTCAAAATTCAACTCAATATCAGGAGTTCACGTGCAGCGTTTGACAGATATCAGGAGTTCATTCCCTCCCAAGGAGGAGCAGCACAATATGAAAGTAGTCTCCTCCATTCCCCCCCTTCCCCACCTCCCGCCTGACTTCACAATCACATTCGTTAACATCACGTGCAGCGTTTGACAAGTACCGCGAGTTCATTCCCAAGGACGAGCAGCACGAACTGGTGACAGCTACACACCCATCTCCGCCTAAACTTCCCCCCCCCTCCCCCCTCTCCATCGCACTCAATCTCATCATTTGCAGCGTTTGACAAGTACAGGGAGTTCATTCCCAAGGACGAGCAGCACGATCTGGTGACAGCTTACCACAAGAGACTCATGAACGACTCCGAGCCTGACCAGCAGGTATGGATGGCTCCGAGCCTAAACCCTGCTGTCCTTTACTATCGTTACTGTCTAACCAACCCATGCTACTGCTGCCATCCGTCTCTTGATTATCATCCTTGCATGATTGCACCAGGTGGCAGCAGCGCGGCACTGGACGGAGTGGGAGATGGCCACCAGCTACCTGCTGCTGCTGCTGCTGCTGCTGTTGCTGCTGCTGCTTATGTCCTCTCCCTCCCTCTTGCCATCACACCAGGTGGCGGCAGCGAGGCACTGGACGGAGTGGGAGATGGCCACCAGCTACCTGCTGCTGCTGCTGCTGCTGCTGTTGCTGCTGCTGCTGCTTATGTCCTCTCCCTCCCTCTTGCCATCACACCAGGTGGCGGCAGCGCGGCACTGGACGGAGTGGGAGATGGCCACCAGCTACCTGCTGCCCAATGAGGACTCGCTAGAACGAGGCGACCCATGCTACTGCTGCCCTATGTTCCCTGACAAATAACCTTGTGTTTTGTGGTTGATTGATCACACCAGGTGGCGGCAGCGCGGCACTGGACGGAGTGGGAGAAGGCCACTAGCTACCTGCTGCTGCTGCTGCTGTTGCTGCTGCTGCTTATGTCCTCTCCCTCCCTCTTGCCATCACACCAGGTGGCGGCAGCGCGGCACTGGACGGAGTGGGAGATGGCCACCAGCTACCTGCTGCCTGCCTGCTGCCTTGAGCTGTGCATTTCAAACGCTTAGCGCTGCCGCTAATCTCCCATCCCACCTGCCGTCACACCACAGGTGGCGGCAGCGCGGCACTGGACGGAGTGGGAGATGGCCACCAGCTACCTGCTGTCCAATGAGGACTCGCTCAAACGAGGCGAGGACGACAAATTCGCTCTGGCAAGTTCCCCGTTGTAGTTGTCCCTGCCCCCTTTTTATTAGTCGTCTTGCGACACCTTATTCTGTACACCTTTGCTGATACAGTGCTTCATCCAATCGACCGGGATCATCTGATGGGCTCTCGCAGTTGGTTTGACTCCATGACTCCACAAACCCCTGCAATCCCACTCTTGGCACTCGGCACCGCACTCCTCGCACACAGGCGTTTGCCCGTATCGAGACCGACTACTTCGGGAACAAGGGCCTCCTGCCGATTTTGAGGCACATCTGTTCGTCCGTCTCTTAGTGCGTTTCAAGAATGAACCTGATACCCCTTTTACATTCATCCCGCACACCGCACAGGCGTTTGCGCGCATAGAGAGCCACTACTTTGTGAACAAGAGCTTCCTGTGGCTCTCAACACGTCTCATATCTCAACCCACTCACCGCCACTCCAACCCTATTCTCCTCCACTCACCCCCCATGCAGGCATTCGCACGCATAGAGAGTCACTACTTTGTGAACAAAGGCTTCCTTCCGGCCGACTCCTTCCTGCTAGACTCCGTGCCCAAGTTCAGACACATCCCAGCCGTCATTGTTCAGGTGAGTTGTGCTTTGCTATGTGAGTCGTGCGCTGACAGACCCTATGTGTTTGCGCGCATAGAGAGTCACTACTTTGTTAACAAGGGCTTCCTGCCGGCCGACTCGTTCCTGCTCGACTCAGTGCCCAAGTTCAGACACATCCCAGCCGTCATTGTTCAGGTACGTTTTGAGGGGCGTAAGAATAAGGTGTCGTTTGGGTCGAGTCAAATGCCTGCTCGACTCTGTGCCCAAGTTCAGACGCATCCCAGCCGTCATTGTGCAGGTAAGCTCTGAGAGGTCTAGGAATCAGGTGACTCTAGAATCAATGCAATAGTCAGTCTGACACTGTGCCCAGATTCAGACACATCCCAGCCGTCATTGTGCAGGTAGGTACGTTCTGCGACGCGTAAAGGGTGTTATTCTCACCCCTTTTTTCTCTCCTTTTCTTTCGCCCCAGATGGTACGCAGCTTTTCTGGTTGCTCTGTTTACTCACTTGCGCTGCTTCATTCCTGTGATCCCCCGGCCCGGCCACTTCCAGGGTCGGTACGACGTGGTATGCCCAATCGTGTCAGCTTGGGAGCTCCACAAGGCTTGGCCCGAAGCTGAGTTCAAGGTACGCATGAAGCAAAGCCGGTATCGCTATGCATGTGTTGTTATTCTATGCTCGTTTCTTCCGAGCACTATCAAACATCTTTTATATGCGTCTTTGAGTAAATTGAAGTTGTATCGTTTGTTTTATGTGGGAACAGATTGTTCCAGACGCCGGGCATTCGGCCAATGAGAAGGGAATCAGCGAACAACTTGTAGCGGCAATGGAATCTTTCAAGCTCAAGCTTTCAAGATGACCAACTGTGCACTCGGTTGCACAAGTGTTTCAGAATTCATGCTACAAGCTTGGCAGGATAGGAATCAGGATGCACTACATGCTCAAGTGATTTTTTTGAAATAACCTGACACACAGTACCGCATGGGATGAGATTGTGTTTTATTCAATTGAGCTGTCAATTGGAGTTCTGGCTTCAGTAGCTTATTCTTGTAATCTATGGCCTGGGTTATGGTATTGTTGTAGAAAATTGCAAAACATAGGACATACCTGCTGGTAGGCATCCAGGCTGGTATTTGTCGGAAAAGCTATCATATGATTTCAAGCTGCCTTTATAAGGCGGACATCCACGTGGCGCGATATTCCCTGAGTACGTCAGCGCAACGTCCATCTGAGGAGGGAGGTTTAGGAGGGCTCTTTACGTTTGAGTACGGTGTAAAGAAGTAACGAAGGTTTCGAAAGCCGAGTGAGTAGACTTGGCTGTCCCTTATACCACAGTAGCCGCAAAGCCTCTTATTTTCAGAGCGGCACGCCGCATCCTCCGCCACGATTCCCGGAGCGTTCTCGCAGCGGACGCCTGTTATAATCCCTGCGCGTTCGTTCACACGCGTGTTTTACGGCGGCGCGACGTATTTGCGAGCTTACGCTCTCCCTACAACGCGTCGCGACGTGAATCCGTAGCCACCGTGGCTTCGACAAGCTCCTAGCTTGGGGTCCTATATATCTAAATACAGCTCCGCTCTGTAAAAGCTCGTTGTACAGAATCAAAGCATCCAATCCTCGATATAAGCTCCTTGCCACCTGCTACGAAGCCGCATTTGCCGTTTGAGCTATGGCTGCGCTTTGCTCTCTACGATCAATGACAGCGATAGGCCTCCCGCCACTCCCCCCTCCAATTTTGTCCCAGTTCGCAGCATCTAGCGCGTCCCGTACTCTCAGCTCGCGATCTCGATTAAGTCGATTAAGTCTCTCGCCTTACTCGTGTCAGTCCTCTATCTCTCGGCGATCCCGTCTCTCGTCCGTCCATCCAACCTCTCCATGCATCCTTCGTCCCACGCCGTTCTTAGCTCCAACCCGCCGCGTCCACGCGAATCCCGCCGCGTCTCGCGCTCGCGCGTCCAGACCTCCGCTCCACGTAACCCGCGCCGCGTCAGAACGGAGCGGCGCCAGCGGCGGCGGCGGCGGCGGCGGGAAAAACTCCCCCAGCTGGGCGGATGCGCTGTGGCGAGGCACGCTGAGACGGCTGGCGTCATTCCCGCTGGCCATCGGGTTGCTCTTCGCCGTGGCTGGGCTGTGCGCTGTGGGTGCGTGGATGGGTGATTTCTGAAAAAAAATTGATTTCTGAGTCGACTCGAAAGTGGTTTTCCTTCGCCGTGGTTGGGCTGTGCGCTGTCTGTGGTGCGTCGGGTTGTCGATACAGGACCTTGAGTCGTCTCGAATTTCCTCTTTTACCCCTCCTCTTCCCCTCCTCTTCCTTCCCTACCTCCCCTCGCCTTCCCTCACTTACCCTCCCCAGGCTCCTTGATAGAGCAGGGAGCACGGCCGTCCGATTACATGACGCTTACCACTCATCTTCTCCTCCTCTCCCTTCCCCCTCCCCACCCTCCAGGCACCTTGATAGAGCAAGGGGCACGGCCATCCGATTACATGGCGCTATTTCCCGACGGCACTCTGCTGAGCTGGCAGGTGCGCAATGACGTGTCCAAAAACAACGGTTTTGATGTGGCAGGCAGGCAGGATGCATAGTGATTTGTCCAGTCTGCCGGTTTTTCCACTATAGCTTAGAGATAGCAAACATATATAGTTTGACACCTCTATAGGTTAAGTGGGGGATAGCAAATACAACAAACGGTCACAAAACCAAAGAAACAAAGTAAAGCTCAGGGTGGATCTCAAGATCACCACACAGTTTGAGCACAAGGCCAGTTCACATGCAGAGTTGTAATAACAATAGTACACTAATCACAATCTAGCAAGATGCATGAAGCCTTGCTAAGCCTTCAACTTGAGTGCCCATGGGGGGCAGTTGACCCTCTGGCCTGGTGTTGACCGATTATACACCTCGCCTTGTAATAGAATATTATTTTTCGAGACGTCTCAAATTTATCACGTGCGCTTGGCCCTCTGCTGTTGATCAAGTACGGAGCTTGCCTCTTTGCCCTCCCCCCTCTGCTGGATTTTTCCTGTCACAGTCACCCCTTCCCATTGAGCGTGTGTTGGGCCTTTGGCTCTCTGGCCACGTGTACAGCTCGCCACTCTCCCTCTCCCTGCTGCTGCTACGCGCCGCTCTTCACTAGGACCCTCTCACCAACCCTGCATACTTGAGGCGCCTGAAAAAAAATGAATTGAGGCGCCTTTTTTGAGGCGCCTAAAAAAAAAATGCGCGTTGCTCTTCACTAGGACCCTCTCACCAACCCTGCAATCTCCTTCCCCCCCCCTTCACCTCTCTTGCCCAATAAAACCCTCTTATGCAGCTCGTCTTGGCTCTCGGCTTTGACCACGTGTACAGCTCCCCGCTCTTCCTCTCCCTGCTGCTGCTGTCCTGCTAACAGGCCGCGCTCCTTCCTTTCACCAACACCCCCCCCTGTCCCCCCTCGTATTGTATCCCTCTCATGCAGCTCGTCTTGGCTCTCGGCTTTGACCACGTGTACAGCTCACCGCTCTTCCTCTCCCTGCTGCTGCTGCTCGCCGCCTCCCTTGCTGCCTGCACGTCAGTGCGCCAGCTGCCCATGCTCAAGGTCGCACAGAGGTGAGGAATAAGGCCTGGTGAGGATAATGGAGTTGGCCCCTATGCTACGAGCCACTCTCAATAGGGCTCAAGAGTCGTCTGCTGCTGCTGCTGCTCGCTGCTTCCCTTGCTGCCTGCACGTCAGTGCGCCAGCTGCCCATGCTCAAGGTCGCACAGAGGTGAGCCGTGGGCGGGTGGGTTCTGCTTTTACGGGTATTTCCCCCTGAGATCAAGAGCTGCCCATGCTCAAGGTCGCACAGAGGTGAGCCGTGGGCGGGTGGGTTCTGCTTTTATGGGTATTTCCCCCTGAGATCAAGAGCTGCCCATGCTCAAGGTCGCACAGAGGTGAGCCGTGGGCGGGTGGGTTCTGCTTTTATGGGTATTTCCCCCTGAGATCAAGAGCTGCCCATGCTCAAGGTCGCACAGAGGTGAGCCGTGGGCGGGTGGGTTCTGCTTTTACGGGTATTTCCCCCTGAGATCAAGAGCTGCCCATGCTCAAGGTCGCACAGAGGTGAGCCGTGGGCGGGTGGGTTCTGCTTTTATGGGTATTTCCCCCTGAGATCAAGAGCTGCCCATGCTCAAGGTCGCACAGAGGTGAGCCGTGGGCGGGTGGGTTCTGCTTTTACGGGTATTTCCCCCTGAGATCAAGAGCTGCCCATGCTCAAGGTCGCACAGAGGTGAGCCGTGGGCGGGTGGGTTCTGCTTTTATGGGTATTTCCCCCTGAGATCAAGAGCTGCCCATGCTCAAGGTCGCACAGAGGTGAGGCGAGGGGCGTGGGAGAAGAGCTGAGAGCAAATGAAGAGGCCAGGGGTCTGGTGTGGACCCAAGGGTTACTCTGCGCTTCCCTTGCTGCCTGCACGTCAGTGCGCCAGCTGCCCATGCTCACCGTGGGCGGGGCATAATGGTGATGACCTCTATACTCTTTAAGCCGCTTCCGAGAAGGCTTAGAATTCGTCGTCTCCTTCTTCTTCTGCTGCTGCTGCTGCTGCTGCTGCTGCTGCTGCTGCTGCTGCTGCTGCTGCTGCTGCTGCTGCTGCTGCTGCTTCTTTTAGAATAATAAAGAGCCTCATTGTTCTTCTGCTCCCATCTCTACTCTATCCCGCCCGCTCCCATTTCCACCGTTAAATTCCTCAGGTGGTCCTTCATCCAACGGCCGGAATCTCTCCGCCAGATGGACTTCTCGGATTCGCTGGAGAGGGCGCAGATTGCTGACCTGGCAACGCTGCTCATGCGCAAGGGCTATCAGGTGGGGTACAAGGCTTGGTGGGTGTGGTGTGAGGCTCGGTGAAATGTGGTGTGAGGCTCGGTTGGAGAGGGCGCAACTTGCTGACCTGGCAAGGCAGCTCATGCAAAAGGACTACTAGGTGTGGCTCGGTAAATGTGGTGTGTGGCTCGGTAAATGTGGTGTGAGGCTCGGTAAATGTGGTGTGAGGCTCGGTAAATGTGGTGTGAGGCTCGGTAAATGTGGTGCGGGGCTCGGTAAATGTGGTGCATGGCTCGTACCTGCACGCCTTAAAGTGCTTGGTGGGGTGATTAGCGCCCATAAGCTTGCACACTGCTATGTGGCAGCTCCTTACCTTACCTCCATTCCCTTCCCTTTCCCCTCCCCCTCCCCCCTCTTCCCCCACCCCCCCCTCGCCCTGTGTCTCTTGGCCAGGTCTTCTAAATAAGATAGTCTATGTACGCGTTTAAGGGCCTGGTGGGGCGACTAGCGCCCATAGGCGGGCTGCTATGTGGTGACCAAGTGATGTCTTACCTTCCTCTCCTCTCCCTTCCTTTCCCCATTGTCCCCCCCACAGGTCTTCCAGAAAGGACCAGCTATGTACGCGTTTAAAGGCCTGGTGGGGCGACTAGCCCCTAAAAGCCTGGTGGGTTGACTAGCCCCAGCTATGTACGCCCTGTATGCATTGACTCTGTCTTACTCTTACATTCCCTCCCCTTCCTCCTCCCCCACAACCCCCTCCCCTCTTCCATCGTCCCCCCCACAGGTCTTCCAGAAGGGACCAGCTATGTACGCGTTTAAAGGCCTGGTGGGGCGACTAGCCCCCATAGGCGTGCATGCTGCGCTGCTATTGGTCATGGCCGGGGGGTGCTACAGTGCGCTGGGGGGTTTCCAGGGAACTACCCTCACGCCGCAAGGGTTAGACGTGGTCGTTCCCTCCGCGCTCCAGGGCAACAGCATCTTTGCCCGGCCTACCACCGCAATGAACATGCTTGTGCATGTGAATCGGTTTTACATCGAGTATCGACCGAATGGCGAGGTGAGAGATCAGCCTCTGAAGGTGGATAGCTAGTGCTGCTTCTAGTCAATATGCGCCACCACAGCCATGAACAGAAGGTTTCCCGTCCTTCCCCTGCCCGGCCCACCACAGCCATGAACATGCTTGTGCACGTGAACCGATTTTTCATCGAGTATCGATCGAACAGAGAGGTATGTGTACGAAAATCACCTCTCCGTTCTTATTCTTACACAACCATGAACATGGTTGAATGGGCCGAATGGGGAGGTGCACGTGAACCGATTCTATATTGAGTAACCGATTCTATATTGAGTATCGGCCGAATGGGGAGAAGTACGAAAATCACCTTTCTTATTCTTACACAACCATGAACATGTCTGTGCACGTGAACCGATTCTATATTGAGTATCGGCCGAATGGGGAGGTGCATGTTTTTCAGTCAACTTAGTAGTTTCCTACTTACACAGTCTTCTTCACAACAGGTGAAGCAGTAGTTCTCAGACCCGTCAGACTTTTGAGTCGACTCAAAAGTCAGCTCTGAAGCAGTAGTTCTCAGACCCGTCAGTAGGAGACCTGTCCCACAGCCTTCGCCCATAAACGTTCTCAGACCCGTCAGTCACAAACGTTTATGGGCGAAGGCTGCAGAGAAAGAGCATCAGCGACTGACGGAAAGACCATCAGCGACTGACGGAAAGACCATCAGCGACTGACGGAAAGACCATCAGCGACTGACGGAAAGGCCATCAGCGTCAACCCCCCCCTTGCGCTGCCCCCTTTGCCTCCTGTTTCTCCCTGTTTTCCTTTCTCTTCCGTCACCCCTCCTTTCACAACAGGTGAAGCAGTTCTTTTCAGACCTCTCAGTGGCTGATCTATATGGACGACACCTGCAGAGGAAGACCATCAGCGATCCCTTCCCTGTCCTTCGCTCCCTCTTCCATCCCAACAGGTGAAGCAGTTCTTTTCAGACCTCTCAGTGGCTGATCTATATGGACGACACCTGCAGAGGAAGACCATCAGCGATCCCTTGCGCTGCTCCCTGTCCTTCGCTCCCTCTTCCATCCCAACAGGTGAAGCAGTTCTTTTCAGACCTCTCAGTGGCTGATCTATATGGACGACACCTGCAGAGGAAGACCATCAGCGATCCCTTGCGCTGCTCCCTGTCCTTCGCTCCCTCTTCCATCCCAACAGGTGAAGCAGTTCTTTTCAGACCTCTAAGTGGCTGATCTATATGGACGACACCTGCAGAGGAAGACCATCAGCGATCCCTTGCGCTGCTCCCTGTCCTTCGCTCCCTCTTCCATCCCAACAGGTGAAGCAGTTCTTTTCAGACCTCTCAGTGGCTGATCTATATGGACGACACGTGCAGAGGAAGACCATCAGCGATCCCTTGCGCTGCTCCCTGTCCTTCGCTCCCTCTTCCATCCCAACAGGTGAAGCAGTTCTTTTCAGACCTCTCAGTGGCTGATCTATATGGACGACACCTGCAGAGGAAGACCATCAGCGATCCCTTGCGCTGCTCCCTGTCCTTCGCTCCCTCTTCCATCCCAACAGGTGAAGCAGTTCTTTTCAGACCTCTCAGTGGCTGATCTATATGGACGACACGTGCAGCGCAAGGCCATCAACGTCAACGATTCCCTGCGCTGCCCGCCTTGCCTCCTGTTTCCCCCACCTTCACCCCTTTCTCCAACAGGTGAAGCAGTTTTTCTCGGACCTCTCAGTAACAGACTTGTATGGGCGGGAGCTTCAACAAAAGACCATCAGCGTAAACGACCCCCTGCGCTGCCTGCCACTGTTTTCCGCTCCATTGCGCATGTTGCACCCTCTTTTCCTCTCCTTGCTTCCCATCCCACCAGGTGAAGCAATTTTTCTCAGACCTGTCAGTGACTGACCTCTATGGCCGGGAGCTTCAACAAAAGACCATCAGTGTAAACGATCCCCTGCGCTGCCAGGGAGTCACCATGTACCAGACCGACTGGGCGATCTCGGCCGTCCAGCTGCGATCCGACGGTGGAGAGCCCTTCAAGCTGCCCATGGCGTCGCTCCAGGAGCCAGGCAGCAGCCAGAAACTTTTCGGGACGTTCTTGCCGACGGGGGAGGAGGAGAATGCAGAGGGAGGAGAAGCAACCACCACGGGCATGTGAGTTGGGGCAGAATGGAATTTGTGAAAAGCAACCACCAGGAAAATTTTTTTGTTGCAGCGCTCTTGTTGAAACGGATTTTTTTTTCATCAAACTACGTCCCCCCATTTTCTCATCCCTGCACAAGCATTCTGGCCCGGGTTCTGCAGAAGTTCGCGGGAGTGAGGCAAACGCACCCACAGCATTTCCCAACTCTTCCCCTTACCACTGTTACCTTCCAGCAGAAGCATTATGGCCAGAGATCTTCAGAACGTGGTAATCTTCGATTCGACTCAAAGGGCGAGTTTGTGGGTGTGAGGCGGCCGGGATCAAACCGGCCTTAAAAAGATTGGAAATATATTTTATATATATATATATATTTTAAGAGTGTTGGTGACAGTCGAGCTAATGGGCAGCACAGCATACCCTTTCCCTTCCTTGTTTTCCACCCCTGCAGAAGCATTCTGGCTCACGACCTTCAGAACGTGGTCATATACGACTCAAAGGACGCGTTTGTGGGTGTGAGGCAAATGGACCTCTTAATATTTTGACCTGGCCCATTTTCCCCCGTCTCCTCCCTCTGCCACTGCAGAAGCATTCTAGCTCGCGACCTGCAGAACGTGGTGATATACGACTCAAAGGGCGAGTTCGTGGGGGTGAGGCTAATGTGCCTCATAATATTTTGACCTCGCCCATTTTCCCCCATCTCCTCCCTCTGCCACTGCAGAAGCATTCTAACTCGCGACCTGCAGAACGTGTTGATATACGACTCAAAGGGCGAGTTCGTGGGGGTGAGGCAAATGTGCCTCATAATCTTTTGACCTGGCCCATTTTCCCCCATCCCCTCCCTCTGCCACTGCAAAAGCATTCTAGCTCGCGACCTGCAGAACGTGGTCATATACGACTCAAAGGGCGAGTTCGTGGGGGCGAGGCGGCCCCTCACATTCCACCCACTCTGTCCCTTCATGTTTTCCTGCCTTTCTTTTTGCAGAAGCATATTGGCTCGCGACCTTCAGAACGTGGTGATATACGACTCAAAGGGCGAGTTCGTGGGGGTGAGGCGGCCGGGATCGAACCGGCCAATCACAGTGGAGGGAAGGAAGCTTGTAATCGATGAGCTGATAGGCAGCACGGGGCTGGAGCTAAAGATGGACCCTGGCGTGCCCTACGTGTATGCTGGCTTCGGTGCTCTCATGCTCACCACTGCCATCAGCTATCTCTCGCACTCTCAGGTGAGCCGCTTCCCATTCTCCCTCCTCTCTTCTTCTCTCCCACTCTTTGGCGCTCTCATGCTCACCACTGCCACCAGCTGTCTCTCGCACTCGCAGGTAAGATGGTTTGGCATGACATGACATGGCATGGCATGACATGGCATGACATGACATGGCTCCCCCATCCCTCTCACTGGCTGTGTGGCAGTGTAGGTGGGATCAACACTTTTTGTGGTAGGAAAGTCGAACCGAGCCTAGCTCACTTTTGAACCAACGGTGCGGATCTCCATCACACCCCCGATTCGACCCATCTCATTGCATGCAGGTGTGGGCACTGCAAGTGGGATCCAACACTGTTTGTGGGCGGGAAGTCGAACCGAGCCAAGCTCACTTTCGAGCAAGAGAAGATCCTTATTTGCATTCCTGATTCAACCCCTCCTCACTTCATGCAGGTGTGGGCAGTCCAAGTGGGATCAACACTTCATGTGGGTGGGAAGTCGAACCGAGCCAAACTCACTTTCGAGCAAGAGATCAACTCCGTTCTTGACCAAGTGCCCGAAGTGGTAACCGGATCCGACTCTCTTGTAACGGCATCATCAGATCGGCCAAGTGTAGAGTAGAAATGTGGATACGGATAAAAATAGCTCTGTTGAGCAAGAAACAGACCAAGTGCTTGCAGTGGTAGGTAACCACATTGGGGATTCCAGTTCTTGTAGCCGCCATGCTCTCTATGTCACGGCCTTTCCCAGTGAAACGATTTGTCACTTCGGAGGTTTCATGATTCAATACTTGAATCTTCAGTGACTTCTCTGAGTATTATCTGTTGAACAGATACGGATTTGGGACATCAACATGTCTAGTGTAGCAACCAGCAGCGTTGTCCTCTTAGAGCGTATTCCTATCCTCGTATCAAGAAAACCTCATATCAAGATTGTACTTTTTGCCTGGTAAAAGTAGCGAGAGGTTTTGGGTTTAGGGGAATTTTCAGTGGGAGGTTGATATGAGGTTTTCTTGATACGAGGATAGGAATACGCTCTTACTTGGACAGTTACGGTAATATGTCATCATGACAGAATCTCCTTGCTGCTGCTGCAAAATGACGGAGTTTATGGTGGTACGCATACTCGTTACGAGGTGACACGCTGTAAATGGCTCTCGTAAACAACATGCGCGGGGTATTGCTACATAGGATTGTCATACACATTTCGGTAAATCATCTAATGTAACAAGGTCAACGTCACATCAATTTTATTAGGATAAACATGTAGTACATCACTCAAAACATGGCACAAACGATTAGCAAGGTGGTTGCGATCGGCAGGAGTAACACCCCAGCTACCAATTAACAAAAAAATCACACACCTACTAGGGAAGGCCTGATGATGTGGACACAGCTAGGGAGAGCCAAGAGCAATCCCACAGTGACATGGCTGCAGCAGCTACCATCAAGCAAGTGGTTGGAGAATGATTAATGAACGAGAGATCATGGCCCATGGGGAATGGCCACATCTGAGGAGCTAAGGAAGGAGCTACCAAAGGAGGAAGTAGCAGCAGCTCCATCTCTTGTTGTTAGGTCACAAGGAAAGGGGAGGTGACAGGACAGCATTCGCTGGTAGGTAGGTTAGGTTGAGGGGGTGCCTAAAGTTGTCATCGGAATGGTGGTGGTGAGGGCGGTTTTGGCGGCGCCTTCAAAAGCACAGCACGCGTCGACAGGTTAGACGGAGGAGGACTGCTTTTAAGTTGGGAGTTCTGTGGATGGGGCGGCATGGAGGAGGTCTCTCAGTGAAGGTGGTCAATATGGGGGATGGATTCTCCGGCTTGAACCTCTTGACTTCAAAGGCTTTAAGATTGGCGAGCGAGGTAGACTGCGTGGAGGTTGGGGGTTATGTGGATGGTGCGGCATGGAGAAGGTCACTGGGAAGGTGGCCAATAGGAGGGGTTGAATGGGGGAGAGTGAATGAGGTCAGTCAGTGGATGCTGGGGGTGCTGGCTGGTGTGCGTTGGAGTGGCGAATCGGAATCGCTCCTTCAAGCACACTAGTGTTGCACTCCCTGAGAGGTTGTTGGGAAGCGGGGGTGCTTTGAAGTGTGTAGAAGCGGTGTGCAAATGGGGTCAGTCAGTGGATGCTGGGGTGGGGAGGGTGCTGGCTGGTGTGCGTCGGAGCAACGCGTGCCCCTTCAAACGCTTCTGTCTGTTGCACTCCTTCAGAGTGCCTGGAGGAGGTTAGTGGATGCTGGGAAGGGTGCTGGTGTGTGGTGGCGTTTCAAACGCGTGTGGGGTGCCGCCTCCCCCAGGCATGCCTGCATCGGATGCGTTCAGACGGGTGGGGTCCTCCCATGGGCCTGGCGGGTGGATGGGCGGATGAAAGCAAGGGAGGGCGTTGAAGGGGAGAGAATGTCAAGGGACAAAAACAGGCGAGCATGGTTGGGGCCACCTCCCCCAGGCATGCCTGCATCGGATGCGTTCAGTCGAGTGGGGTCCTCCCATGGGCCTGGCGGGTGGAAGGGGTCAACACAAAGGGGGGGAGTGAAGGGGAAAGAAGTAGCATCAAGAGGAATGAAGAGGGGGGCAGGAATGGGATTGAGTGAGAATGGGGCACGTGGGGTGCCGCCTCCCCCAGGCATGCCTGCATCAGAGGTGTTCAGTCGAGTGGGGTCCTCCCATGGGCCTGGCGGGTGGAGGGGAGTCCAGGGACGAGCAGAGAGAGGAGAGAGTGCTTGAGATCATGGGGCGTGTGAGGTCCCACCTCCCCCAGGCATGCCTGCATGAGAGGGATTAAGACGAGCGGGATCGTCCCATACTGACCACCATCAGGTCGCCATGTGCGACCGTTGAGATTCGCTGGCCCGGACAGAAAAGGTCTACTAATCAGAAAGCCAGACACATAGGCCCGGATACTAATCCACGCATTCGTACCACCGTCAGGTCGCCACGTGCGCCTCAAAATAGGGCTCACGGGCATGTGGCGAACCGATGTCCTCCCATGGGCCTGCTCCACGCACCACGTGCGACCGGGTTAAACATCGGGTCGCCACATGCCCGTGAGCCCTATTTTGAGGCGCCTTAAAATGAGCCCTATTTTGTAGCGCCTCAAAATGAGCCCTATTTTGAGGCGCCTCAAAATGAGCCCTATTTTGAGGCGCCTCAAGGTTAAACATCGGGTCGCCACATGCCCGTGAGCCCTAGCTGCTGATCTGGCAGGCAAGGTCTAGCACATCCATCCAGCCCATACCTCTAGCACATACCAGCGTCTAGCACATACCAGCGTCTAGCACATACCAGCGTCTAGCACATACCAGCGTCTAGCACATACCAGCATCTAGCACATACCAGCGTCTAGCACATACCAGCGTCTAGCACATACCAGCGTCTAGCACATACCAGCGTCTAGCACATACCAGCGTCTAGCACATATTAGCGTCTAGCACATACCAGCGTCTAGCACATACCAGCGTCTAGCACATACCAGCGTCTAGCTCATACCAGCGTCTAGCTCATACCAGCGTCTAGCACATACCAGCGTCTAGCACATACCAGCGTCTAGCACAAACCAGCGTCTAGCACATACCTAGCACCACCCAGCCCCCTTCCCTCCCCCACCCTTCCGCCCCCCCCCACACACATACCATCAGGTCGCCACATGTCTGTGAGTCCCAGCTGCTGATCCGGTAGCAACCAATAGTCCTGCCAGGGGCAAGGGGGGGGGGGCGGGACATGGGACAAGCGGGCAATACGGGAACGAGTGAGCAATATGGGAGAGTGTGTACGATACAGGAAACCAGTCTGTCGCCACATGTCTGTGAGTCCCTCCCAGCTGCTGATCCGGCAGCAACCAGTAGTCCTGCCAGGGGCAAGGGGGGGGGCAGAAGGAGCCTTTTAGACGCCAAAGGATTGATTAATCAATGTGACTCAAACGGAAAGCCACGTGAGGTGAGGGTGTTTTTGAGACGTCTCAAAAACACCCTCACCTCACGAAGGAGCCTTTTAGACACCAAAGGATTGATTAAATCAAATGTGACTCAAAAGAAAGCAGGTGACCTCTGAGTCGACTCAAAAGCAAGCAACCCCACCCACCCCCTCACTTCATTAACCCACTCAAAAGATGCACCAAAATTCACATCTGCCTATTTGACTTGCCCCATGCTCCCAGTCCATGCGCTCGCATCACAAGAAAGACCACACCCGTCCACCCCACTGACTAACTTGACCCATGCTCCCCTCATCACAATCCACATACATGTGACTCGGCAGGGGTGAGCTGAACGATGCCCGACTGTGCTTCCCCCGCTTTCCCCATGATCCCATCACTAAACACATGCCCACCCAATCTGACCAGCCCCCATGCTCCCATGCTCCCATGCCATGCTCCCATGCGCCCCTCATCACATTCCACATACATGTGACTCTGCAGGGGTGAGCCGCACAATGCCTGACTGTGCTTCCCCTACTCGCCCCGCCCCCGCCCCTGCTGGCCCCCCTTCTCCCCCTGCCCCCGCCGCCCCTCCTCCAGGGGTATTCCCTGCCCCCACCCCCGCCCCCGCCCCTGCTCCTCCTGCTCCTCCTCCTTGTCCTTGTCCTGGAGTATCCAGAACAGCAGGAGAGGCGAATGATTGGTTGGGTGTCTGAGAGTACAGGGATTGCTGCTGCCCCTGCCCCTGCTGCTGCTGCTGCGGCTGCTGCTGATCCGGCTGGCCTGCCTGGGAAGGCGCTGCTCCTTCGTACTTCTCCTCAAACCGGCTGCGAGGAATGAGACACAGCGGTGGGACAGATACCCCATGGCGATTTTGAGACAGATATAGAAAACAAAATTGGAAAAAGCAAACAAACAAACGTGCAGCACACAGAGGTTATCCAGAATCCGAGATCCTATCAAGTCGGGTGCATGGGGGAGGACAAAAGTTTCTTGAACGAACGAAAGACGAAGAACAGTACGGAAACGAAAAAACAAGAACACCAGGAGCAGCAACAGCAACGAGAAGAGCAACACAGAGCAGGAGAAAACAACAGAAGCACCCACCTGACCAGGTAGACGTCAATAGGCCCACTGGTGCTCTTCAGCAGTATCTGGTACTTGCGCTGTGCAAAGCCCTGACAGGGACAGCAAGGTGAAAGAAAGGAATGTCACATAAAGTTCTGGGACCCTTAAAACCTCGATGCATGCACTGTGCACTGTGCAAGGGACTTGAAGAAGGAACTTAAAGGACGGATAAAACGAGCTAGGCTTAAGATTATGCACACTGAGCCAAACAGCTCAGAACAGAACAGCTCACCGCTTCAAAAACGGCTTTTGAAATTTCTCAAAAACGTTTGACACACTGAGCAGAACAGCTCACCTCTTCTGGGTCGGGTACTTCCAGCATGGTGCCGTGTGGGGCTCTGATGGCAATGACTGGGGTTATGAATGTGTCATAACCCTAAGCGGCATTGGCCCTTCACTCTTCATACCAGCGGCTCACCTCTTCAGGGTCGGGTACTTCCAGCATGGTGCCGTGTGGGGCTCTGATGGCAATCAGGGTTTCATTCTGTACAGTGCAGCACGCACACACAACAAGAGGAAATATGAGCTCACTTGCCAGAAATACGGGTGCAAAAGCTCATAGCCAACTGCTATAGGCAAGGCAAGGCAAGCACAACAAGCAACCAACGACAAATAAACAAACAGGCAAGCCTGCCTGAGATTATATTTTGAAAGGGAAAAAGTAAGGCCTCAAAGATGAAAAACCTGAAAGCATGGCAAATTCTTAATGTCTTCTTCTGTCACAAACATCCATCTGCGGAAAAAGACCGAAAGAGGTTGGACACAATGGCAGAGTAGAGAGTAAATAAACCGATGACAAGCGTAGACGTTCGCAAAGTCTATTCTGTTATGGAAAAATAACGAATGACAATGCGAAAAAAAACAAAAAAAAAAATCGAAGGAAACAAACGGGAGAGAGGTAGGACTTTCAAAAGGCAGATGGAAGCAAATGATAGAGTGATACAGTCGATGATTAAAATGAGGCAGTTGCACAGAAACGTCAAACAAGCGTGCGGGCAGGGCTGCCTTACTGTTTTCTCTTGTCGTCCTCATTTAGCAGCCGTAACCGCTCCCTCATGTCCCTGATCGAAACGACACACGTGACAAAATAATGCACATGGTTTGTGACCCTTTTACACCATAAAAAAAAACTCAGGATATGAAGGACAAGATTGCAGGAATTCTAATCCACCACCATTTGAGACGAATAAGGATTCACAGGAAACGAATAGTATCACGACAGCAACAAACATTACAAATGAAAAGGTTTAAGACAACAATAACAACACTCAAGTGAACAGACAAACGCCCCCTCAACACAATGATCAATGCCGCCACCCCACACTCCACGTACTTGATGCCATTGTCCAGACTCAACTCCTTGGTTTTTGAAAAGTAGAAGAAAAAAGAAAAACAATTTGTCACAAAGGCCTCTCAATCCGACACACTGATCAATGCCATGCCCACACGTTACACGTACTTGATGCCATTGTCCAGACTCAACTCCTCCTCTCTTAGCCGATTCAACTCCGCCTGAACAAGGGGAGAGAAACAGAGGAGCATAGGGGGCTTCGAAACCATTTTACCCCTGCCGTGTTCAGGCACAGCATTTAGTCAAAAGATTAGCCAATGCTACAGATCCTACCTGTCAGTGCGAAACTCAAAATGGCAGCAGCCGGGCGTACCTGTAGGATTTGCGAGTCCTCTTTGATGGTCCAATCACATTCCAAACCCTTGAAAACCCCTCATCCAGTGCCTAACCACAGTCAGCAGAAGAAGCTAAGCCGCAGTCAGTATGACGCGTGCATTAGACGCAGCCGGGCGTACCTGTAGGATCTGCGAGTCTTCTTTGATGGTCGAATCACACTCCAAACCCCTGAAAGGCGTAAGAGCGTTGAGAAAGTGATTATCAACGCACAAGTCGTGAAAGCAACCAAACACACTCACACACACATGGTACATCAACACACACATGTATCAGTACAGGCATCAACATACACACTTAGGTCATTTACATTACACATGGTAAAAACACTTCCATTGCACAGCACACAAGCCACTCACTTCCACTGGATTTTGTTCTTCCCTTTCTTCTCAATCAACCCAATGCCCTCCAGAACAGTCATAACAACACACACGCAAACATCAATGCACGCATCTATCGAAGCACTCCCACCGTACAAGCCACTCACTTCCACTGAATGTTGTTCTTCCCTTTCTTCTCAATCAACCCTATGCCCTCCAGCACATTCGTGATGTCGTATATCCGCCGCTTCTGGACCTGAGGGGGGAGAAGGAACAGTATAAGAGTCAGTGGCACCATAGATCACGAGTTGAACGTCAAGTTTCACAGCCAGCTGCAATCCAGGGTTGAGACAGCGTATTGCACATGCAGCAACATATCAGTGAGTACACGTCATATATCCTCCAATGAAGAGGCCTGCGACTCAAAGTGATGCCGCGTATGTATTCTATGTGCGACTCATGCCGGCTCATGCCTGGATCATGCCATGCGTTGCCGTGCCATGCCGGCATTGTAAGGGCATGCTTCACATAAGTTCCCAATCGTACCTGTAGGGTTGACGCTGCAGTGAAATAAGATTGCGTTCGAGACGTCTCAAAACCAATCATATTTCTAAGGGCATGCTTCACATAAGTTCCCAATCGTACCTGTAGGGTTGACGCTGCAGTGAAATAAGATTGCGTTCGAGACGTCTCAAAACCAATCATATTTCTAAGGGCATGCTTCACATATGGTTCCAATTGTACCTGGAGGGTTGACTTGACGCTGCAGTTGACTTTTGAGTCGACTCAAAAGTCAACTAGGGCATGCTTCACATATGGTTCCAATCGTACCTGGAGGGTTGACTTGACGCTGCAGCATTCAAGTGCCGTCATCTGACCCCGTGATTAGGTCAAAGAACTTTCATGTGAGTCGACTCAGAAGTTGCATGTGGGGGAATCAAATGTCACATGCAAGCAGCACGGAAGCTACCAAGGGTACCTGGAGGGTTGACTTGACGCTGCAGCATTCAAGTGCCGTCATCTGACCCCGTGATTAGGTCAAAGAACTTTCATGTGAGTCGACTCAGAAGTTGCATGTGGGGGAATCAAATGTCACATGCAAGCAGCACGGAACCTACCAAGGGTACCTGGAAGGTTGACTTGACGCTGCAGCATTCAAGTGCCGTCATCTGACCCCGTGATTAGGTCAAAGAACTTTGATGTGAGTCGACTCAGAAGTTGCATGTGGGGGAATCAAATGTCACATGCAAGCAGCACGGAAGCTACCAAGGGTACCTGGAAGGTTGACTTGACGCTGCAGCATTCAAGTGCCGTCATCTGACCCCGTGATTAGGTCAAAGAACTTTGATGTGAGTCGACTCAGAAGTTGCATGTGGGGGAATCAAATGTCACATGCAAGCAGCACGGAAGCTACCAAGGGTACCTGGAAGGTTGACTTGACGCTGCAGCATTCAAGTGCCGTCATCTAACCCCGTGATTAGGTCAAAGAACTTTCATGTGAGTCGACTCAGAAGTTGCATGCAAGTTACAACACAGAAGCCACCAAGTGTACCTGCAGGGTTGACGCTGCAGTGTTCAGGTCTAGTGTGCCGTCATCTGATTCCTTTATTAGGTCGATAAACCTCTTGTGGGTCGACTCAAAAGCTGCATGCAACATAGAAGCTACCACCAACCATACCTGGAGGGTTGACGCTGCAGTGTTCAGGTCTAGTGTGCCGTCATCTGATGATCCTTTTATTAGGTCGATGAACTTCTTGTGGGTGTATCTGGAGGCTGGAACGTTGACTCAAATGTCACATGCAAGCAACACCGAAGCTACCAAGTGTACCTGGAGGGTCGATGCTGCAGTGTTCAGGTCTAGTGTGCCGTCATCTGATGATCCTTTTATTAGGTCGATGAACTTCTTGTGGGTGTATCTGGAGGCTGGAACGTTGACTCAAATGTCACATGCAAGCAACACCGAAGCTACCAAGTGTACCTGGAGGGTCGATGCTGCAGTGTTCAGGTCTAGTGTGCCGTCATCTGATCCCTTTATTAGGTCAATGAACTTTTTCGTCAATAGCCCTGCAAGAAATCGAAGGAAATGTGAGAGGAGGAGGAAGAGGGAAAGGTGGTTGGGAAAGGAAAGAGCAGGGGAAGGGGGGACACTGCGCATGTAAAAAGAGTGAAAGAGTCAAGGGAGGAATTGATACAGAAGCATGATGCGGATGACCATTGTAGTCATGCCGGCTTCAGCATGGGCACTAGATGCAGTGTGAGTGGCAAGATTCAGTGTGAGTGGCAAGATTCAGTGTGAGTGGCAAGATTCAGTGCGAGTGGCAAGATTCAGTGTGAGTGGCAAGATTCAGTGTGAGTGGCAAGATTCAGTGTGAGTGGCAAGATTCAGTGTGAGTGGCAAGATTCAGTGTGAGTGGCAAGATTCAGTGTGAGTGGCAAGGCAAGCAACACACCAAGGGAGTTGTCGTAGCGGCATGCTGACTGCTGCTGCGGCTGACCCATGGGTCCTGCTGGTGAGTTCAGCCCCATACCCGCGTCCCCATGCTCCCATGCAGCACCTGCTGCCACAAGGTGATGCAGGAAAAATAACAAATCCCAAGAAATCAAAAAGGCGATTATTTCATCAGCTCAAAAGAGTGACGCACGGGTCCTACGTATCCTAATGTACCCTAAACGTATCCTAAACGTATACCAAGAGGTGGCCACACCTACCTTTCCCCCGCGCCATCTTGCGACCTCGCGCTGTGAGCGAGTCCTCTCCGTTGTTGAACCGCGGCCACGGCTCTCCCGTCGTCTGCACACACGCATGATAAGAAACCGTAACAATGAGGCAAAACGGAAAATCATGCATTGATAACGACATGTAGAACAAAGATTGGTGCGGAAAACTCAGAGTGGGGACGAGAGAGCAGGAGGCGTGGGCGAGTGGGCGTGACAATGACGAGAGGGTAGAGATGCGAGTGGAGAGTGACAATAACGAGAGCACACGTGAGGTCAATGTGACCTACCTGACCGGAAAGCACAGTGGGAGCCATCCCGGGCGAGAGGGCATGACATAGCGAGAGCATGGACGAGGCGAGAAGGCGTGACAGCAACAAGACTGCAAGAGAAGCGAATGTGGCGTACCTGGCCGGAGAGCACGGTGGGAGCCATCCCGGGCGAGAGGGCGTGACAATAACACGAACACGGAAGAGGCGACCGGGCGTGACAATAACGTGTGGGAGATGGGACTGCGGCGTACCTGGCCGGAGAGCACGGTGGGAGCCATCCCGGGCGCATTCTGCCGTAATGAATGCTCCTAAAACAGCACCCGCAACGCACAAATAAGGGGAGAAAGGGCGGGCTCTGGTGAGCGCACGAACGTGCGCAAATGCTATGCACATGGATGTGCGTGCATGCGCACGAATAAACATGAATGGGAATGGACGCGCCTTAAACGTGTGAATCGGCTGATACGGGGTGCGGGAACCGGAACGGCAAGGGAGAAAACAAGGCTGGGGCGCGACGCCTGCGCTCGGAAATCGGGGTGTTACACCGGGAGGGTGCGGCTTTCAGGTTCGCTACATGATAAAAGTGATGTTTTGAGACGTCTCAAAACATCACTTCTATCACGTGGCTGGGGAGCGACGCCTGCGCTCGGAAATCGGGGTGTTACACCGGGAGGGCGCGGTTTCCAAGCGAAAGTGAAAACCACCGCGGGAAACTTTCCTCTCCTTGTCTCCCCTTTTCACTCGCCGCGGACCCTTCTTGATACACCCCGCCCGCCGTCCTTCCAAGCCGACTCAAGGACTCCGGTTGAATCGATTCAAAACCGTCTTAATCGCCTGAGAAGTCATCCGAAGGACTTACGGAGAATTTCGCGACCAAGTACTCCTCTTCCCCTTGCCTCCCGTACTGGCCCGCCGCGTACCCTCCTCCCTGGTACACCGCGGGGTCCTGAAACTGGTGGTACGCATCGGGCGCCGCAAATGCCGGTCTCATGTGCGTGAACGGAACCTGGTACGGCTGACTCCCGTACGAGTAACCGGACATGCCTGCTCCCGAAATGCCTTGTCCTGACATGACTGGTCCGGACATCCCCGGGCCGGGCATTCCTGAGCCTGATATCCCTGGACCCGAAATGCCTTGTGTTGAGAGGCCACCCGCTGTTGAAATGCCTGAAAGCGGAGGAGCTGACATGCCTTGTGCTGCCGACATGCCTTGCGGTGCTGCCATCCCTTGTGGTGCTACCATCCCTTGTGGGGCCATCCCTTGGGCTGCTGCCATTCCGTGAGCCGACATAGCTTGTGAAGGATAAGGCTGAGCTACGGATCCGTGGTCTATACTCACACCCCTATGGTCCATACCCATTCCCCTATGATCCATACCCATCGCCCTATGGTCCATGACCATACCCTCGCCCTGAATGTACGGCCTAGGCGCCATAAATGCAGGGTTACTATTGGGGTTAGCCATAGCGAGGAAGGTCTAGGGCAGCATTTGTAGGGAAGAAACTCCCGTTATGCGCAACTTTTGTTGAAGGTCTAACCTAGAAATCTATCGTAACTCCGCGTGCTGCCATGATCTGGGATCCAGCGATCTAAAAGAAGCAGAAGAAGATGCGATTTTCACAAGGAGCCGGACGAAGAATTTTAGAATCCAAAACAAGCGCTAAAAACGCTACACATTAACTTCACGTCTGCTGACACCCTATCCGTTCACGCATGTTGCTCAAACAACAAATCATGGCGCAGCGATCAGAGACACCATGAGCTGTAAAATAAGGAAAACAGATAACTGCAAACCTGAATCGTGCAAAAAGTACAATATAGTTCTTTGCTACCCCTGCCACCTAGGTTTTCCCTCCAAGGGAGGGGGGCGTGGAAAGAGAGGGAAAAGGGGGAGGCTAACGTGTGGCGGGGGAGGGAAACCCTGGGAATGGGTGAAATCGCGAGGGAAACTCCCAGGTTCCTCGCGCGCGGGCCTTCGCAAGCTCGCATGCGATCTCGTTAACCGCATGTTACTTCCCGTGTGCTGTCGCTAATGCGTATTTCTGGCGACAGGATTACGACGACGTTGCTTTCCGAGAATTCTGTGTGGGGACAGCCTCTTGTCCGACGGCGATCTGGCCGCCACGTGGAGAGACGCTTGTGGAAGGTTTTTGTCTGTGTCAGACGTGCTGATTGGCTCGGTCTTTGGAGAGATCTTGTAAAGGCTCGTGAAGCCCCTGGTTCGAGAGGCCCGAACCATAGCAGTGCCACAGCAAGCTGCGGACCATGTACCCAACAAGGGCGGGGAAAAACATTCCCAGCCTGCCTGGTCCACAGCTGGTCCGGGCCTGGTCCATGGCTGGACCCTCGCTGGTCCGGAGAGCCCTCCTGTGACCGAGGTTTCGCGAACCAAAAGGCAAAATGATCCCGCCAACCGGATTCGAACCAGTGACCTAAGGATAGCTCTACTACAGTCCTCCAACTTTATTTACTAAGTTCCTAGGTACATGGGCTCATATATGTACACTATGTACAAGAAGTTCTAGAGCAGTGGAAAAGAAAAGCAAGTGTAAAGATGTGAAGAACAGGTGAGAGATGACAAAGTGATTGAGTGATATGAGAGTATAACGATGTGCAAAAGAGAACAGAACTGGTTACAAAACAGTGGGAAACAGGACACACAGAAGAAAAACAGAACAGAACTTGAAACCACAAAACAGAACAGAACAGAACAGAACAGAACAGAACCTACGGTAATGACACAAACGAGTGACTCACAAACTGAAACTGACCCACATGACCCACAAAACCAGCAGTGTAACCCTACAGTAAAGCATCTACAAAGGTTAACCCCCCTTAAATGCGGGGGTTGAACAAATATGCAAGGTCAGGAGCGCCATCACTGAAAGCAGGAAGATCTGAAAATGATGGGTCTTCGCTTGACATCTCCTCCGAGATCGATGGGAAGGCCACCTCTACCCTGTGGCGGATTGCCCTGGCCTGCGCCCGTTGCAAAGCCATAGAGACTCGAACTATAGACATGGCCACCTCTACTACAGTCCTCCGCTCTACCAACTGAGCTATAGCAGGATGTTCCTCTGCAAGCCTTAAAAATATTTATACGCAAAAAACAAGTCCAAAACTACGTTTGAGCCACGTGTCTGTGTCCATGTCCGTTCTGCCAGCTGGTGAGAATTTACCCCATTAGTTGTTGTCGACATAGATGGTCGAGTCGCACATTGCAACCATGGTACCGAGCATGGCGCGACACGGCGCATCGAGCCACCCTCGACAAGATGCCTCTCTCTTTCCCCGACCTTGTTCGTACAAGACCAAATCGCTTCTCCACTTTTCTCCCAGACCAGTTCGGATTTTGACAAGCAATTCTCCTAATCGTTTCCGCAGCCACGACTCGCACATAGGCCCGTACAACCAGACGTAAAGCAGCCTCTCCCTAATAGCATCCCATTAACCCGTGGTGCTTGCCCAGCTGCTAACTATCCCTCTCTCGTGCAACCTGGTAACCCGGTTACGATGGCGAGCATGAAGCAGAAGGCGGGCGACATGATGTCCGCGGCGAAGGAGAAGATGTCCGAAGTCAGCGCGAAAACCGGCGAAGCCGTCGCGAAGGGGAAAGCGGAGGTCCAGGAGAGCATGGACAAGGCTCGGCACCCGACGAGCAAGGAGGCGCGCGCGATCGCGGACGCGAAGGAGGCGCAGCGGAAGGAACACGCGGAGCTGGAGAAGGAGCGGAAGATCGCGGGCGCGATGGAGAGGGAAGCTGCGGAGAAGGAGGCGCGCCACGAGAAGCACGGCGTGATGGGCGCTGGTACTGGCACTGGTCACGAATACGGTGCTGGCGCTGGTACTGGTGCTACTGGTACTGGCACTGGTACAGGTCACGAGTATGGCACTGGCGCTACAGGCGGAGGAGATTATGGCACGAGGGCGGAGCATGGGTATGGCATCACTGGCATGACTGGGCATGGCGCTGGTGTCATTAATAGCCCCGGCCGTGGCACTACAGAGCATGGAACTACAGGGTATACCACTGGTCATCATGGCACCACTGGTGCTGCGCAGGTGGGGCATAGCACAGAGGGCACGGGACTTGGCGGGACAACCACTGGCACTGGCAGTGAGACTACTGGCGGAACTGCTGGTCGCAGGCATGTGTTTCAGTAAGAGTGGTGGCCGTTTTGAGATGTCAGGCTGGTAGCGCTATGGAGCATGGCTGGGTAGTACTGGAGCCACGTAGGTGGGGGACAGCACAGAGGGCACCACTGGCTCTGATACCACTGGAGGAACTGGAACTGCTGGTCGCAGGCACATGTTTCAGTGAGACTGGTGGCTGTTTCGAGACTCTCTGAACTTCACTAGGCGTGAGCTGGGCTGGACGTGTTTTTGAGATTTCACTAGGCCTGGAGACTACATGGAGCATGGGCATGGGCATGGCAGCTACATGGTGCATGGAGCATGGTGCATGGAGCATGGAGCATGGAGCATGGAGCATGGAGCATGGAGCATGGTGCATGGAGCATGGTGCATGGAGCATGGAGCATGGAGCATGGAGCATGGAGCATGGCGCGTCAACTTCCAATAAAGAATATGTCGAAGCTGGTGCCAAGCAGGTGGCACACAATACAGAGCTAATGGCTGCATAATGACAGTGCCGCTGGCGGTGGTATCCGCTGGCGGTGGTTTCCACCGGCGGTGGTTTCCGCCGGCGGAACCGGCGGTGGTTTCCGCCGGCGGTGGTTTCCGCCGGCGGTGGTTTCCGCTGGCGGTGGTTTCCGCTGGCGGTGGTTTCCGCTGGCGGTGGTTTCCGCTGGCGGTGGTTTCCGCTGGCGGTGGTTTCCGCTGGCGGTGGTTTCCGCTGGCGGTGGTATCTGCTGGCGGTAGCATGGGCAGGCACCTACGGTATGTCAGCTATAGTACGGTAGTTGCTTGCTTTCTCCAATGCTGTATATTGTGTAAATAGATGTCATACCAGTACTGTTGGAGGCTGGGTGTAGTAATGTACAGCTGCTGCTGCAATTTTTGTATCGTGAATCTGAATACCTTTTGTGCTGGCAGCCAGTCATGACTTGTCACTGGACTTAGCATGCAGGCTGAAAAAGGGTAAAATTTGTGTCAAACAATCAATACGGCTTCTCTGTTATTACAATGTTATGGTACATGTGAACATGTCATGTACATATGCAAAGCGGGTCATCTGAAGACTATATCAGAGCGGAGCACGTGCGTCACTCCTGCCTTCCACCTCCCTGGCTTCATGCAGCAAGCATGGTCCGAGAAATCTCACAACTAGTTTGTCATCACAAGAGGGGTCATCTGAAGACTACATCTGAGCCCAGCACATACTTGATCCCTGCTCTCACCTCCCTGGCCTCATGCAGCAAGCATGGTCCGAGAAGTCTCACAGCTACATGCTCATCACAAGGGGGTTCATTTGAAGACCACATCTGAGTGCAGCACGTACTTGATTCCAGCCTTCACCTCCATGGCCTCATGCAGCAAGCACCGCGCCCCATGCCTGTGTAGCAACACCATCCCAACCTCCGGACTCACCTGCAGGGAGATTGGAAGGGGAGGGATAGTAGGAAAGTAGAGATAGAGCAAAGTGACTTGATTCCAACCTTCACCTCCCTGGCCTCATGCAGCAAGCACCGCGCCCCGTGGCGGTGCAGCAATGGCATTCCCACCTCTGGACTCACCTGCAGGGCGAAGGAAAGGGAGGGAATGGAGGAAGAGAAAGGAGAGGGATAACTTCATCCCTGTCTTCACCTCCCTGGCCTCATGCAGCAAGCACCTCGCCCCATGGCAACACCAGTCCCACCTCTGGGCTCACCTGCAGGGAAATTGGAAGGGGAGGCATAGAGGAAAGTACAGACAAGTGACTTGATTCCAGCCTTCACCTCCCTGGCCTCATGCAGCAAGCACCTCGCCCCGTGGCGGTGCAGCGACGGCATTCCCACCTCTGGACTCACCTGCAGGGCGAAGGAAAGGGGGGGAATGGAGGAAGAGAAAGGAGAGAGACAACTTCATCCCTGTCTCCACCTCCCTGGCCTCATGCAGCAATTTTTGAGGCGCCTAAAAAATCGTCTCAGTTCACGCGGTTTTGAGGCGCCTCAAAAATGGAGGAAGAGAAAGGAGAGAGACAACTTCATCCCTGTCTTCACCTCCCTGGCCTCATGCAGAAAGCACCTCGCCCCATGGCAACACCAGTCCCACCTCTGGACTCACCTGAGGAAAAAACGGAAGGGGAGGAATATGGGGAGATAAGGGGGCATACACACAGTGACTTGCCACTAGCTTCACCTCGCTGGCCTCATGCAGCAAGCACCTGGCCCAGTTGCTGTGCAGCAATGCCATTCCCACCTCTGGACTCACCTGTTTTGTGAGAGAAAGGGGGAAATAGAGGGACAGTAAAGACATAGAGGCCTTCACCTCCCTGGCCTCATGCAGCAAGCACCTGGCCCATTGGCTGTGCAGCAACGCCATTCCCACCTGTGGACTCACCTGAGGAGAGAGTGGCAGGGAGGAATAGGGAACGGAAGGGGAGCAAGAGGGAGAAGGGAAGTGAAGGAAGGAATTAAGGGAGAAAAGGGAGACGGGGACAGAATGACGGCCAGCCAGACCATGATACTTTTCAGAATTCTCGTTTGAGAATTCTCAAAAGTATCATCATAAGAGAGTTCTGAAAAGTAACATCATCTCAAGAGAATACTCAAAAGTAACATCATCTCAAGAGAATTCTCAAAAGTAACATCATCTCAAGAGAGTTCTGAAAAGTAACATCACCAAAGGGAGAGAGGGGAGACAGGGACAGCATGACGGCCAGCATGACGGACGATGACGTTGTAGAGTATTTTTGAGAATTCTCAAAGATACTCTATACGGCCAGCCAGCCGGACGATGAAGTTTATGGTGGTTTGAAATTGGTCAGAGATCAACCTAACCAGCAATTCTCACCTCGAAGCTTTCTTGTGACCTCGCCCCTACATAGAACACTGTCTCTCCTCCCACCAGCTGCTCCTGATGCTGGTGTTGCTGCTTCCCGACTCCACCCTTCCCTCTACCTCCTGCCACCCCCTTCTCTCTCCTCCACCGTCCCTCTCCTCCATCTCCCTCCTTCGCTCCCTCCCCAACCGCCCCCTCTCCATCCCTCTCCCCCTTTTCCTCCCCGTCTCCCTCCGCCCCAACCCCACCTTCCCCCTGCTCCTCCCCTTCCTCCCGATATCCCTCTCCCTCCTCCCACTCCTCCCGCCCTTCCCAAGTGGAAGGGGCACCAGACAGATACACCAGGAGTGTATACTCTGTCCGTCCTCCCCCCGCTACAGTCACACTCTCGTCTATGTGCGCGCCGAACTGCTGGCCCCGGCTGTAGCGGTACACGCGCATGTTGGGGTTCAGACGCACCGCCTTGCGGTTACCAGCTTGCAGCGGCTGTAGCACCGGGGCCAGTCGGTCCCACAGGTGTGCTGCCCAGGAAAAAAACAACAGACAGTGCAAAAAAAAAAAGCATGCGTAGAAATTGTGCGAAGCATTGTGGCCTTGTGGAAACGAAAAGAGAAAAGGCTATGATCGTTCCACGATTATCTTCACCAACTGGCTCGTTGTCTTCAACGGATATCTGGTGGTTGTCTCGGTACGCCTCGCCCTTGGGGTATCCCCTGCAACTCGCTCATACCTTACCCCTCCTTACTGCTCTTTCCTATTCCTTCTTCATCCCGCCTTTTCCTCCTCCCTGACTCACCAGCCAGCTCGTTATCCTCAACGGATATCCGGTGGTTGTCTCGGTACGCCTCGCCCTTAGCCGGACCACCGCTGCCCTGCCACTGAAACCCCACGCGCTCCGCCTGCGCGATAAATTCCGCGCATTCCTCCGGGGAAAGCGCTCCTGGTACCTGGCAGGGGGCGGAGAGGGGGGATAATAGTGCAGGAGCGGGGGAGATCTGAATGCGCTGCCCTGCCACTGGAACTCCACGCGCTCCGCCTGCACAATAAACTCCGCGCATTCCTCAGGGGAGAACGCTCCTGGTACCCGGGGAAGGGGACGGGGAAAATGGGGGGGAAGGGGAAGAAAATGGGGGAGGGAGGGGGGGGGGGAGGAGGGGGAGGGGGAGAAAGGGAGTTGGAATGAAGGAGGGATTTGAAGCAGCATAAAGAATCTGAAAGAGGAAGGCGTTTGAGAACCAGAACGTTTAGAGATTTCAAAATTCCGGATTTTGGGTCGTGTGAATAATCACGAGCGTCGGAGTGACCTCACAGTGAACACTTCGCAGCCACGGATTAGGTGCGGCGTCAGGTCGCGGTGCCCTCTCAGTTTCGGCCAGGAGATGCGTGTCGCCGGTAATATAGGCGGCGCGCCTCCGGAATGCTCCTGCTGCTGCTTTTTCCCTTTCTTAGCCATTTTTCGACGCCGATATTGCCGGGATTTACGGCGGAGAACGAGGAGAACGTGGAAAGATGGACGCATTTGTGTGAGGAAAGGGAGGAAGACAGATTGTTGGTTAATTTGTTTCTCGATGTTGCGCGTTTCGTTTCGCGTTTGTGGTTCTTGGAAAAATATAGGCTACAAAAGCGGTGTAGCTCGAACGTTTCTTCCAGCCAATGGCGAAATCGCTCGAGGAGCAGAGGTCCAAGTTTTTCCCGCCAACTTCATTTTGGGACGTGGGGCGGTGATTCGTCAGAGAGCGCTCCGCTGACGAACTCAAATCGAGGAACCGCTACACTGACGGCTACAGTTCGTGCTTCTCCACGAAAAACAAAAACAACCAATCCGAGCCTTCGTTTGAAGCAGTGACCGTCACCTCGAACAGCGACTTCATCCACACGTCATACCACATGGTCGACCCGAATTTACCCTATCCACATCCATTTTGCCATCCGTCTCTCGCCTCCCATACTGGTTGACAATCCCAAGGTTTGCGGCAAGGCAACCTATCTCTTGGGTTTGGTTCTCTCAGGCCAGTGAGGGATCTATTCTAGTCTTCTATACGTCCGTTTTCCTTGACTTGAGAGATTCGCCATCCACTTTTCAGGCCTTCGTAGTTCCTTATTGTCAGTATACCGTTAAAGTTAAGCCTGAGTCGCAACCTTGAGCTCTCTGTAAGCTTTAGTGGTCTTCTTAACTTGTTGCATCCTACGTTCACGGCACTTGGGTTTGCCTTCCGTAGGGCCCTTGCATTCGTACTCAGTGTTTCTTCGTCAGGGTTACAGATTCTGTTTTCTTCCTTTTCTTCTGCACATGGGCTCATCTAGTAACCATCACCATCCAGAGGAGCATTCTCCGTCACCTCTCGCCGAATCCTCCGATCTAGCTGAAACAATGAGTGGTCCAACTAGAGCAGTGGGAGCTTCATCCAATAAACCTGACGGTGAAATTTCCAGGAATCTTGCAAAAGCCGGCGAATCTTCTGCTTCTCCCGTCTCCGCTGAACGGCCGGAAGTATCAGGCGATGCCGGGAATGAGCTGAACGAGACGGTTGTCGGTCAAGCAGACGACGAGGTAGCCGGTCAGTCAGGAGGCGAAGACGGAAGCCGTCGCCGAACTCCGTTTACTGAGAACAGCCAGTTGGAGGCCGACTTGGCTCTCGCTCGTGCGATTCAGGAACAGGTAGGCTTCGCGTCGATCTGCGAAGGACAGATAGGCTTCATCGGAGGACGACTGTAGGCTTTGCACTGATCTCAAGAGGACCGGTAGACTCTGCGCTGATTGAACGAGGGAACTTGTTCAGTAACTAATCCTTCAGTCCGTGATGTCGTCCTAAGACGTCCCAAAATGTGCAATTCAGGATTCGGAGGGCTGCACTGAGGAAAAAGAGGACAAGCTTGACCTTACTAGGAATCTGTTTATGTCTTGATTTCCGGTCGCTGTTTTCATCCTCCGTTTCTTTCTTTTCGTGTTCCCAGGAGTGTGCTTTTATGATGCTTTACCATCAGCAAGCATTAGCAGCAGCGTCCACGTCAGCCTCGGGTTCTCGCGCTGGTGCTAGAAGCAGCTCCAGACGGCTCCAAGGCCGTCAAGACCGTCAGGACCGTCAAGTCCGTCAGACAGGCTCGTCGGTAGATAATCCCATTGTGCTTCTGAGCGAGGGAGAGGAGCTCGAAGCAGACGATCCCGATGACGAGGAGGAATTCGCGGATGCGGACGACGATGAGTACGGCGAATGGGAGGAAGCCAGCGAAGACGATGGCGAAACAGGCGAAGATGGCGAAATGGCCGAAACTGGCGAAAGAGGAGGCGAGGTTGCGAACGAGCCAGGTCGCGAGTCAAGTAGCGCCAGAAGTACGTCGTTGCAGCGACAGCTGTTTCAGAACGGCGGAAGCGAAGCTGAGACCTCTGGAAACATGTCAGGTGTCCTCAGGGGGGAAGCAGCGCGGCAGGGAGCTGGGGAAGGAGAGGAAGGGAGTGCAGGAGGGGAGGCAGTGGATGCAGGGGAGGGAGGGGAGGGAGCGTACGAGGACGACGAAGCGTTTGCTCGTGCGTTGCAGGAGGAGGAAGAGCGCGAGATGGCGCGCAGGTTGTTCGCCATGGCCGGGCTGCAATTGAGCGACGGCCGAGGTGCGTCACTGTTAAGGTGACTTGTGAGTCGAGGTGCGTCACTGTTGAGGTGACTTGTGAGTCGAGGTGCGTCACTGTTGAGGTGACTTGTGAGTCGAGGTGCGTCACTGTTGAGGTGACTTGTGAGTCGAGGTGCGTCACTGTTGAGGTGACTTGTGAGTCGAGGTGCGTCACTGTTGAGGTGACTTGTGAGTCGAGGTGCGTCACTGTTGAGGTGACTTGTGAGTCGAGGTGCGTCACTGTTGAGGTGACTTGTGAGTCGAGGTGCGTCACTGTTGAGGTGACTTGTGAGTCGAGGTGCGTCACTGTTGAGGTGACCTGTGAGTCGAGGTGCGTCACTGTTGAGGTGACTTGTGAGTCGAGGTGCGTCACTGTTGAGGTGACTTGTGAGTCGAGGTGCGTCACTGTTGAGGTGACCTGTGAGTCGAGGTGCGTCACTGTTGAGGTGACTTGTGAGTCGAGGTGCGTCACTGTTGAGGTGACCTGTGAGTCGAGGTGCGTCACTGTTGAGGTGACTTGTACTACAGAATTTTATCTGCCAGCCCTTGGAATGCGTACCTCTATACATATTGTAGTACAGCCCTGGTAATATGTACAGCATTGCACCAATCCCTTGCTAAGCGAGCTGTACTACAGAATATTATCGGATGGCCCTTGGTCCCTTATTTTTCCTCTTCGTTTTCCTACTCCTTTTGTCCTTTCAGGGTCGAGCTCGAGGAGGAGAGCGGAGATGCTGGCAGCAGCGCATGGCGTCGCGTGGCCGTTTGGCGAGGGAGAGGTGAGTTGACTGTGAGAGCCCGTTATATGATGCACCGAGATTGCTCCAGGTCAGTGGGGAGAGCGGAGATGCTGGCAGCAGCGCATGGCGTCGCGTGGCCTTTCGGCGAGGGAGAGGTGAGTTGACTGTGAGAGACGGTCTTGTGATGCACCGAGATTGCTCCAGGTTAATGGGGAGAGCGGAGATGCTGGCAGCAACGCATGGCGTTGCGTGGCCTTTCAGCGAGGGAGAGGTGAGTTGACTGTGAGAGACGGTCTTGTTATGCACCGAGATTTCTCCAGGTTAATGGGGAGAGCGGAGATGCTGGCAGCAACGCATGGCGTTGCGTGGCCTTTCAGCGAGGGAGAGGTGAGTTGACTGTGAGAGCCCGTTATATGATGCACCGAGATTGCTCCAGGTCAGTGGGCAGAGCGGAGATGCTGGCAGCAGCGCATGGCGTTGCGTGGCCTTTCGGCGCGGGAGAGGTGAGTTGACTACGAGTCATGGAAGTGACCGTTTGATGTTGTACAAGAGCGATTTGGCTTGAGACGGAGAGCAGAGTCAATTCACCGCCTCTTGTACGATGGCAGCACTGCATGTGTCATCGCAGAGACCCTGGCCTTGCCGCCGAGGGAGAGATGAGCCAGCTGCCTGGACTGAGAGCTCACTCTCTGGCCGTTCCCCCTGGAAAACTGGAAGGTGGTAGAATGCGAGGTGACTTTGAAGCGGAATTAAGGATGACCTCGTATAAGAAAGGGATGGTAGGATGGGAGAGTGGAGTGGGGGGGTGTGGGAACGCTTGTGGGGTGACAGAAAGATCCTTTGCAGACTGGAGTAAAGGAAACTGGAGAAGCTTTTGAGTCGTGTCAAATGCAGAATGGAGCCTTTTTTTTTTGGCAGGGAAAGCTGTTTGCCATGTCTGTTCCTCTACGCTGTCAGCTCAACAGCACTCGTGTTGTGGGCGTTTGATGTGGTTGCAGGGTGATGAGGAGTCGGAGGAGGAGGATTCAGAGGAGGAGGATGGGGAGGACGAGGATGCACTGGATGTGGATGAGATGACTTACGAGGTGAGAGTGCTTTGATCTTGTTCCTTTCCATTTTTCAAAAGCATGGTAGGTCCGTCTGACAAATGGCATGGCATGGCATTGTTTTGCATGGCATGGCGTGCCGTGGCATTGTATGACACATTTTGAGATTTACAATGCGAGGAAGCAAGGGGGTGAGATGTGTGAGGTGTGTCTTGAGGCACTGCAAGACATGCCTGGTGTCCAATTTCGGAAAGAGGTGCAGTGCGCTCGCTCTCTTAATTTCATCAGAGGTGTGAGGTGCTTAGCGTGGGTCGAGAACAAGGATAACTTCAGCAGCCTGACCCATCACTCTTTTTCTATTTCGTGTGTGCTCTTTTGAGGCGCCTCAAAACTTTTGAGGCGCCTCAAGGGTGGGTCGAGAACAAGGATAACTTCAGCAGCCTGACTCATCACTCTTTTCTGATTCATGTGTGCTCTGCAGGAACTGACTGCTCTGGGAGAGGTGATTGGAACAGAGAGCAAGGGGCTTGCACAAGCGACCATTAGTGCACTGCCACGTGTCGCATACAGCACCAAGAGTCCGCTTAGGCGAGGCGAGGACATGTAAGGCACCTAGCGAATATCGGGGGTACCAGTTCTGTGCATTGATGCAGCGCTAAAGCTCAT